AAAATAAATAATAAAATAATAATAAATTATATAATCGTAAATAAAATTAAAATAAAAAAAATAATAAAAAAAATGTTTATAATAATAAAATAACCATTAAAATTTAATTTATTAAAATATAAATAAACGTAAATTATATATATTTAAAAGATTTTTCGAAACTTATAAATATCGATAATTTATTTATTAAAAAAAAAGAAAATATTTAATAAATTTTAAATTATTCGAAAAAAAAAAGAAAAAAAAAACGAAAAAAATTCTTTAAGTTTTAAATATTTAAATAATTTTTTTATTATAAAAACTTTAAATAAATAATAATAAAATTAAAAAATTAAATATAAGTAAAATTTTTTTTTTAATATATATAAATAAAAAAAAGAAAAAAATAATTAAATTTATATATAATTATAAATTAAAAATAAAAATAATAAATAATTAAATACGATAAAAGCGTATATAATTACGTTTAATAATTTCGATCGATTATTTTAACATATTACGGAATAATATAACATAACGATTAATTCGTAATTTTTTAAAGTTAAAAAAAAGCGAAAAAATTAAAATAAAAAAATAAAAAATGTAAAACATATATATATAAATATATATGCGAAAAAAAATTTTATTCGTTATTTTAAAGTAAAATAAATAAAAATTTATATCGAAATAAATTAAACGAAAATTAATTAAAACGTAATATTAACCGCGTAATATAAAATTCGTTTAATTTTTAACGTAATAACGTTAAAATAACGCGTTCGAAAAAATACTTTTTTATTTATATAAATTATTATATAACGTTTTATATTTTTAAAATAAAATTTTTACGTTATTTTTTATTAACGTAATTAAATTTATATATTTTTCGAAAAGTTTATATTTAATTTTTTTTTATATTAATTTTTTTTAAAGTTTTTTTTTCGATTAAATTTTTAATTAAACTTTTTAAATTTTATTTAATTAAAAATTATTTCATTAATTTATTTATTATTTAAAAAGTTAATTATTTCGAATTTATTTTAAATTTAAAATTTAAATCGAAAAAAAAAGTTTACTTTTAATTTTTAATAATTAATTTTATTATTTTCACCGCGATTTAATTTAAATTTAACGATATAATAATTTTTTTAAATTTAAATTTAATATAATTAAATTTATTTAATTTAATTTTTTAATATAATTACGTTAATTATAATTATTAAAAATTTAAATTTAAATTAATCGAAAAATAATTAATTAAAAATTAAAATATATATATATTAAAAATAAAATTCGAAATTAAAATAAATATATATATTTTTTATATAAATTTATATAAAATAAAATATACACCGTTTTTCGGTATTTTTTTTATTCGATATTACGCGGGAAATTAATTAAACTTTATATTACGCGGTTAATATTATTTTAAATTAATATATAAAATTATTTTATTACGTAATAAAATTTTATAATTAAAAAAGAGCAATATTGCTTGCGCTGTATGGTTTTGGCTGGTACGCGCGCTGTATCGAAAAAGGGCCTAGCGTTGATTCGAACCCACTGCAGATTATACTGAAATACCACCTTGTACTCGATCAACTTGAACCCTTTTCAACTACATCAACTTAAGGTTTCAATCTCTCGAACCTGGTGTATTCGAAAGCGCTCGCTCTGAATTATTTTTTATTTCTTTTGCAGATCTCTAAGTCTAAATCTGACAGTAAGAATCAAGGTTGAAAAGGGATACCTATTTCGATTGATTCGAGTTAATATGAGCCCGCTCCAACTTCGATCGCGATCTCTCAATTCAGTCCAGCTTTAATTACCGTGCAACCTAGTCCATTCGAAAGCGCCCTTCGAGGGCAATTAAATAATATTAATTATAAAACTTTTAAACAGGTTTTAATTGTGAAACAATTAATTGAAGATTGGATAGAAAGAAAAGATACAAATCTTGGAATTAGCTTTAAAAGTTTAAATCGGAGTACTTGATCTCTTACCTAATTTATATAAGAGAATATGTACACTTTTCGCCGGCGTTTTTCCGGCCCATATAGCGCAATAACTAGTGCTAACCATACAGCGCAAGCAGTATTGTTTTTAAAAAAATAAATAATATATTTAATAAACGTTAAAAAATTAAAAATAAATAATTATAATTAAAAAAATATTTATAATTATTATAATTTAATTATAAATAATTTAATAAAAAATAATTAAATATATTTTTTAAATTAAAATTATATATATAAAAATAATAAAAAAAATAAATCGAATTAATTTAATTTAAATTAACGTTAAATTTTACCGAAATAAAAATTATAAAACTTTATTTATATTATAATTATAAATTTTTTTTTCTTTTTTAATTTAATTAATATATATAATTTCGATTAATAATTTAATTTTTATATTAAATATTAATTTAATTTTATTTTTTATAATAATAATTATTATTACGTAAATTATTAAAAAAATAAAAAAAATAATATTTAATATTAATTAAAATTTTTAAAAAATAATCGTTTAATTAATATTATAAAAAAGTAATATTAACCGCGTAATATAAAAGTCGAATTTTTCCGCGTAATATTTTATTAAAAATTAAAAGTATTTTTTTTCGTATATAAATCGTTATATAATTATTTATATTAACGATAATTTAATTAATATAAAATAAAAACTTTATTTCGTTTATTATAAAATTAAGTAAAAAAATTAAATAATAATTAAGTTAATAATAAATTCGATTTAAAATTAAAATTTATAAAAAGAAAAAAAAAATTATTTCCGTTTATATTTTTTAAACGTAATATTAATATAATTTAAATTATATATATTACGTGTTTCTTCGTTTATACATTTATCGGATAAAAACTTTTAATATTAAAATATATTCGAAATTTCCTTTTCCGATTTTTAATTCGATTTTCGATTCGTATTTACATTAAAATTAATTTTTTTTAAAATTTTACATTTATATATTTTTAATTTTAATTTAGTTTTTTATAATTTATTAATTTAAAAAAAATATTAATTCGATATTAATTAAAAAAAATTTTAAAAGAAATTTAATTAATATAAAATGTATTTATATTAATTATAAATTAAAAAAAATATAAATAATTAAAATTAAAAATATACTTTAATAATAAAATTAAAATTTCCTTTAAAATTAAAAATTATTAAATTTATTATTAAAATATACGTTTTAATTTAACTTATTTTTTCGTAATAAATTTATATTAAAAACTTTTATAATTAAATTTATATAAAAATTTTTTAAAAATTTAATCGATTAAAATTAATTATATATTATAAAATTTTTTTTTAAATTAAATATTCGGGTTAAAAATTTTTTATATATTTAATATATAAAATTAAAATTTTTCGATTAAAAATTTATTAAATAACCGATATATAATTTTAATTTAATTATTTATAAATTAATTAATTTTTAATTATAATAATTTTAATTTATGTTAATCGAATTTTTTTTAAAAAGTTTTTCGATTAAATTTAAATTTATATTTTTATTAATTTATTTTATTAAAAAAAAACAAGTTAAAATTAAATGTATATAAATGTAATAAAATACGATTAAAATTTCGAAAATGAATAATTTAATTATTACGAGTATATGTATTTCCACCGCGATTTATACGCGGGGAAAAATACTTTTAATTTTAACGAAGTATTACGCGGGAAAAATCCGGTTTTCGTATTACGCGGTTAATATTATTTTTATAAAAAATAAAATTAAATTAATATTTAATATAAAAATTAAATTATTAATTAAAATTATATATATTAATTAAATTAAAAAAAATTTATAATAATAATATAAATAAAATTTTATAATTTTTATTTTAATAAAATTTAACGTTAATTTAAATTAAATTAAATTAATTTATTTTTTTTATCGTTTTTATATATATAATTTTAATTTAAAAATATATATTTAATTATTTTTTATTAAATTATTTATAATTAAATTATAATAATTAAAATTAATTAAATTATTTAATAATATAAAATATATAATAATATAAATTATAATATATAAATTTATTTAATAATTATAAAAATTTTTAAAAAATAAAAATTAATTAATTATAAATTTAATTAATTACGTTATTATTAATATATTATTAAATTAATTTAAATAATTTTTAAAAATAAATAATAAAATAATAAATAACGTTATATTATAACGAAAACGCGGTTTCGAATAATATTTATTTTATTATATAAAATTTTATATAAATCGAAATATTTTCAAAAACCCCGTTATAATATAAAATTATTAAAAATATTTAATTTTAAATTTATTTTTTTAATTAAAATAAATTTAAATTTATCGTAAAATAATTTATATAAAAATATATATAAAAAATAATTAAATAAATTAAATTATATTATATTTTAAATTTTTTTAATTAAAAAATTTTAATTAAAAATTATATAATAAAATATTTACGTTAAAAATTAATAATTTATTTTAAAATATTAATTATAAATTATAAATTAAATTTATTTTAAAATTTTTTTATTTAATTAAATTAAACGTTATAATAATATAATTAAATTTATTTAATATAAATTATAATAATTAATATATATTTCGAATTTTATAAAAATTTAATTTATTTTTAAATTAAAATAATTAATTAAAAATAACGATTAATATATTATATTAAATATAAAAAATAAAATTTTAAAATTAAAAAAATATTTAAATTTATATATATTTTTATATAAAAAACGTATATTATTTAAATTTAAATTTTTAATAAAACTTCGATTTTTAAAATAATTTAATATTATAAATATAATTAAAATACATTATAAATTTAATATTATTTTTATAAAAATATAATAATTTTCGAAGCTCGGGCATTTTTCGTAATTCGGTCACTCGGGTAATCCTCGGAACTTTAACGCCCGGATATAACCTCGGATCTCGGAAACATTGTAAACTCCGTTTAATGGTAATATTTCGCTACTATTTCGTTACGATGCAATATCCCCCGGAGCTCGGGCACGACGGGTTCTTCTCATAATGTACCCACCAATGGGTATATCCGACATTACTATTCTTGAGCTTCTCGATTCTGATCCCCGGCCGTCGTTTGTTGTTATCACTACTCAAACGTCGCTCCCCATATACGCAAACCCCGCTCTCCGTCAGAATGCTGTCCTGCACGATCAAATCGTCAAGCTGTTTCAGTCCCGCCATGGCCCTTTCTGGGACTGGGTTACCGCCGCTCTGCTGCCTGACACTGGCACTGGTCATACATTTCCCTTCGAGAACGTCTTTTGGACTCGGTCGATTGTTCGGGACAAATGGGCTGTGATCGGTAGTAACAATCATCCACCGTTGGGCGATGTCGAACGTAATAACAACAAGGGCCCCCTGCAAGAGGCTGCTAGTCCCGAGGTCTTGAAAGATCACAATGATAGTTGGATACCCCCCGATTTTTTACCTGAGCAGGAGTCCTTCGCCCATGTAATCAACACGCTTGACTGGGCTCTAACACCTCTTGGCCCGCTACCGCGTTGGCCTGGCCTCCTGCAACAAACGTTCAATCAAGTCCTTGCTGACTCAAGACCTATAGTCATCTATTGGGGTGAGAGTTTGACTACACTATACAATGAAGCTTTTAGCAAACTATGCGGGTCGAGACATCCTTCCCTCCTGGGGAAGTCGGTGGAAAATGCCTGGCCTGATTTTCATGAGAAGATTAAGTCAGCAATGTCTACGTCTGCCTCGAAATTTCGCGCAGGTTCCAATGACGAGGACGAATGGCGGTTCTTTACACAGAACCCTGACGGTCATTCCGAAGAGAAGTACCTCAAATGGTCTATTATCCCGGTTACCGATAAGAATAGATGCCTTGGGTTTATTCAGCCAATCCAAGATAATACTTCCATGCGACTCTGGGAAAGACGCACCAGGATGCTAATTGACCTGGGCGATATGTTAGTCACCGCGCGTGACGTGAGATCCTACTGGGCCAAACTAATTCAAGGGCTCGAAGCTTGTCATCCCACTTACGATATCCCCCTCGCCATCCTCTACTCCCTCGAAGAAGACTTCCCGCTGTCTACCGGAAAGACTTGTCGACTCGAAGGCTGTCTAGGGGTCCCAAATGGCCACCCCATGGCTCCATCAAAGTTACGACTCGATGAGAGAAGCCAGGGGTTATCCTTGTCATTTCGACAAACCCTTGAATCTCAGAACCCACTATTACTCCGGATTAGAGACGGGACATTGCCAAAATCGTTACTTGAAGGTCTCAAGTGGCGTGGCTTCGAGGACCCGTGTCGAGAAGCTGTCATCTGTCCTATACGACCAACCAAAGAGGAGAACGTATTAGGCTTCCTTTTTCTCGGTCTTAACCCCCGTAGGCCCTATGACAACGACTACCGGCAGTATATTTCCTTGCTTGGGCAGAAGCTCACTACGACCTTGGCATCGGCTGTGCTCCTTGAGGAAGAGGCACGCAGGCGTCGTAACATTGCTGAACAAGCCGCATATGACCAGGCTAGGCTAAAAGAAAAGCTCACCACGCAGACAAGAGAGGCTACGGAGTCCGTCCAAAAGTTCCAACAGATTGCCGAGTTTCTTCCAGTTGGTATGTGTTTTGGTAATTACCGCGGTAATATTATATTTGCCAATGATGCCTGGCGTAGGATCACAGGCGCTCCCCAGGTAAACCCACTCACGCCTGAAGGTTTCCTATCTTGCGTCATCGACGAAGACAAGCCAAATGTGCGGCGGGCGTACGAAGAGCTCCACAAAACATTGACCGTTACTATCGAATTTCGAGTTCCACGGCCGGCCGATGACAGCTATCCTCTTCAGTTCCCCATTGGAAGTTCCCCAAGTTTTGAGAAGGCTGGTTTGAACTTGGATGATGAAGGAGATGTTCGGCATGTCTTAGGTTCCTTGAAAGCTGAAAGGGGCTCGGACGGAAATATCAATCAAGTCCTAGCGTGCTTGACGGACGTAACCCTTCATAAAAAGGCTGCCGAGGAAGCCATTCGAAAAGCACAGCAGGCAGAGAACCTCAAACGGTAAGTATCAACGCTCACCCAACCCTAATTTCCAACGTGTCTGCACCAACACGTACACATACGCACTGTGTGTATTTATTCCTCGGTCGTTGCTAGGTGCTTTGTTAAATATATATACTGTGCTGACGCAGGATTCCACAGCATGGCTGAGCTCGCAACTGTGGGCATGTATGACATGGCTCTTGATGGTCGTTTGCTTGGAGCTAACAACGTCTTCTACGAGATGTGTGGCATAGATAGAGTAGATCTCGCTCAGGAATCTGTCAAGCCATTCGAGTTTTGCGTCGTTGACGAAGACCTTACGTTTCTTAAGAATTCGCTAGTCACTCTCGTCCGTGAAGGCAAGCCACAGACCGCAGAGCTCCGGCTTAAAACGCAATGGACAGAGACAGACACGGACGGAGACCAGATTGTTGCTCCTCGCTGGGTCCTCGCAACATTTATGCCAGTAAGCAATTCCGAGGGCGCTATTCAGACCTTTACAGGCTGCCTCAGTGATGTCTCGTTGCAGAAATGGCAATTTGAGAAGGAGCGGCAGCGGAAAGATGAGGCTATCGAATCCAAGCGCCAGCAGGAGAATTTCATTGATATGACTTCTCACGAGATGAGGAACCCTCTGAGCGCAATTATCCAGTGTGCTGATGCCGTTATCGGGTGCCTTACAAAAGCCCAAGAATTGGTTGATACGCAATTTTCCAAGTGTGGTGACGGCGGCATGTCCAATCCTCCCCCTCCTACCCCTGATGCCCTTGGAGGTATCTGCCAGGAAAGTACCCAACTCTTGAAGGACAGCATAGACAATGCGGAGACGATAATTGCATGTGCCCAGCATCAAAAACGTATCGTTGATGACATTCTAACAATGTCAAAATTGGATTCGAATCTTCTGTCTATTACGCCCATAACGGTAAACCCCATTAACATCGCGCGCGAGGCGTTCAAAATGTTCGAGGTGGAAGCTCGTCGAGTTGATATTGACTTGACCATGATAATTGATCGATCATATACCGAACTGAATGTTGAGTTCCTCGATTTGGATCCTTCGCGCTTGAAGCAAGTCCTTATTAATCTCCTGACCAACGCCTTGAAATTCACAAAAAATGGACCGACGAGAAATGTGTCTATTACGATGAGTGCATCTAAGGCCCGTCCCGAAGATCGAATCTCTTCCGTCCAGTTCATCCCGCGTGCCACAGACTTGGTGTGGCAAGGGAGTGGGTCGTCCTCGCCAGTGCCCGAGGAGACCAGGATCTACCTCATGTTTGAAGTCAAAGATACGGGGCAGGGTCTCACAAAAGAAGAGAAATCATCTCTGTTCCAACGGTTCGTCCAAGCTAATTCAAAGACCCATGTGAAATATGGAGGCTCAGGACTTGGGCTATTCATTAGCCGTAGGCTGACGGAGATGCAAAACGGTGCCATTGGGGTGGCGTCTAACCCTGGCCAAGGCTCAACGTTTGCGTTCTATATCGAGGCGCAGGTGCCAAGCGAGGAGGCATTCCAAGATGCTCGGGCAGCCGCTGAGGCCGTAGGTCACATCCTCAGAAACCCAAATACTTGGGATTTGGGAGATAGGGGATCTAACAAGGGTCCTTTCACTATGGCAAAGCCAACTAAGAAGCTGCTCGGGCCGCAGATCGAAGGTGTACTCCTCGTCGAAGATAATCTTATAAATCAACAGATTACACGTCGCGATCTACTGACAAGTGGTTGCGCCGTTGAAGTAGCCAACCATGGAATTGAGGCGCTTGAGAAGCTCCAGCATACCAACCGAGGCGGTGGAAAATTCCCCCTTAGCTTAATTCTTATGGATATTGAGATGCCTGTACAGGATGGTCTAACTTGCACGCGAAAGATTAGAGAATTGGAAAGGATGGGCCATTTCAAGGGCCCGCGGATTCCGATCATTGCAGTTAGTGCCAACGCACGCATGGAGCAGATTCTGGAAGCCAAAGCCGCGGGGTGTGACGACGTACTGGTTAAACCGTTCAGGATTCTCGAATTGATCGAGAAAATGATGGTTGTTACCAGACAACTCGAGAAGGCCAGACAAGAGGGAACTTAGTCGCTCTCGACCACACTGATGCCTAGAGACTCAACTAAGTTACCCTTGTCACCGTCGAAAACTGTTCAACATGTATATTGCTAAAGGGGAACCTAAATGTTGGAAGGTTTACGTCTCTAGCCTCCTTTGTTCCATGTGGACATGGTTCTTCTTCTTGCCTTTTTCTTTGTATGAGTAGCGATAGTATGATACCACAGGAGCAACAGCGACTTTGAGAGACAGGCATGGATTTGGCGTTCCGGTTAATATTCTAGGATTACTATTTCCAAGCGCGTCAACAAGTTCGCAGCCGTCAACAACTATGTATCATAGAAGGCGGCTGCTTATGATACCCCGTTGCTTAGTTCACATTTGGTGATCTTGTTCGCTGGGTGGAGTTTAAACAATAGTCATTCAGCGATTTACTGACATTAACAAAGCCGAAAGCAACCGGTCCTATTTCATTTTGTAAACCTCTTAATCGACGTATTTTTGCCTTTTACCTGAACTTCTTGCTAGCGTCGGTGAAAGTCATGCCATTCTTGATCTCGACGGCCATCTTCTCGTCGGCTTCGACCTGCTTCTGCATCAACGGTAGGGCTTTTCCTGCCAGTTCGGCGGGCAATACGACGACGCCGTTTAGATCGGCAATCAGGTAATCGCCCGGTCGGATCTCCATATTCTGCTCGTCCGTCTGTAGTTTGACAGGTACGTTGACGGCTGCCACTTTCAACAGCTCTGCTGGGGGTGCTGTCCCGACGTCTCGAGCGAAGATCTATTTCCGCTCGTCTGTCAGACACTATGCACATCGCAGCATTCTAAATAAATATGTGGAATATATGGTACGATACCGGGTACTTTAACTCGCGTTGTTCCTGCAAATCGCGAAAGCGGCCATCGATGACGGACCCGACGGCACCGCTAGCTAGCGCACGGGTCGACATGAGCCCACCATACACAGCGTTCGGAGTTCTACGAGGACACGAGACAAAAATTACAGCATCCTTAGGCACCGTGTCGATCTATTAATCAGGGTTAGAAAGCCTCCTCTAAGACCGCTGCGGAAGTTTGAATAAGCGAAGCTATAACGATGACATACGTAGTGGTTTGGGTGCTTGGGTGCTGGATCGTCTAAAGGAACATATTTGACGGTGTAAGCGGGTCCAACAATTTTAGTAGGACCGTCCTGGCGCTGAGGAGACCACATGGTCAGGCCGGACAGAAAACCCCCATTGCGATACTTTAGTTTGCATAGAGCATCAGATACATCGCACCTGGTATGATGGGTATGAGTTGGATTCTGCGGATATGATCTCTATTTCTTACGTTGTATATTTCTGCAACTCCCTGACAATAGCATCTTGAGATCCGGACATAGTGCTGCGATGTCGAGCTAGACCTGGATCCAAACGATATGCGACAACACTACGTAAACGCCTTTGGATGAGATATAATGGTGCCTGTATGTGTATCATAAACGTATGATTTGATAGCGCATTGCCATCAGTGTGTATGTGGTGATGTTATGAGGAGGTTGATGAGTTATTCAGTACAAATGGATTTTGTAAGATGACGTAACCTTTCACATGTGAGATCGGTACTACTAACTACATAAGTATTTACGATCTTAGTAATATGCAGTTGTGCAATATAGCTAGATAGGTACATAAAATCTCAATAACAATATTAGATACTTCATCTTGTGTAATTATGTAAATACCCCGGGTCCACCCATATCTGCTCATACAAATATCTATGTAGACCTATCCAGTAATTGACATACGATAGACATCTAAACGTGCGGATATGTTCTATCTTACTAAATTGATGTTTGTTTAACATGATAAAATCTGATGGTTTCCAAACCTTGAGACATCTTGTGGATTAAGATCTAGGATGCTGTAAAGCTAACCCCCTCCCTACTACCCCCCATGTCCCTACGATACATTTACTAGCCAAGTAGCACAGCCGAAGCCAACCTTAAGACCATGTAGATCCTTCGGGTAACCATACAAGTCGATACTTAAATATTACCGTCCGGGAGGGGAGATTCCTTTCTGGCTGAAGATCTAAAAACCAGGTTGAGCAGACGATTTCTGGCGAAGGACATAGACTACATACATGTATAGAGATACCAGACTATGGTTTTCCACGATAGATAACATAATGAGGCTTCGGATCTTTCGTTTTACAATTTGCGTAAGCTAACTTATGTATGCGACACACAGTTTCACTCTCGAGTATTATGTTTTCAGTAGTAGCTAGGCCATCGTACGGTCAAGGCATGCGGTTAAGAAATTGCCGTGTTACGTACGACAAGTTGGTGGTGTCTCGCACTCCTCCCATTGAATCTGTTAAATTTCAACCGGAACTTATTTTAGGGGGCATTTCATAAGTAGAAAGTTCGTAATAATTCTATCATATAGTTTAACCCGTAGCGGTATACTTAGCCAGAATCGACGGCAGTTGTTGTTGGATTTCCAGGCAGGGAAATTGAACCGACGCAAAGGCGGACTGAGTTTCTCAGCTCGCCAGACGTAGTTACCGAGATGCCGGATTGTTCGTTCTACCAGTGATGTAGTCCGGACTGTAACCTAGCGTATTCCTAGCACCGAGCTAGTGTAAATTTCTTCATTTGCCCAGGGGCATTGCAAGTGCCATCTATCTGCATAAGTAGCTTAAGATGAAAACAAACAAATAAATAATAAATGCCCCCATTAATGATTAACTAACCTGAGCTCCGTATCACTCTGTACATCAATCCCCAAGGCCTCCTTAGCCTGTGGGACTGTAGACAAGGAAGGTGGGTGTTGTTCGTAAGTAAACACGCTAGCAAGAACGCCGACGGTGGCTATGGCGATCATGACGTTGACATCGCCAGTAAAAGCCGACGCGTAGCTAAAAGAGGCAAATATTAGTATTGACTAGTTTTACAGGGAGGATAAACGTGACAACCGTGAATAACATCGAGAAGGAGGGGGGGGGACAATGCTAGAAAATATGACCTCTGGTATAAACTTATGGAGGGGGTGTGCTGGAAATACCATAAGTAGGGTGAGGGTGGGTGGGTGGGTGGAGGACAACGTTAATTATACTTACACAGATCGAACAAGGAACTTGATATCATCTGGGAGCCAGGGAGCAATTGTAGGGCTGTGATGAAGTGCGGCCATATCATCGGGATCCATCTTGTTCCCAAGTTCCCTCGTTACCTTTCCATTGAAGATGATGCTACAAATCGCTATTCCTACAGCACCGCCGAAGACCCGCGCCTGTGCTATGGCACCCTGGGCCACGGCCAAGTCCTGAATATGCGACTGTACCGATGCCATGATTGTCCCTGAGCCGAGAGAGAGCCCAAAACCAAGACCAAGAAGTACCTGAAATCCGTATTGTGCCTTTGTTTCGGTAGTAGCGTCCCTAAGCATAGTCATGAGGCCGGTTCCTAGTAGTTGGAATGCGTGAGCTACCATAAGTGTCCAGGAGGTGTTGTTACGCTTGCGGGAGATGGCACCCGCTGAGAAGGCACCGATAGAAGTTGCACCTAGCATCGGTAGTAGGTGGATACCGGAATAGAGTGCATTCTGTCCGTTGACAATCTGGAATCGTTCAGGCAGGATGATGATAATCGACAGATAGATATAACCAGTGCAGAATGTACAGCTGTTGTCATTAGTCGGCTTACTACTAGACACGAAGGCAAAAAATCCACTCACATAATACAGCTAGCGTATACCCGTCGAAAAAAGAGTCGGAGGGGCAAGATCGGCTCAATGCGTGTAAATCGTTTCAGTCCAAGGTAAATCTCCCAGGTGAAGAAGATAACCCAGCCGAGAGAGGCGATCGATAGAGCTGCAACGATGACTGGGCTATCCCAAGCATAGGTATATGTACCGGCCTCTTGAAGAGAAAAGACTAGAAGCGAAGTGGCGGCTATTACTGAGATATTGCCAACAAAGTCGATCTTTCGAATAGATCCCCATCCTCTCTCATGAGGTAATAATTCCGGTGGCGATGCCAAGTACAAGGCAAGAATGACAGCTACACCGGCTGGGACGCTATTTACATATCAGTACGAGTCTTGAAGTGGCTATAGTAGGAGTGTTTACTTGATCCAGAATATGATACTCCACTCTGTTGTTGACGAAATGACAGCCCCGAGAATCGGCCCTAGGACGTACGAGATGGCCAAAGTTGTACCGATCAAGCCGCCCATCAGGCTTGGCTTATCAGAAGGGCCTGCTTCGAAGAGTACAATCTGACTTAAGCTGTAGAGGCCTGAGCCTCCTACGCCCTGAAATGCGCGGTAGACAATTCTGGCTAAGGAGTTAGTAGATACGAACACGAAATATACAACATAAAACATTGTGGGGCGGCAGCGTACAATTGGGTCATGGTTGTCGCTCGAGCGCATCCAATGGAAAACCCAATAAAGAGTATCCATGAGCAGCATAGCATCTCACGACGGCCGTAAATATCGCTCAATTTAGCAAAGCCGATGGCGAATCCAAGGTAGGCTAACAGATAAGACAAAACTACCCATGGAGAATCCAAAAAATCCTGAAGACTAATGGAAATAGTGACAAGGGCGGTCGATACAATAGATGCATCAATAGCCGAGAAGAGAAGACCAACTAATTGACTAGGTATTTATGTGTAGTTAGTAAGGCTTAGTTCGATTGTACCGTCGTGGGTTAACAATATAGATATATATATTTAACTTACGTTGTGATCAGGATTCCCTGGCGCCAGCCATGCACAGCACGCTGATACGGCATCGTGAATATAAAAGACAAGGTGCTATGGTGGTATGGTTGACGGTAGGCAGAGAAAACAGGAACTGGTACTGTAAAATTGGTAAGTAGACAAGCTCTCGAGATGAGCAAAAGTAGTTCAACCGAGATGTGTAAAAGAAGTAGGAGGCGCAAAGGGGCGTCTTGTATGGCAAGAATGCGTTGAATGCACGCCTAGATGAAGAAAAAAGGTGAAGTAGGTAGACCATGTACCATACCTTAGTCGGTTGTTGTAGTGCGATTTTTCTTTCTTTAATGTTTATCGTGACCTAGGCAACGATGCGAGTCCTGAACAAATTCAAGAATGAGGAAAACAATACTAGGTAGTATGAATGTACCATAAGTAAAACATGCACCTTCTAGGAACATTACGTGGTAGTTGTATCTTTACAATGTTATCTACCTACCTAGGTATCGGTAATGCTAAGAAACTTTGATGAGATCTGGCAACCACGATCGAATGTGAAATATACTACCTAGGTATGTAGGTACCTACACATAGTCATTCTTATAGGTACATATATGTATCGTAGGTTGGTACCGACCTACCTAGTTATGCATATATATCGGATCGAAATTTATATTCAGGTACCTGTGTAAGTACATATGTATTTGTAGTCCACGATATAACTCTAATGTTACCTACTAAAATGAGTATCGTAGGAATACTAGATATTCACGGATCCATATATGTTTGTGTCCGATCCCTTCTCACCTTACTCATCCTCTAATGCCTACTCAGGCAATCAAATTTATTTGAATTACCTACATATCGCCCAGGTACTGTGTATATCGACCTAGATCCTTACCTAATAGGCAGGTAGTAGATAAGCAGCAGGAATTAAGAAATCTCATCCCTTTCACGTACCTCGGTATATTAGAAACCTCCAGGATTTTATTGCTTGTCGTACCAAACTATCGTGTACGCATGATCTGGTATTCAAAGAAGACTCGGACTGAGACAGCATGCAATATCTGTAAGAGGAAAGGAGGTGATTGATGATGGACAATCGATTCATGACAGCAGTTGTCCGAATCATTACCACTCGACTCGACACTCTTTATTCGACTAGATACATAACCAGCCTCCATATGGATTCACGATGACTCAAACTCAAACGTATCCCCTCGTTCAATATGCCTAGGGAGGAAGGGGGGCCAAGGGAAGACGGGAAGTCCGCGAAAGAGGATCGGATATGCTAGTGGTGTAAGGTAGTACAGGCGGAACAGTAGCAAGGAGATTATACCTTTACTCATCTGGCTGAAGATTTTGATCCGTGCTGTACTACCTATGATGGCCTTGGAAGACTATTTCACTAGCCCTCTAGTTGAGATGTGTCTGATTTGCAAACAAGACATTATTGACATTGTAGATCATGGGAAAAAATCCAAAAACCAACTCACCAGGGCCTACTTGTGGCATTCTCTCCACTTCTCGGTAAGAAGTTTGGTAGGCGATGGTGACGGAAACTAATATCCATACAGGTGAGTCTTCATACGCGTACATATATTCTGATGGTTTCGTTGGTGTACTTAAGTGGATTGGTACGTAAATATTGTATGATACCTAATTAGGGAAGATGTGCTATATGAACGTGATCAAAGGAGAGATCATGTCGAATCCCGTCTGTGTCAGTCTGTGTGACTTCCACATTTATACGTGAGCCTATCGACTAATAGGCGGCTACGCGCATCCGCTATGGCCTTCTAAATTTGTTTGTCTCGCTAACGATATTTTAGGAGAAGTTAATAGGACAATGGGGTTGGATCGTCGCGAACTAAGAGAATGTAAGACAGTAAGATATACAGGTAGGTACTAAGATGTTATCATGAACTTGAACCACGGGTTTGTAAGATGGACTTACCTAAATATGTACTCACCTAGTAGTTAAACAGGTAATTAAGTTGTGGCTTTGCGAATAGGACCTTATTAGTCCGGGCAGTTATCCTGCTGCATTAGACTGTGGAAGTATATCCCTTGCTCACCTATATTAGGAGTTTACGCCTATTTCACTTATCGTAATTGGTGAAAAATACCTGCTATATAACATAAGGGGTAGTTTTGATCATAGTGTAGAAAGATTAGTACATAGATCCCTTTTTTCAGCTCGCATTTCAACCGAGGTATCATAATAAAATGTTTGTTAGTTATGAAAATAATTGGTTTATCCCTAACTAAAGTTTCATCTTAATAAGCTTAAACCAGGTTTAAATCCTACACTGTGGTCCAAGCTTGCGAATTATGTAATTACATAACTTTAAAAAGTTGGTTAAATATGCATTTTATTCATTTATGTACATATTTATGAATATTACACTTATCTTATCTTACTTTGAGGCTTAAAATTACGCATCTTAATTCTTAACTACATGTTTATTTTCCATCCAGCTTGCTTGTCAATTATGAACAATGTTTAATACGACATCCGTTATTTTTATTGCGACAACATTCCTATCTTATGAAAACTGTGTCCTTACCTTAATATTGTATTTCCTTATAAAATGTGTTATTCCAATAATAGGAATTAATTTATTTACGTCCGAGTAAAACATAAATATATTCAATTTCTTCAACAAGCTGTTATCTTCAGCTAAAGATTAAAGGGCGGAATACACATATGCAATCAGCGGGCGGGCCACTTATAAGCCATAACATTCCTAGTACAGTTGGCACGAAGTAGAATATACATATAATAATTGTGTACCGCTTATGTTCTATATTCTGGGTTTAATCCGCTTAAAGATCACCGTCATTAATGAGGTATGATAAAATATATTAATCATGGGCGTTAGTGATATAATGTTTTGAGAATGTTCATGAATTGCGGTATTACGCATTTGTTAAAAGTCTGGTCTAGAGGAAGACTAATAACTAAAAGTCTACCAGGGTCGGGATTTGACCGTTGTGGCCCTTAAGGATCCTGTTAATTGCCAGCTCTAGAAATAAGATAAATACAATGATTCATTTATAATGTATACCGTCGTTTCTTTAGTGAAAACAGTTTAAAGTTTCGAACGTAATAATGCTATTATTTTTTTGCTATTTGGTTTTATATCGTGATAACACCATGCTTAGTTCATTTTCGTTATTGTATAAAAAAATCCATTACATATAGCCTTGCTTGGACCAAGGTTACAAGAAAAGGGTACTGTAAAATATATTAAAAATACTTGAAATAAGTAAACATCGTGGTTCCATCGTTGAACGATCCTTTTTTCACCCAGTGTAACCACCTGCTAACCCATTTTAACGGGTACATTCTACTGTTTCGTAGGTATCTACTAGGTACACATATATGCATGGCAATCCATACATCAGGCGTACCTTCCTACACCAGACGTACCTTCCTACATTGGACCACCTTCCTTATCACTACTCTAGTCGCTGCCTAACTTACCGGGACTGAATTAGATAAAAGAGTAACTTCCTTCTACTTAACTTCATCTAAAATCTTTTCCACACCCAAACTAGACATTGGCACCTCAATTCTCAAGAAGATTAATCATTCTATCTGGACGCCTAGGTATGTTACGATTTTCATTGTACTTCTTACACCATCGATATATAACAGCATAAACCTTTCTTCCTTCATTACGCATAACCAAAATCTCATATCTTCACCCAAAAATTCTGGACATTCTTTTCAAGACATCGTCTCTCATATTTTTGCTAGCCCATCCAAACTTTTGCCATCACATTATAGGTACGCTTAGCTACGTTATTTTTTACCCTATTTCATACTCCGTCATCCACCTTCCCCTGGTTACACAGAGCAGGATTACCTAGTACCCTTTTCTCATGGCCGAGTACCTAGTATATTCCCCCCCTCCAAAAAAGGTTTCTCGTCGCTTTACCATTTACGCAGTACCTCGTCACCTGCCCTTTTACACTGGTACTCGTAACCTACCCTTCTACACCAACACTCGCCACCTACCTTGCTACTCATCACCCATACTTCTGAATAATTACTTATCCCATTACAAACTTTTGAGTTTTGTACATTACATTACCACCCTCTCCTACCTACATTTCTACGATCCTTTTATTTCCATCTTATTCTGAAGAATAAAGACAGACCCTTAATAATTTCTCTTCGTCCCCCGCATACCAGGTAGTGCTCTGACGTTTCTTTTCCAACTTCATACCACCCAACGTCCTAATCCTGAATAATAAAATATCAACCTTTCCCTATCAGCCACTTTCATATTTGACTAACTATTCGCTAGTTTTGGAAAGCTACCTCAATATCAAGGTGCTACGTACTACGTACTAGGTATGTAATACATTATCACTATCTTTAATCTTATCCCATAACACATACCTTTTTCTCTACTATATAAACATCAAGATATCGACAAAGTTTGCTGTTTTCTTATACTCAATGCACTTTCGGCACCCCATTTCCCATTTCTGGGGGTACTGTGCCTCGAGACTTGTCTAAAGAACACTGGGCTTGGATATCGCGCCATCCTACCTTCGCCAATTCACTACAACCATATATACTCAACCCTTACTTATGGTCACGTCTGCTAACACTTTTATCTTTACTTTTCCAGTAACTAGATTTTCTAGTTGTCGTTCTATCTCACCACACGCAAGCTTCGAGTGGTCACGATGAGTAACTCATCTACATCTGATGCAATGGAGCCGATCGCGGTGGTTGGATTAGGCTGTCGCTTCCCCGGCAATGCTACCTCACCTGTGGCGCTATGGGACATGCTTCGGGAGGGCCAAAGTGCGTGGTCAGAGATCCCCCAGGAACGGATGAACGTTGCGAGCTATTTTCACCCCAGTGGAAACCGCCAGGGAACTGTAGGTTCAAACCCCCTGATCTCTTGGTTGAAGAGATATTAATTTTAAATCAGGTACCGTTCATGTCGGCCCATTTCATAGATGAGGACGTTCGTGTTTTTGATACTTCAGTAAGCTCTGACTCTCACTTTACGAATCCGAGCAACGCCTTGCTAATGACAGCAGTTCTTCTCGATTCCTGCAGATGAGGCCCGCGCGATAGACCCTCAGCAACGAATTTTATTGGAGGTGTCTGTCGAGGCTTTAGACAGCGGTATGTTATCTATTGACGAACCTGGCTCTGGTCATGGTCTTATACAAGCTAACTTGTGGCTTCAGCTGGTGTTGATCGTGACGCTATCCGCAAGTCGGATACTGGTGTCTGGGTGGGATCGTTCGTAAAAGGTATGCGAAATATGAATATGCTCCCTAAACCTGGAGACCCGGCTGACAAGTCAAAGATTACGAGCAGATCGTACTTCGTGATCCTGATGACTCCCCGAAATATGGGGCCACGGGTAACGGAATCGCAATCATGTCCAATCGGATCTCGTATTTCTTGGACGTCAATGGCCCGAGTATGACCATTGATACAGGCTGCAGTGCTAGTCTTGTCTGTGTGCATAATGCCTGTCAAAGCTTGCGTAATGGAGAGATCGATGTTGTAAGTCCATCGTTCTATGCGGCGATAGTCTAAATACTAACTGATATAGGGTCTTGCTGGAGGCGCTGGCCTGATTTTGACACCCAACACAATGATGCCTATGACAGCGCTTAATTTCTTAAGTCCTGATGGAAAGTGTTTCACCTTTGATGCACGCGCCAATGGATATGGCCGTGGTGAAGGTATCGGCATAGTTGTTCTCAAGCGTCTTACAGATGCCATCCGGGATAATGACAACATCCGCAGTGTCATCCGTGGATCAAGTGTTAATCAAGACGGTCGAACCCCTGGTAAGTATGCTATATCTGGCACAACAGGAACCTATCTAACCTTGGTATAAAGGAATAACATTACCGTCGTCGGAAGCCCAGTTAAGAAACATTAGGTCCGTGTACAAAAGAGCTGGACTGCCTGTTAGCGGCACTGCCTATGTTGAATGCCATGGGACCGGTACGCAAGCCGGAGATGTTCGCGAAGTAAAAGCTATATCAGATGCGTTCTGCGGAGATCGTACTTCCAACAACCCGATATATGTTGTAAGTACCACCTCGCACAACGCCTATTATCTCAAAAGTTCCCTCCTCTTTCTAACGTTAGCATTCAGGGGTCAATTAAGACCAACATTGGCCATCTGGAAGGATGTGCAGGAATTGCCGGCTTAATTAAGGGCGTCCTAACGATCGAGCAAGGGATAATTCCAAGACATCTCAACTTCGAGTTGCCTGGTAACCCAGCGATTAAATTCGACGATTGGAAGGTGAAGGTAAGACGTTGCGTCTTATTGGAGTAAATTACCTTTGCTAATGATGTATCACCCTAGGTCCCGATCTCCAACACATCATGGCCTGTCGAAGGACTTCGGCGTGCAAGTATAAACTGCTTTGGTTTTGGTGGAACGTGAGTAATAACCCTTTTAACATTGCCTCAGGGCAGTGGATTGCCACAACTCTCCCTATTTCTCAGACTTGACATCGCATTTATATTAAGATACTGACTTGGATATCTTAGTAATGCACATGTCATCATGGACGACGCTGCTCATTATTTGGCTGAAAGAGGCCTTATAGCACACCACAACACCGTATCTCTGGACTTGATTTCCCGCGAAGCCAAGGCCGACTGTCCTAATGACGCAATGCGCGAGGATGTTGGGTCGGATCAGGACATCCAAATACCCCCCCGTGACTCGCAAAGCCACCTATTCGTCTTTTCGGCCCATGAGCAGAAGGTTTTATCCCGAATGCTCAAGGATTGCGATTCTTATATGAACGAACGTGTTGGCGCGATTCCTACGGACACCATGGAAAACCTCGCATACACACTTGGTTGCCGTCGAACCAAATTGCCGTGGAGGGTGTCAGTCACCGCCCAATCTCCAGGGGATCTTGTGCAAAAATTGGCTAGTCTGAGATCCAGTGACTTTGTCAGGGCGTTGGACGGGAAAGCTACTAGGCTGGCCTTTGTTTTTGGTGGCCAAGGAGCACAGTGGTTTGGCATGGGCAGGGAGCTTCTGGGTTTCGATATTTTCCTGAAGTCAATCATGGATGCTGACTCATACTTGCAAACCCATTTAGATTCCCCTTTCAAGCTCATCACGGAGCTTCTAGAGGACGAGCTCTCTTCCAATATCAACCGCCCCGAGATATCCCAACCGGCAACAACGGCAATTCAGATAGCACTTGTCGACGTGTTGATGAAGTATTTCGGGATCAGTCCAAGTTATGTTTGCGGCCACTCCTCTGGCGAGATTGCCGCTGCATATGCCCTAGGTGCTCTCTCTCTCGAGAACGCTTTGGAATTGGCTTACCAACGCGGACGCTGCGCTGGAGCCATGCTCACTGGCGAAGAAAGCTCGAATGGGAGCATGCTTGCCGTTGGCTTGTCAGCACACGATGCGCAAAAGTATGTAGAACTAGTCGGTAACAGCCGAGTAGTGGTGGCTTGCATAAACAGCCCAACTTCTGTGACGCTTTCTGGCGATAAGGATGCGATATCAGAGCTTCAAGCATCTTTCCAGGCCGTAGGCATTTTTAGCCGACTGCTTGTCGTTAGCATCGCGTATCACTCGCATCACATGAAGCGTTGCGAGACTGAATATCTCCGTTCGATCGAACATATCGTGCCGAGAAAGCCGGACCTCGGCACAGTTCCACATCCCCATACCCAGGGGAGACTGGTTACACCAAACGACATCAATAGGGACGCCGCATCCACGGGTTTATTCTCAGCAGCAGAGCCCTGCATCATGTACTCGTCGGTGACGGGATGCCCAGTTAGCTGGGAAGAACTTGGCCCACAGTATTGGGTAAAGAACATGGTCTCGCCGGTGCTTTTTGCCGATGCTATGCACCAAATGTTGAGCCTCAAGAGCGATAGGCCAACTGTGATTTTGGAAATAAGCCCGCATTCCACGCTTCAGGGCCCAGTTAAGCAGATTCTCGACGTCGAGGAGAAGCTTGGGCAGCGGCCAGCGTACTACTCCACGCTTCGACGAGGAAAAGACGCAGCGGTTACTACACTCGACGCAGTTGGAAACCTATGGAGCCATGGGTGTGATATCTCCATGCTTTGGGTAGTCATGCGCAATTTACAAGTTAGGCGACCGAAGCTTCTGGTTGACCTGCCCAAGTATCCTTGGAATCATGACAACGTTTATTGGTACGAGTCGCACTTATCACGAGCCAATCGCTTCCAAATACACGGTAGATACGATCTTATCGGACGGCCAACGGCAGACTCGATACCATTTCAGCCTCGGTGGCGCGGGTTCCTGCGCAAGTCAGAGACCCCGTGGATCTGCGATCATCAGGTGCAAAGGACAATGATCTATCCCGCTGCCGGTATGGTCACGATGGTCCTTGAAGCTGCTAAGCAGGTGGCGTCAGACGGCTTCGCGGCCATCGAGATCACTGGGTTCAGGATTCAAAAGGCTATGATCATTCCAGAAACCGAGCACGGATTGGAATATGCTTTAAATTTGAACAAGCAGGCTAGTTACCCGGCGGGATCACCGGCCATGGACGTAGACTCCTCGTCATCAACAGCGCTATCGAGCATGTTCGAGTTTTTCATCTACTCGAAGCAGCTGGATGGACCGTGGGAGGAGCACGGTGATGGGTTCGTCACGATTCATCGCAGTCGCTCTAGCAATGGAGTAACGGCTAACAACCAGACTCGCGAGGTGAGCCCCACCCGAGATAACGGGTATTATCAGTCGTACCTTGATGCGAAGAATACTTGCGACGAATTAGTTATACCACGACAACTTTACGAGACTTTGGATGTCATAGGCATGAATTATGGCCCCTTATTCCAAAACATCAGTTCTCTTCGCAAGAAAGACAATGCGTGCGTCAGCGTCGTTTGTGTTCCGGACACTAAATCAGTTATGCCAGCCAACTTTGAATACCCTCACATTGTTCATCCGGCAACCCTGGATTCAATCTTCCAGACAGCTTTCGCCATTGGCGGCGACCCCATGGTTCCCTCTTTCATTGGTAGTCTTTACCTATCGGCTGAGTCCGATATGCTTTCGACGACTGGGCAAGAACTCGCAGTCCGTACTCAAGCGGATCTTCAAGGCTCACGCGACGCATCTGCATCATTTGTTGTCGCGGACGACTCTTGGTTCGGCAATGCCGATCTCCGGAACCATCCGCTCATCGTGATCAAGGACATGACGTTTACTGCATTGGCCTCGACCCTCACAAGCGCGGAAAATGGGTTCCTAGCGAATCATCACAATCTCTGCTCCGAGATTGTGTGGGAAACCTTAGATGGACCTTTAGAGGCCGAGGAGGGAGATACGCTTGCGCGGAATCTGTATCCTACTGAACCAAAGAGTCGAGTGCTTATCCTCGTTCCGGGAGGGGTAGACGTTGGTCTTGGGAAACTATGCTCCGCATTTACGGATGTCTTCGATTGCGATATCCGAACGTTGAGTGGCATTGAGAATGATGAACGGCTACCTGAATTCTGCATATCTCTCCTGGAGGCTGATGGTGAACCGCTGGTTTGGAATTGGTCTGAGCAGGATTTCCTTGCCTTCCGAAACGTCGTTATTGCTACTAAGGGTATATTATGGATTACTCGAGGCTCACAGCTGGAGGCGAGTAATCCCCGATCTTGCCTCATCCAGGCTCTTGGCCGCACCATTCAGTCGGAGTATCCCACCAAGAAGTTGATCTCACTTGACATAGACGTCACGACAGACATCTCCTCAGAGCGTCCTATTGAGATGATCATCAACATTTTTGGGCGATCCTTCCTTGGTCCAAAGACCGGCAACGCAACAGAAACGGAGTATGTCGAAAGAGAAGGACAGATAATGGTTCCAAGATTGGTCCTGATAGAAAGGCTCAATTCTCTCATTGAGCGTGGCTCCGCACCAGCCGAGCCAATCCTAGAGAACATACAAAATCCACATGAGAGACCGCTCAAGCTGGAGATCGGGAAATTGGGTGATGCAGGCAGCTTATACTGGCTGGATGATCCCGACGCTAACCTCCCTATTTCTTCGTACGATGTGAAGATTAGGGTCCTGAAAACTTCGCTCAGCGACCTAGACGTCGACATTATGCAGGGGCGAGCGCCGGATGACCTTTTGGGAACAGACGTGTACGGCATAGTCGAGCAAGCTGGAGAGAATGTCACGAACGTTAGAGTAGGTGATTGCGTCGTGGGCATTGCTCGTGGAGGCTTGAGGGACTTTGTGATATGCCACGGAGACCTAGTATATAAGGTCCGTCGTGAATCACGTCCCCGTTTCCCTACGAGCTTCTCCGTCGCCCTCCACGCGCTTGGGGTACTAGGGGATAGCGATGTTGTCTTAGTACATGACGGTGCAGGATCTTTCGGTCAGGCAGCGATCTACGTTGCCCAAGATCAGAAGGCCACGGTGTTGGCCACTGCAGAGACTTGCCAGCAGCGTGCCGTACTTAGAGCTTTATTCGGACTCTCGGACGAGCACATACTCGACTCGGGCGAGGAAAACTTTGTGGATCAGGTAATGCAACTAACGCAGAACAGGGGCGTTGATGTGATCTTCGACCCGGGCGCATCGGTTAGAGATTCCAATATCAAATGTATTGGAGAAGGTAAGCGCCTATAACAAGATTGGGGTAGGATGGGGGCATTTGCTAATAAATTTCTCAGGTGGTCGTATAATCGGGTTCGCGAACAAGCCCAACCAAAATAAGACGGCACACCAGGCCGAGGTTGCTGGCAAATCGTTCAGCTGCACTATTCTAGATGTACCATCGCTGATCAAGAAGCAGCCAGAGCTACTTAGCGAGAGCTTGAAGGCAGTCTATCCGTCATTGGGTCCGAAGCAATTTCTCGCAGAAGATCCCCATAGTTACTCCGAATACGACTATTCCGAGCTCAAGGATGCCTTCGCGGAGATGGACCGGTATAATGCTGGTGGTCAGATTTGCTGCCAACGACCTGCAGTTCCGAAACAAGTCTGGACTGTCCCGCGACCTCCTCGCCCTACGAGTGACTATCTACACCAGGACGCAACTTATGTGCTTTCCGGTGGTTTTGGTGGCCTTGGCGTTGAGATCGCTAAGCTTCTCGCACTTAACGGAGCTAAGCACATAGCTTTCCTATCACGGTCTGGTGCGAAAAGCGAGCTAGCAAACTCATGCATCGCTCTTCTCCGCAGCCAGGGAGTAGATGCTCGGGATTTCAAGGTAGATATCTGTGATGGCCAAGCACTTGAGAAGGTCTCGAGGGAGATCGGCGAATCGATGCCGCCTGTGAAAGGATTGTTCCAATGTGCAGCTGTGTTGCGAGATTCCGTGTTCGAGAACATGACATACGAGGACTGGAAATTGGCAACCAGACCCAAGACACTTGGTTCCTGGAACCTCCACCGAGTGATGGGCGGCCACTTGGACTTCTTCATATTCTTGTCTAGTTCGGCAGGTGTCATCGGAAACCGTGGACAGGCGAACTACACGGCAGGCAATGCATTCCAAGATATCCTTGCAAGACACATCAACGAGAAATGCAGAGATACGACACACGCCGTATCGATCGATCTAGGCCCGATCTTAGAAGCGGGAATGCTCGCAGAAGATCCACGCTTGCTAGACGTACTTAAGGCCAGCGGATTCTTTGGAATCAGATTGCAGGACTTCAAGCGCATAGTTGAGTGTGCAATTACCGGGCAGATAGCAGGTGGCTTGCAGACACCAGCTCAGATCGTCACAGGGGTCGGCACGGGCGGACTTATTCGCCAGAACAAGCCGGCGGACCCCTACTGGACTCGAACATCACTGTTCATGCACCTCAACGATGTGGATATGCCAGAAGGTTGGGCAACAATTTCCGACGAGAACTCGGACTCTCAGAACGACATGCAGCGAATGCTGGCGCAGGCCACGAGTATGGAGGCGAAAGGAGTCATCGTTACTAAGGGACTTCAGGAAATGTTGTCGAAGAGCATGAATATGGACCCATCCGACGTCGAGGTCTCGAGACCACCTAGTGCTTACGGCGTGGACTCACTGGTTGCGGTTGGAGTACGTAACTGGGTGTCTAGAGAGTGTTCTGCCGATGTGAGCATCTTCGAGGTGCTCAGTGACACTAGCATCTCTAAGCTCAGTGAAATGATTGTGGAAAGAAGAGGTACACAGTAGTCAGTGCCTTCAGGACGAGATACGATTGTTGATCCTCTTTCGGTTACGACGAGGCTGGGTTGAGTTGGCTTGACGATGCTACGATAGCTGATTTAAACAGGGGGTCTAGGTGTATAATGAGTGTTTTTATTCATAAGAAACTAAGCTGGGTGTTAAAGGTTGAGATGAACAAGTGTGATTGGTTAGATATATGAAGATGACGACGTCGACAGCAATGGTGGTGAGGATGCGTAACCGTATAAGTGAGTCTGACAGGCTTGAAGCACTATGTTGGGAGCTAACGGGATGACGTAGGTGGCTTTCAACCATCACATCAGATTGGTCAAAAGACAGAAAGAGATGCCAAGCCACGTAATCTCTCATGATACATACCTGGTAAGTACCTACACACATATGTATGTATCTGGGTATATTAGTGGTTTGTATAGTATGTTACATGCATGAGAATTAATTCCCCTCAAGTGCTACTCCCCTGCCCCCCCCTGCTACTTACCCTCTCTAGGTAGTAGTATAGGACCCTATTTAGGTGCTAACGCCTGGGTACTAGGCTGCTAGGTAAGAACTTCACCACCTAGCACCTAACAGCAGTCTAACATATCTAAAAAACAACAACTTCCAAGGTTGTATGGATTTTCTTGGCAGCTGAGTATGGATTTCTTCCTCAATTCTTCCACTCCTTTTTCTTATTTTATTTCCTTATTTCCTTATTCCTCATCCGTATCTTTCACTCCCTGACTCCCTCCTCTTTCCCAGGGTTGTTGACTTGAAGTGTGTGATATAACCTGGGTATCTTGTCATTTGTTAGTTCAACGTTGGTGGGATGATCTGTTAAATCTCAGCATACGCGCGCGCACCACACCAGTACCATTGGCCTCCTGTTCGTCTTCAGCCAATCGATTAGATCCCTCACTCCCAGCGATTAGTCACAAACCTGTGTGTTCACTACATCTTCGACATATGTGCCTAGAAGCTCCTAAGGAGAAGTTGTAAGATCACTACATATATATATATATATATGTGCCTATATATTTTATGAACCTTCCCTCTTCCCCCCCCTCTCGAATCGTGTGTGTGCATGTTTTCCTTCGCCAGCCACTCACTCCTATCGCCAATGGGGATCTTCTCAACTCTGGTGGCCGCGTCCGCCGTTGCCGATGTTGTGATCGCGCAAAGAGTCATTCCTGTTGGCTTTAGCAAACCGACAGCGAGACTACCGGCGCTTCACAGACGCGGCGGGACCTATTCGCAAGAGCTGAATAACAATCTAACCGGCGGCGGTTACTACGCCCAGGTTACGGTAGGGACACCGCCACAGACCGTTGATTTGATTGTCGACACCGGGAGCAGCGATGTCTGGATATTAGATTCGAATGCCAACCTCTGCCATTCTAAAACAATGCAGTCACGCTACGGGTACTGCTTATCGACTTATGATTCATCCAACAGCTCGACTTACTCCGTCGTTTCCCAGGACGCATTTAGCATCCGTTATGTCGACGGGTCAGGGGCTGAGGGCGACTATATCAAGGATAACTTTAGCATTGGTGGAGCTGATATTAAGGCCCTACAGATGGGTCTCGCCGAGAATTCCACTATCAACTCCGGCCTCCTGGGCATAGGGTTTGCTGCCAATGTCGCTGCAGAGACCCCTTACCCGAATATCATGGATCTGTTCCAGAACCAGGACCTTATTGCCATCCAGGCCTACAGCTTATATCTGGTATGCGCACCTCTAATGTGTGGCTAGCTAACATGTCTGGCGCACCATAGAAAATTATAACGCAGGCTAACCTTATTCCCTTTTTTCTTCTTCTTCGCAGGACGATTTATATGCCGCGACTGGGACGATACTGTTTGGCGGTCTTGATACCGAGAAGTTCATCGGCGAGCTCAAAACCGTCGACATCCAACCGGATCGCTACGGCAACTATTCCTCTTTCACCGTCACTCTCTCCTCCCTGACAACGACCGCCGATAATGGCACCGTGGCCAACTATACTACCCGATCTGCCGTCCCGGTCATTCTCGATTCGGGCACTACATTGACCTACGTCCCGTCTAGCATAGCAAACCGCATATTCCGCGCATTTGGCGCTGTGGACGATACCTCCGGCACAGGACTTGTTTTCATAAGCTGCGACTACTTGGACGACAATAAGAACCTCACCTTTGACTTTCAGTTTGGTGGCAAGGATGGTCCCGTCATCCGTGTTCCGGTCGACGAGATGGTACTAAATAATGTACAAGAATATGTAGAACTAGGCTTGGACGTGCCCTCGATGCCATTCGATAATGTTTGCAGCTTCGGTCTACAACCCAATTCCGACTATTACCTACTGGGTGACACATTCCTCCGTTCGGCGTACGTGGTTTACGATCTCACCAACAAGCAGATCGGTTTAGCTCAGGCCAACCTGAATAGCACCAAGAGCAACATCCTAGAGATCACCCAAGAATCAGGTATTCCGGATGCCAGTGGCGTCGCCTCTCAGGTCACCGCAGAGCAGACGGCCACGGGGCTGCCCGGTACTGGCAACTCCAATGGTGGACAGTCCGCCACGACTACTGGCTCCTCAAGCACGCCGTCTGGCCAGAGTAGCGGGAATGCCGGCGCAAGAGCTGTATCCGCCCCCAGCTGGGAGGCCCTGGCCGTAACTGCTATAACGGGCTTGTTCGGGTTAATGGGCGTCGGCTTAGTCGTGTTATAGACAGGTTGACGATCTTAAGAGACATAGCACTAGATGCGCCTACCTTGGAACCTTGGAACCTTTGGTGGGTATGATTATTGGATATGCCGACACCCTAGAAGGCGTATCATCCTGTACATAGATAAGTAAATTCTCTTCATGGGATCTCATAACTGAGCGTGCCCTTGCACCTCGATGGCGGATCCATTGCCTACACAGTACATAATTACAGCGTAGCCATCATATTTTGTACAATTCTTATCAGTTATGCGGCGTCGGCCATGATATGTATTATACGCGCCGGACAAAACTAGACCAGCGTCCATGGGCACATCAATACCTAATGATCGGCCTATCCCATCTGCTCATATCTCTCTCTTGCCTTGTCCTTTGCCTTCGAAACGAAGTCTGCGTAGTCGTTCTTTGTGGCCCGAGCTGCCTCCTCAGAAGCATCTCCGATCTTGCCACCCTCTGCCCCGAGACCAACTCCTGGAGCATACGCCATCGTCTCGATAATGTCCGTACGTCCGCCTCCTTCGGCCCCGAGGCCTTCCCCCGTACTCCATCCCATTTTAGCTAGCAAGCCCGCACCTTTTGAAATCAAAGGCTTCGCTGATAGCGTCTCCGCAGCGGGTCCGGAGTCTTTGATTGCCTGGAGGTTCTTTCTAGGAAGATGGGGTTTCGGCTTTTTAGGCTGGTTGTGCGTCATTCGGCGCTCCTTGGCCCGATCCCGATAGTTAGATATGGGCTCCTTGCCAAGAGCCTTCAAGTCTTTGGTTGCCTTAGCTATGAACGATTCATTATCGAGATAAGCCTTGTGCATATCGCTTATCTGCTCATGCCTGCGGAGGGAGGGCTCGCTCTTGAACTTGCGCCTACACAAGAGGCAGCACATTTTATCAAGATCGGCGTATGATATGGTGGACGGTGTCGCCAACCCCGCTGGAATGCCTAAGCCTGTCGGACCTATGGCGTTGGATCCGGTTGCAGGCGCCTTGCTGTCCACGGGATCCCCACCGCTACCACCCGACTCCTTAGATCCGTAAAGCTCGGCGTGCTTGTTTGCCCACTTCTGCAACTGGGGAGCCATCGCAATGACCTTTTTGCCATTAGGCGCGACAAGGTCTTTCTCCGCTTTCCTCTTTTTGGAATCTTTACCCGCAGGTCGATCGGCGTCAGTCTTGAGCTGTTCGGTAGTCTGCGTCTTGTCCTCGTATAAGTTCTCATTGAAGACGGTGAATTCGTTCGCATACACTGATGGATTCCAGTAGACGAGTCTCAGGGACTGGTTATGAGCTGCTGAAAAGGTGAACCTGCGCTCCTCGTCCTCGACCGGACGTAGGTATGGTATGAAGACGCCAGAATGTATATACGCTACGGTAATAGGTTTCGAAGCAACGGTGAACTGAGGGGAAGCGGCATACTTCGCCATGGCGGCTCGCGCATCGTCCAAGGTCGAGAATTCGGCGAATCCGTAGTTGCAGCTGATGTCCGAATACTTGTCTCTGATCATAAAGACACGGACCAACGAGCCAGGCTTAGCACCTAAGCCACTGGTATTTCCAATCGGGGCTGTACTCTTGAGCTTGTTTGGCGTGATGGAAGATTGTTTAGGCTCATCTTCCCTCGTCACGTAAAGCTTCTTTATATCGCTAGCTAGCATCGTCTCGGTTACTGACGAAGCTACGTCACGGATGACAAGGAACTGGGATGGCGTTTGTTGCGGACATTCGTCACTTTTGCCGTCCAGTTTCATATCCGCAGTATTTTCTACTAATGGCCAAAGATGTCAGCCCGCGAGACTGCTGTGCTTGAAATTCTTGTGTAAATTTACACTTACATGATCGAGGCGCCTTACACTGCTTGCAAGTAACTCGTCGAGAAAAGTTCTCGAAGTGACACTAATGGCGCAAGTTAGGTCGTCTGCGGACTATGACAGTATGGGTGTATATCAGCAACTCAAGGCTCACCATGGTACATTTCCAATCGTCGGGGTTTGCGATGTGACGACGCTCGCGACTATACTCGATAGGAATGCGAATGGAGGAACCGTGGCTTGTAACAATGTCGAGAGCAGGGTAGTGTCTCTCAAGAAACTCGATAGCATCATCTTCGGATCTAAACTCGGCGAATGCATACGACCGTCGAGCCCCTTTTCTGCACTTAGCGATGGGGTAGTACGGCAAGATGTTGAAGACAATCACTTACCGCTTCTATCGTCGGATTTGATGCGAACCTCAACAAGACTAGAAGCTCCCATATCCCGCATAATAACATCGATCTATTGAAATATTAACCCGGTGAACGTATGCGAGGCGCAGAATCGAACTACCTCCTGCGTGCTCATCCTATCCGGGATATCATCTAATTTAAGGGTATGGTATGGCCGCCCAAGCCTAGATCGGCGATTGGGTTCATGGTAATAGCCATCATCGGCTGAATCGAAAGGAGACGAGGCGCCCGAATTGGCGCGGCGGGGACTTCTGTTGTTATTGTCGTTGTGGTAGCGCCCCCGAGGATCGTCGTGGTCTACATAATGTCGATCCCGATCTCTACCTCGACCATGGTCACGATCACGGTCACGATCACGGTCATACGCGGGAGAATATGCGGGCGAATAGTCGGTTTCGTTGTTATAGAGTTCGCCACTGGACCTTATAGCACGATCTGGGAAGGATTGGCGAAGCTCGGTGGACGCGTCTCGTCTTCGCCCGACAGAAGAGCGCCGAGCACGGTAGGATTCCTCTCCTCTCGGTCCCCTTGGAGGTGTCCTTTTGGGAGACCTAGAAGATTCTTTTCCTCGCAAGGAAGTTAGCGCAAGCTCAGTTTAAATCTCGACAAGTAATCCTCCAGGCTATATTATTTTACCATGCCGCGAACGATAGTGGTTATCTCTAGGAGCGGGCGATCTACGCCTGTAGTAATCCCGCTCGTCACGAGGTCGATGGTCGTAGTCGTCGTACATGTTTAGTTAATTAATTATTATTCGTGCATCGAACATAGGAGCGGTATAGAGCGTGATAAGAAATTTCGGTGACTAATTTCGGAATTGGAGTTGAAAGGTGGTGGTGATTGATGGTGATGATAATGAATTTATGATGGACGCTGCGCATTTCGTAATGAGCTAAGATTCTGATTCTGTCTGCGAGGTAAAACATCGGATAATTACATGGAAGTACCTACATTAGGTGGTAATTGATCTGGGTGATCTGGGTAGCCCCAAGATGACATAACCAAGATACCAAGATACCAAGATACCTTCCAAATCCCCGAGTCCCGAGGCTTTTTTCTTTAAATGTTTTTTTATACTACTTACTATACTAACCTAAACCTAGAATGTCTTTTCACTTGTTAACCTACCCCTCAACATATACTTACCTTATATCGCGAACAGGAAGATGGCTCGTGATCTAAACGAGATCAACGAGAGTGGCTGCTATGTCGCGCTCACCAACCAGCATCTAAGCATAAATGATGTGATGGACAGAGTTCGTAGTCCGCATGCTGGTGCATTAGTCATGTTTGCGGGTTAGTCGTTAAACTCTTCGTCACTTAATTCGCCTAAATGTTATTGTTTATCCTTGCCACCTCGATCCCCTATTCTGATTCTTCACAGGCACCACAAGGGATAATTTCGCTGGCAAGCTGGTTAAAGAGCTTCAGTACTCGGCGTATAATCCTCTAGCATTACGAACAATGCTTTCAATCTGCAAAGCAATCCATGCCGAACATGGTCTCATATCGATAGCTATGATTCATCGCCTCGGAATCGTGCCTATCGGAGAGGAGAGTATTCTCATAGCGGTATCTGCGCCACATAGGCAAGCCGCATGGAGGGCCGGCGAACGGGCCCTCGAAGATTGCAAAGAACGTGTCGAGGTCTGGAAGAGAGAAGAATTTGACGGTGAAGAAGGCATTTGGAGAGCCAACAGAGATGGCGCGACTGGCCAGAAAGTCTCCCAGGCAGACACAACATCTACCTAAATCGCTAATCTCCCCTTTCTATTTATACTTAGAAATCAGGGTGTCTATCTATGCACGTTCTAGCACGTACAGGAAGTCGTACTCTTACCTAAGAAGACAACGGCAATACGTATAAGAATACTACTTGTCCACCACGGTCTTTCGGCCGTCGGTTGAGACGATGTTATGACTCGGGTAGCAACATACCACCCCAAGGTACACTCCACGAACCGTCCTCCAGCTCCGAATGAGTATTACTTTAGGACGGAGCATCAAATATACCGCACCGGATCCCGGCTAAACGGTTGTTATCGAGCCAAGGACCAGCAAGAGAGTCTCGATTCTTGGAGCCAAGAATTGACGTTCTTTCCTTAGTATTAGTGGTTAACGGCTGCTTTGGTGTATGAGACGAGACTTACTTAGCACGTACTCATAGAAACGTTGCACTGATACTCACAACCATATTCTTGTTGAAGGTTGAAAGATATATAGATACCTATGCACTTTCGGGACCGGGAAGGGGATGTCAGGTACGTATCTACCCATGCTGTATGTAGGTAAATACCTAGGTACCTAGTTAGATCGGACCGAATTTGCCAAGTCATGGACTATGGACAACGGACGGCGGGACTCGGATCCAATTAACAGGAGCAACAAGAAAGAATACTAGCAGACTAGGTATGCTAGGTATGCAATCATTTATTTCCGACACGCGATCGTAGCCCGACAATAGTACTGTACCTACATGTATACATAATTACCTACCTGCATATCTATGTAATACGTAGGTAATACTACCTACAAGTACGGGTATCTAGATACATGTATATTCTGTGCAGCTTATGTACCCAATTAACTACATACATACCTAGTAACTATCACACCGGTCGATCCATCATGGATGTTACTATCTCTCTGAACTGAACTGCTCTCTATTAATTGGTCGTATTTTCAAGATAGACTTGTGGGTACTGTCTAACGCGGCACAGAAGTCTTAGAAGTGGGGAAATGTGATTCGCTACAAATTCCCTCTCTTGCAATATGCATGGGTTGAGAGGCGCTTGCCCGAGAGCCATGTATCCAGTACTACATATGTATCTACCTACTGTACCTATGTACATACACAAGCGGAACTGGCTAGTGCTAGGCTACCTGCTGGGCTAACCTAGACCTATAGGTACCCTACGTTAAAATAAATATATATATATATACAAAAAGGGACCCTTCGAAAATAAGCATCTTCCTTTTTCTGGGGTTGGTCTTGGCGACCACGCGAATTGGCGGACTGGCGATCTAGGACGCGATAATAGAGCTGCGTTAGGCTCCATACCCGGTTCCACTGTGCTGGGTAGGGGATGGAACGCAACCAAACTGCAGGATAGAGATATCTTGTCGACGAGGTCTGCGCTGCGGCCGACCAATGTTATATCCCTTCTGTCCAGAGATCCAGCCCGTATTTCACGCAAGTTGACAGGTCGACTACCTAGTGGGTAGGTACTTAAGACTTAATTAAGTCTTACCTAGGTACCCTTCTTCGGACCCTGATCCTAGCCACGAGAGACCTCCGGAAACCAGAGTCTAGGTGGAAGACCTGTATGGTTTCTGAGTCCGCCTATCACATTGGCGCATGTGCACTTGTCTGAGGACATTCCTTCTAATATACAGAGTACCTAGTACCTAGTATATATATGGCCTCTTTGTATCACATCATTTTCAACCTACGATAATCCCAATCTGGATTTCTACCTATCTAGCGTGCTATGTACGCGTACGGAAGACCAAAGGCGGTATACTCAACACATCCATGACGGATCCCTCAACTATTTCCATCGCCGCTCTACTTGGGCAGTCGGGGTAATATACTAGGTAGGTATAAGAGCTACCTGCCTACCTACAAACATACATACATACATAGCCCGTCGCGCCGCGGTTATTCATCCAGTTGGTTGTCCAATTTAGGCAGGTCGCCTATTACCGGGACCCTCATATGCACCCCCAGGGTGTCCCCAGATTATATCTATGTAGTCTCGAAGATCTTAGACGCGAATTCCTTAAGCCGGGTTACCATGCTGTCGTCCGCTAAATACTACGGCTTACGGTCTCACCCTGGTTACGGTCCCGGCTGATAGAAACAATGGTGCATATGGATTCCCTTTGTTCACATCTACGGCGATGTGTATAAGATGGAGTGCCACCCCGATTCGTCTCAGATTTCAATATTACCTTTTTTTTTCTTTTTTTTCTTTTCTTTTTTTTTCAATATTTCATTCCTTCCTTCTTTCCCATCTTCGTCTACGTTGTAGTGCGGTTAATCAAGCATGAGAATCCCATTTTGATATTGTTTCGACCGTACCTCGGGACCATGGGTTTCAGCTTCCGTAAGCGTGGCACCACTGAAGAGATCACTCTCGCGAGCATCTCCTCCTCCAATGAAGTAGTGGAGGTGACCGGTACTGCGGCTCTGAATACATTACAGCAATTCGAAGAACAGCATAAATTCGACCCCAATCTACCGATCCCGGAACTCAATGTCATCGATGCCGCTCTCGCTGCTGGCGATGCAGAAAAGGGTGTTGAGATCGAGACGACCCTCGTTGAGGAGAATAGCCCCTATCCGGAGGTAAGCTCCCCCCTTAGCTCCAGGAGGATCTATACGATATTTAGCTATATCTGAACATACGAAAAGGTGCGCGCCGCTGTAAGAAACTGGGATGTCGACTTGCCGGCCAACACGATTCGCGCCTGGGTCATTGGCTTGATTCTGTGCACGGTTGGGTCGGCCGTCAACATGCTGTTTTCGTTGAAGAACCCTACCATACAGATAACCACATATGTAATCCAGCTGGTTGCGTATCCGGTCGGACTAGGATGGGATTTGATCTTCCCTGACCGTCAGTTCTCTATTTGGGGTGTGAAATTCAACTTCAAGCCAGGCAAGTTCAACTTTAAAGAGCATGTCATTATAGTAGTCATGTCGAATGTGAGCACAAGCTGGACAAAACCCAAATCGAATGACAATTTTTTGACACGTGGTTATAGGCAGCCTACGGGGGTGGCTTCTTGTATGCCACAGACGTCTTGATTGCTCAACAGGTCTTCTGTAGGTTTCCTCCTTGGTCCATGGTTTCACAGTCTCGCTAATGTAGATGGGAAGATAAGCAGCACTTCGGCTGGGGGTTTCAGTTGTTATTTGCCATCACCACTCTTTGTACGGGATAGTATGTAATACCAAAACCTCTTCTTTCCCCCTTTTCCACCTTTCCCCCCCTTTTCCCCCTCTCCCCCTTCTCCCTTAGTTTATCTTTAAAGTCCGAACTTTCCAACCAAGCCCCGAGATGTGATCCCCGCGCCTCAGGACCCTCCCTGGGAGAAGAAGTCGCTGATTCTCGATATAGTGGCCTAGCTGGTTTGGGAAGGCGATTTCTTGTCTGGCCAGCTGCTATGATATGGCCTTCAGATCTCGTAAACGCCTCGCTATTCTACGCGTTACATGACCATTCCCCTCCTGACCCTTCCTGTGCAAACGGCTGGAGAATCAGCCGATATCGATGGTTCTTATACGTACTTGGGGGAGGGTTTATATGGTATTGGTTTCCGGGTTGGATCTTCCAGGGCCTATCTTATTTCACCTTTATCTGCTGGGCCGCCCCTAAGAACGTCGTGGTCAACAAAATCTTTGGAGGTTTACACGGTTATGGTTTGCTACCGACTACTCTGGACTGGACAGTCGTCTCTGGATACGCGCTTTCTCCGCTTATCCCCCCTTTTCATGCTGTAGCCAACACCGTGGCAGGCGTCGTTATCTTCTTCATCGTTCTTTCGATGGGCCTGCACTTTTCGGGGCATTGGTACGCGGATTACTTCGTCGTTCAATCTTCCAGTGCGTTCGACAATACCGGCGCCGTGTATGATGTCTCCAGGATCCTGAACGAAGATCTGGTATTCGACGAGGAGAAATATAAAAGTTATTCCCCCCTGTTTCTCTCTACTCAGTTTGCTATAGCATACGGCTTATCGTTTGCCGCCGTCGCCGCCGTCATTGTCCATGTTGCGTTGTATAACGGAAAACAAATAGTTTCGCAGTTCAAACTTGCTCGCAAACAGTCGGACGACGTGCACATGAAACTGATGCAGAAATATCGAGACGCGGAGGACTGGTGGTATCTCGCCCTCTTCGCTATTATGATTGGCCTCTCGTTTGCCGTGTGTACTGCCTGGCCAACTGGGTTTCCCGCATGGGCTTATGTCGTCTGCATCGCGATTCCGCTTTGCTGGACGATCCCGATCGGAATTGTGCAAGCCATCACAAATATCCAACTTGGGCTGAACGTCCTGACTGAGTTTGTCATCGGTTACATGTTACCTGGTCACCCTCTAGCGATGATGATGTTCAAGAACTATGGCTATATCTGCATGTCGCAGGCTCTCGTAAGTACACGCCTGTGTCATTTTCTGATAACTTCTATCAATAATCGAGTGCCTGACCCTTGATCGCAGTATTTCTCGCAGGACTTGAAGCTTGGCCATTATATGAAGGTGCCTCCTCGTGCCATGTTTTGGTCGCAGCTTGTCGCGTCGGTTTGGTCCGCCGTTGTTCAAATTGCCGTCATGAACTGGGCCCTAGGAACCATCCCCAACATCTGCGCCGATGACCAGGTTGACAACTACACCTGTCCGAACGGCAGGGTTTTTTACACGGCATCAGTCATATGGGGTGCCATCGGTCCTCGCCGTAGTAAGTGGTCTTAATTAACATGGCTGGCTGGCTGACTGACTGGCATTACTAATGGGTGTGTTATCATAGTGTTCAGTGGCGACGCTCTCTACGCCTCCCTCCAGTGGTTCTGGCTCGTTGGTGCCATCGCTCCCATCATCACCTGGTTTGCGGCACGCCGCGCTCCCAAAGCTATGTTTGGATTTTTCCGCTCTATCAATATGCCGCTTGTTTTCGGAGGTTCAAGTATGATACCGCCCGCTACATCCTACACGTATCTCTGCTGGGGAGCGGTCGGCATGCTTTTCAACTACTACATCAAACGAAGGTGGAACGGCTGGTGGCTACAGTATAATTACATCACGTCGGCGGCTCTCGATTGCGGCCTTGCGATTTCAACCATCGTTATTTTCTTCACTCTCTATCTCACATCCGCCCAGCTACCAAAATGGTACGGGAATTATGATGTTTTCGACACGCTTGACCAAACCGGGATGGCGATCAAGAGCTTTGTTGCAGAGGGGGAAACCTTTGGCCCGGCGTCTTGGCCGTGACCGTGATCGTGGCCGTGGTCGGAGTCGTGATCATGACCAAGATCAATACATTTATAGATATGCCTATTGGGTGATTGGCCTGTTAGCAAAATATGAAAGAGCATATTTACGTGACGTGTATTTGGTGCTACCACGATCCGACCTGACCTGCCTAAGACCGATAGCATCATGTATTCAGCATCCCGTCAACACCGACGACACTGCCGTTCATGTACCTGGCCTCGTCACTCATCAGGAACGCCACGACCTAGACCAAGCCAGTATTAGTATTAGCCTGTATACACGATAATAATCAAGACTTACGCCCGCAACGTCGTCCGGGGTGCCCATTCTACCTAGTGCGTTGCCTTGCTCCATCCCCTTTCTCGCTTCAGGCGTCCCTTTGGCGATCCCAGCATTGGTTGGGGTGTCGATATAACCTGGCGCGATAACGTTCACACGAATATTTTTAGGACCTAATTCGAGGGCCATGCATTGACTGAAGCCGATGACGCCAAACTTGGTGGCGCAGTATATCGCCGTCCCCCTGGTAGGCTTCCACCCAGATATGGAGCTGACGTTAACATAGCTACCACCGGGCGTCGTCATATGTGGCATGGTGGCTTTTGTCACATTGTACACCCCCTTCAAGTTCACGCCGACGAGCCTGTCGAAATATTCCTCGCTCGTCTCCGTCAGGGGCATTGATGTTGGGTTAATTCCGGCGCAGTTAAACACATGGTCGATGCGTCCGTATTTAGCCACGACCTCTGCTACGCGCTGCACCACATCGGCTGCGTTAGATACGTCGAGGACAAGCGTCGTGTGGCGTTTTGAGCCGTCGTCGCTGTCGTTGCCGCCACCACAGAGTTCAAGGGTCTCGATGATGCCAGCTTCGTTGATATCCGTGATAGCAAGCACAGCTCCAAGTGTATGAAGTTTTATAGCCGTACCCTGTCTGGACAGAGAGGAATATAGGTAGTTACTAGGTAAGCAAGTGTAAAAGCAATGAAGAAATCCTTATAAATGCAAAGCAAATACTTACCCAATACCGCTTGCTGCACCAGTGAGGAGTATCACTTTACCCGTAAGACTTGAAGTCATCTTCAAACCGTGATCATTGCGGACGATACCTATCTAATCCGGTGCAAAGTACCTAGGCTTAGGTACCTAGGTAGGTATAAATCACACATCTTTTTATTACGCCGTGGCAGACGTAAACCCCCACTTGCGAGCTCCCCGCCACCGGGCTTAGATCTTATCTCTACGCATGCAGGATGCCAAGAGTGGGAGGTGAGAGAGGAGTTGAAGAGTGTTATTGATTGCGTACCTACCTAGATACCTAAATACTAGGCAGGTAGGTACCATTTGTAGCTTGTAACTTTGTAAGACAATAAATCTATGTATAAGCCCTGGAAATATGGATATGGATATGGTAATTACCCTAGACTCCGCCCCGAATATCCGAACCGAGTAACCAGGAGCAAGATAGATGCTAGGGTATATAAGGTAACTTACTATAAAAAATAAAAATGAATAAAAAAAAAAGGAAGAAGACGACGACGATAGGTAATGATGATGATAATGATGAAGGGGGGAATTCTCCCCACCCCGCCCTTTTCCTCCCCAAGTTTTAAAACGCCGTGTTGCTAGAAAATACGAGCCCTTCATTCATAAAATCGTTCGTCCCATTCATGTTCTAGTAATTCCACCGGGGCCGGCCACCACGACACTATAAAACGGGAGTTAGCGGCTATTTGGGAAAGAAGGAAAGGCGAGAATACGAAAACCAATATTACTTACTCAGAGGTCCTTCGATACTTGATACCTGACGACCCGTCGACATCACATTAGAACTGTCGCTGGCGACCTTCTCGTCGATCCATTCATGTTCCATCAGCTCGATTGGTTCGGGCCACCAGGACATCAACGGCCCGGAAATCTCCAATGCATGACTTTCTTCTAATGCAGCTATCCGGACATGATTATTTTGGCTGTCGAGGTCGGATCGCTCTGAAGGCTCAACGACAGTCTTGTAGGACTCCTCCTCCTCCGCTTGCCTCCCAAGGAAGACGGGGAATTCAAAGCCGTCTTCGAATCTTAGTGGACTCCTTCGATAATATATATCCGACGAGGGCGGAAAGTACACACCTTCGTCGAAGTCAGACTCGCAGTCGCTAAGGACTGGGGTTTCGTTGGTTTCTGTTTCGGGTGTCTGGACGCCCGATGGCTGGGACTCCAAAGGCGTGGTATAGCCGTCCCGATAGACATGGTTGATGATGACCTTGTCTTTGTGACCGGCGTGGTGTAAATGGTTCACATAGAGGAGATGGGAGAGGTCGTCTTCGTTGTAGATAGCAACCTCGGCGTTAGGGTTGCTATCTACTCGGACGGAGTTTGGTTCGAATGTCGTGACGTGAGACCGGGTGGCTAACTGTTCCATCTGGAAAATATCTCCTTGCATTTTCCCTCGATTGATAAAAAGGGTTGGTATGATTATGATGGTATTTGAATCTTGATAAAAGAGTGGTACATAGAATGTCCAGCCAGCTTAGAATCTTGGATACAGATAGATCTATTATTATTCTTCTTCTTTTTCTTCTTCTTATTTTTTAATCTTATATACATGAACCCAAGACATGGCACATGCTAGATGAGTCTCAACTCATCATCGTGCTAGAGCCATCCTCGAACTACTAAACCCGAACTATTCTCGTCTCATCCGATCAGGAGCTGATAGTTTCAAGTATTCTGTCCCGCCTAGCGGATGACTCCCTGAGGTTGAATAATCAAAAGGGGAGAAAGAAAAGCGGGTTTATGGTGGTATGTTATTGAATCACTATCCTATCGATGGTCGTATGATTGGCGCTGTAGAAATGTTTACAGGGCGTAAACTAAGGGCTGATGGGTCCCGGTTTATCCCGAATCAAGTCATTTTCTAGTCCGCTTGGCATATTCAAAATCGAAAATTTTTCAACGTTACGGGACGGCCCAGTGCGGTCTCAAGATTGGCGTCGCTCATGAATCTGGTTTACCGATCGGGGTCCGCGATCTCTTATGCCAAAAAGCGGTGATAGCCTTGGAAGCTAATAGCAGCCTGGCAGCCTGGGTCTTAGGAATCGGATATCATGGATGTATGTATAAGAAGAAGAAGTCTCCATAGTGGGGTTCCCTCTCTTTACCCACTGTATTTTACCTGCAGCATGAACTACGGCGTAAAATATTCTAGGTGCATAGGTACCTAGGTAGGTACCTAGGTAGGTATGTACCTAGGTGAATAGGGGTTTAAGGGGAAGGTAGGTACCTATGTAATTCGACAAGTCTCTAATTATTATCTGGAAAGTATCCAACTACATACCTAGTAGACTTTGGTGACTACCTACATGTAGATACGTATGTATGTATGTAGTCTTCTCCTAGTAAATACCTAACGACATTCAAGGTCATATCCTCATTAAATGAAATACATCTATACATATCAGTAGCTCAATCCCTTTCCCGGTTTTCAATCGCTTCCTAGAGCCAACCCGTTAGTCTTGTAGGGCGACCCGATAGCCTAAGTCTCATTTAGGCGACATCTGTTTATACTTACCTTGACATGACGAAGAACCTCCGCCTTCACAGTTTTTAGTTCTCTATTCGCATCCACCCGGACTACACGCATACCCGATTTCTCGAGGGCATCGAGCATCGGCTCACACTCGGCAACAGTCCGTTGGACTCTCAACCGTACCTTGTCCGAGTCCGCATCGTCTGGTCGCCCCGAAGTCTCGGATCGTCCCATTATTCGAGTGATTGAGATCTCAACCGGGCAAAACAGATATAACGTACTGTCCGCTGGCGGCATCTGCGCTAGCCATTCGGCCACATGTTCTTTCTGACGCGGAAATCCGTCGATAAGCCAGGTCATCTGCCCGTGCTGCAGCACCCCCGCCTCGATCGTGTTCCGGAGCAGCTTGACCGCGCCATGGGCGGGAAGCAACGGACTGTCCGTCCCCTCGCGCCGTGGGAAACTACTTATCCAAGACCCAGGAATCCGGTCATGGTAACGGACCAGATCACCGTAGGATAGGTGTGTCATGCCGGGTTCTGACTCCCAGATGGATTGCGAGAGCGTACCCTTGCCCACCCCGGGAGCCCCAAGTATAAAAATGATGAGCGGGCGAGGGAGCTGTCGTGTTGACGCTCTCCTTCCAGATACAAGGCTTAAGAGGGACGAAAATGAGGTATTGCGGAGGGAAGTTCTTAGGAAATGGCCAACGTCCAACATATCCAAAAATTTCATCTTGTGCATACTGAATACCTAGGTAATTATCGAATAGAACCACGATATAACAGAGGTAGATAATAGATCTATGCCTTCGGATATTCTAAACCAGGATTTAACACTCGGTTCAATTATAAGGCCACCTTCTCAGTGTAAAAGCGTTTGTAGATAGGAGGGATAGTCGTTGGCTTCAAGAGATAAGGGCGTTTGCAGTAAGATTGGCGACCAATAATAGCCACAAAATGAGTCCGAGCGAGATAGCTCAATATACTCACATCCAACTGACATATGATCTATAATAATCTATTTTAAAGTAGGTAGATTGAAAAAAATCAACGAATTAGGTACCTAGCAAACAGTGCAGTTCAATTTGACCGGGTTTAGTTGAAGGATTGTCTGCCGAAAGGTACACATGCTAACGAACGTGAGAATTATTTATACTTCTAACAATTGTATGGCCTGGTAACCTAGGTGTCAGTATCATAATGATGATACCAGAACCATACCTAGCGAGGTAGGTAATTATCGAATCAAGGAGAACGCGCTCTTTCAGATCCTGTCTCGGAGTTGACTTCTCGCCGTACCATCCCAGAGAATCTAGATACAACTGTAGAAGATAGATTACACACATCTTACCTACCTAGGTACTTAGGTAGTTAACCGGCACCTAGTCGTATTATTATTCTACAAACTAGGTACTTATAGTATTCTATGTGCAGCTAGACAAGAAATACACGAGAAAATATAACTTAGCTACCTAGCTTCTTTGCAACTCTTGCCCCCCGTCTATTCCAAACCTTCATCACCTATCTTCTCGAATATCGGCCCAAATCTACCATACCGGAGACTCCCAACTTGCCTTGGTAAGGCCCAGAAGCCGGCAAAAGAACCTGCACCCTTGGGAATTGGACAAGGACTAACACTGAACACGCTTGATTGGCGAGGGGAGGGTGGGTTGAGTGTATAGATCGTCCGCTGGACAGTGCGGTTCTTGACGAGATCGGGATCCTGTTTCGAGAAATCCATTCTTCGGCCAGATGTCGTTAAGAACTATGTAATGGTTATTTTTGGTAGGCTGAATTAGGGGGGTCTGACTTGCAGTCATGGAGATAATATTATGTTCTCGGTTGCCTCCTACTTCCATCTGTACTAGTTTCTCGCCAGAAGAGAGGGTCACCGAAGTTCCATCTGTCCCCCGAACACCAAGGGCTATGCGCCTCCCATCTTCGTAAATGAAGGTCAGACCAGATATTTCTCTAGCTATTTCCTTGAAGCTTATTTCGATAGTCGTGACGAGATTTGGTCGACTGTCTTCCCGAGCCTCCTGCATGAATACCTTTTGCGTAACCGCCCACGGGGGACAGGAATAATCGTTCGAATATACAAGCGACCGTGTCTTGCCGTCGTTTGTTGTTGGTGAATAGAAGACCCGTACATGATCCCACTAAGATATGAGATGTTAGAAACTGCGAAAAGTGGCCCACAGATCTGACCAGATGAGTTGACAATCCCCGAGAAATCTTGGTAGGTAGGTTGAATATATGGGTTCTGATCATGAATATGAGTTTATATGAGGAATTGGTTCGAAAATACTGACTTCGTGATTATATACCCAGAAAATCCCGCTCTTTATTGCTGGATTAGCGAAAAAGTGGTCGTTTGATAGCTAGGTGGATTATCTAGATGGTTAATTGAAACTCACCAGTTTTTCGAACGGGTTTTCCCGGTACTGCAGACATATCTTTCCACCTCTGTGAGAGTCTAGGAATTCCATGGTATTACCAAGGACAGTTCCCAATCTAAGTCTCTTGATAGGTCCATACTTCACTCGCCTATGTCGGTTCGTGTAATCGTGCCAAGTTACCACCTCTGTTATCCTATCCCCTATTGGCAGATCCAAGCTACCGAGCTCTTTCATCCATTGCCCTAATATTACTGGTGCGTTAGAGTCGTGATATTCAAGCCAGAGACCCGAGATATGGCCTTGTATGTTGCTATGGCTTTCGTCATTTACCGAAACACGAACTTTGCTAAGATTTGAAATGTCGGCAGCGGTGAAAGCAAGACCACGAGGATAAGCCAATATGTCTTCGGCTGATTTCTGGATATCGACGGTGAAAGGAAGGTGATGGGGAACACCTGACGGCTCAAATACAGGCTCACGTAATTTTGTGTTTATAACCTGGGAATGAGCGGAAAAGTTTCTGAAGTGTCCGAGAGGCGACTTTGGTCGATATATCAGCTATATTACTTCATGGTAATCCAAAATTCTATTGATCTTCTTACCTGGATCTTCACATGGAAAGTTGTGAAGTGCATCCCTGGTGTAGGTCGTAGGACTTGAACTGCCTCCCTATCTTTGGAGGGACCAAAAGAATCTTTCCCATATAGGCGAAATTGCTGCATCCTATCGAAGTTGGTCGAAATCTAGATTAAACATGATATGAATCATCATTCTCAAAAGGTAGTAGGTAGTTATACGCTATCCAGATATCGAGGAAGTAGATAAATAGTAGGTAGGGAAAGGGGCCGTACCGTGATTGCTTGGATAGTATCCGCCTCGGGACATCGAGAAATGATGATTTCAGTCATCAGTTCTCCTCGAGATCCATCGACGAGGAAACACTGCCGAATTGACGGCGTGCTGGCCATGTCATCGAGGCTGTTTCTGAATGATTTGCGGCCATAAAGGCGCTCGCTTCCGTCACCGTAAATAAAACATATTCCTAGAAATACTGAAGGATAACCTCCCATTAAGGCATCAATTCTAACTAGCGACTGTAGTAGTTGTCCACCGGGGCCACCGAAGTCCATGTTGAGGCATAGGTTGAAGTGCTGCGTAGACGAGGACTCGGGGAAACACCACGTTGGAGGAGTTATGGGCATGTTCGGATTCCACACCTCCAGTGGCCCTGTATTATGAGATCCCGGGTCCGCGTACTTCTTAATAGGATTAGACAGAGTTCGTACCTCCTGTCCCATGAGCGAAATGGATATTACTTTGCATGCCTGCTTCAACTATTAGACATTACATTCAACCAAAGCTAGGCAATCGCCTCCTTAACTTACGTCGAATCCAAGGTAGAAGCCAGTGCACCGTGTATCCTCCTCTCCTGGAATTAGTTTAGCAACCCCACTCCCCGGATCTGTGAGTTCCATGTCCCCTATTGCGACGGTACACGAGTCTTGCAGGCCTCGGATATAAAAGCGCAAACCTCTTAGACCCTTCGTGGCCATTGCGACGTCAACTCGTCCTATAAACTGGTTGGGTCCTATAAAGACGTCATACTCTTTGCGCGAATTGACAAATCCAACCCTAGGTAATTCATCAACACGGCCTAGGCTGTCAGTCGTGCGAAGCCGGAAACCGCTGACATATGTTTGACCGTTTGAGTAGATAGTCGAAACCCGCAACGTCTTGGACACGATATCTCGAGGCCGCGACCAAATAAAATCCCGCCACTCGAAGAGTCGGCAGCTCAAGCTTAATGGAATTTTCGCAAGAGGAAGACGAGTATTTTCGGATTCGAAGGATGCCTCTGCAAATACCATGCCCTGGGGCAGTGATCTCGTCGTATCCGATGGGGGGCCATTGTATGTGTTGTCTATCTGCCATACGTTTTCCAATCGTGCGTATAATGCATCGGATATATTTTGAAATGTATGCCATATGCGACGTCGATTTTTGAGGCCGTAGAACATTTCAGATCTTATAGCGGATTTCTGTATACATTAATTAGTACAGTATAGCTATATCTATGAAATTCCCTGGTCACGAGGATGCTGATGGGCATAGTGAAAGAGAGAGAGAGAGAGAGAGAGAGAGAGAGAGAGAGAGAGAGAGAGAGAGAGAGAGAGAGAGAGAGAGAGAGAGAGAGAGAGAATATAGTGAAAGCACGATCGATTCAAGGAAGACTTTAGGTCCCAAGACGAGATCATCTCATACATACGGCTTTGAGATACAGCATACGCCAATCTGTAGGTTCTGCAGGTCTCAGGTTAGAGAGGCCAGCGAAGACGAACCCCATCTCGAACTCAGGGCCAAATCGGCTAGACCAGAATTTTTGGTCAAGTAATGCCGGGGAAGAGAGATCTGCTACATATCTTGATATGAGCCGTAACTTGCAAACGTCACTACTCGGCAAATAGGCAAGGACAAGCATGATGAGCTCCCTAGGGAGTAAGCATAATCCATCTGATCCCTTATAGTTCCCGCGATATATGCTCAGATGAGCGGAGTTAACGTATAAGGATAACGACTCGTCCTCAAGACTGTCCTCGTCCGGTTCAAACTTCTCACCCACGTCGCCGGTAATGAAGAAATAATCGGATTCTTTCACACGTGTAAAATAATCATGGTATAACTCCCCGGTTCGCAAATGGAAATCGGAGGCATGGCCATAGTCGTGGCCAGGGATGAGGGCCTCGTTCCCAGCATTCACTGGGGTGTTATATAGTAAGGCGAACAGGTGCTGTGCCAACACATCCGAGGAAAACTGGCGATCTGGATCTATACGATCTCTGAGAAGCTCCCAGCAAGCATTGTGGACGGCGTAACACCAATACCCTGCTGTTCCTTGTCGAAAATAGCTGATCTGGTGCCCCGTAAAATAGTCATCCAGTTGTTGCTGCGGATCACGATCACGATAGTGGCATTCATACCCGACAGGAGCAATGATGCATTCATCCGACTCTAGCCAGCCAACACCTGTTACAAATGGAAATTCGAGACCGTCGGTAGTCCGTACTGGAAGGGAGGTTTAGGGAAGAGCTTAGCATAATGAGATCCATAGAGTTGAGAAAGCGACATACCGGCTCGGACTTCTTGTAACCAATTGGCTGGATACTGAGGATTGGCTAGGCCGTCATCGGGGTTTATCCAAACGTCAATCAAGACATCGCAGAGAGGACAAAATCTATTAGGCATAGTTAACGGAGAGGCTGAAATACTCGATACTCTTCTCTGGAGGAAACGTCGTTTGCCGCGGATTGTGCCCAGCCATAAATAATACCCCTTATCCGGGTTCTGCGATTCCCGTCCGACCGTACCTATTTATCACTGGTAACCTGGTAACTGCTTATAACTGCGTATAATTTGTATTAAAATGTCCAATTGTTTTTGGAATCCATGATGTGCATTATCGATATAGTTCGTCCGCCTTCTTGAACCAATAATCTCGATTCACGGCATTCTATCCTGAAGGTGGAGACGGATTTCGGAAACGGGTTCACACAAAACGCGAATGACTCTTACGTAGCAATAAGTCCAAGTGCAAATTATATCAATCCAACACATTTACCAAAAGAATAACCAAGAGAAGAACCGTGGGACCATCATACCGTTGATCCAACCGCAGATATTGCTGCGAGGCGTATCATGGGTCATATATGCTTAAACGCATGCCTTTACCTCCCGTGGTATAATAATAGTAATACCTAGGACAGCAATAAAATGTAATATCATGACTTAGTCCAAAGAGGGAAAGGCACCCAAACCACAAGAGCCAAAAAAAAGAAAAAGATACACCCGAGCTCCGCTTAGAATATACCGTTCACGATCTTCCCACCGATGGTAGCACCCGCGCCGAAGATGGCAGCATTTCCTAGCTTTTTACCAAACTTTTTACCACCCTCTTCAAACTTGCTTGGAGTTCCGCTTTGACCGCCTTGGTTGCTGCCTCCTTGCGCCACGGCCATAGGAGGAACATGTGCGTTATAGGGGTTCTGCGCCTGAGGTGGTGGGGGGTATGCTCCATTACCTGCCGGGACCGAAGAGTGCGCGGCGTATACTGGCTGCGGCGGAGCATAGAAGCCGGCCTTCTCACTGTTATCTATCTCGACATAGTTCTTAGGAAATATTCCTTCTGCGTTTGTCCTCTTGTTCCGTCCCATCCACCAGTCGTCATTCATATACTCGTACACAGCAATCTTATCGTCACGTTCGAATGACAAGTCTCGGTCATCAGCCGCTTGGTACTTGTAGAGGGCCTTCGCATGAGCTATGATCGGCTTCGTAGGAGGCGGGGCCGGCGGTCCCGCACGTGCGGGGAGAGAAGGTGGTCCGGTCGAACTGTACGCCGGAGGAGCCGGATGGTGAGTCGGGGTCTGATTGATTGCCAGATTTGCCATCGAGTTCACGGGTGGCGAATGTTGCTGCGCGGGCGCAGGCGGTGGTGAGGCTACAGACGAGTTTCGCACAGCGGGGGTGGGCGCGCCAGAGAGGGATGTTTCTACGGGAAGCATCCGATGGATCGAGTTGAACACGTCGTCAGTTACAACGCCTTTCTCGAGAAGGTGCTCAAGTTCCTAGGATCCATAGTCAGCGGGGGAGGAGACGCCAGGTCCATATATTCATCGACTAATGTACCGACGTATACCAAGAGATAGGATCTAGTGCATACATTCTTTATAAGCCGGAGCGACTTGTTGGTCGCGATGATTTCCTGGCGCTCGAGAGAAACCATCTTGTCGAAAGGATGACTACTATTTTAGTCGAAGACGGGGATGGGAGGGCTCGAAAATAAGACCACAGCCAATTCCCCTTTGCCAATTCAGTCGGACGGTTGCAAAGAATAATTGGTAGAGGGGGGGGAGTGGGAGAGGAGATTTGTTACAGGTCAAAGGTTACTTTCAGAGGTAGTGGAAGATTGTTGGTGGAATGATGAAGTTCTCGTTCTTTTAAAGTTCCAAAGGTTCCAAGTTAGTAATTATCAATCCTACCAGGCTGCCAGACCCAATTACCTGCCTACCAGGTACTAGATACTAGGTACTAGGTAGATTAAGCAAAAAAGTGGCTGTGCATCCCTCCCCCACTATTTTATGTATTCATACATACCTAACATATGGAGATATCACTACTAGGTATACTACTAGGTATACTCTTAGGTACACTACATATACCTACCATACATACTGTACCTACATATTAAAGTAATACATCCATAGATGGTATACGTATATTTACAAGTCTCATTCAACATATGTGCATGTATTCGTCGTTGAACATATTCCAAAATAGGCACTATATAGGTAGGTACATGTATCTATATAAGTACGCAGGCTCGTATATGATATCCCTCAGCTCCTTTAAATTGATATGTCGTCCTAAATGAAAGGGCTGTTCTTCACAACATACTTGCCGACGTATTCGTCGACATCCGTAGCCTCCAATTTCTTCCCGTCCATTCCTAGGTCGACTAGCTCCCTCACTTGCGATTCGGGGAGGTGAGGTCCTAGGTGCCGCTTATACTTGGCTAGGATATGCGGCTTAGCCTCTTCCCTCCGTAGACGATGTCCCAATGGCGCCTCGACTACTACTTCATCCAGGACCGTGCCGTCGTTCAGCTGGACCGTCAGCGCGTTAGAGATCGTGCGTAGTTCTGGATCGTGGTAATCCTTGGTGAACTGCGGATCCTCGACACACGATATCTTCTGCCTGAGCGATTCCACTAGTGGTGACGTCGCCGCCTCGCTGCCGTCGGTGTAATCGCTCGCCTCTAGTCGTCCGAACACGAGCATGACCGAGCACATGTACTGAATACAATGGTCGCGGTCGGCAAAGTTGTCCATCGGTTTGAACTGCTTGTCGATAATACGAATACAAGCCTCGTGTGTCCTACATTTGATATTATCGATATCGGCTGCCGACTTGCCTAATTCCTTTAGCTTGTTGTGTATCTTCTGTGAAGCCTCTACAGCCGTTTGAGAGTGGAATTCGGCTAAACGCGGGGTGTCAGTAGTTAACATGATAAGCATGTCCGGAAACACTGTTAGTTATACTAACCTGGATAGGAGACTTTAAAAAGGACGTTTTCCATTACGTAGCTACCGTAGGGACGTTGGAACTCGAATTTGTTGCCCTTAAATAAGACATCGTAGAAGCCCCAGACGGGCGCAGACAAGACGGTAGGAATTCCGGGCTCGCCCTTCATAACCTTCAATGCGAGGTTAACAGCTCGCTGACAAGCGTCGCCTGCGGCCCACGACTTTCGAGACATGGTGTTTGGGGAGTGTCGATAGGTTCGCAGGCTCTGTCCGTCGACCCAAGCCTGGGTGACGGCATCAGCAATCTGCTTCTCGCTTAATCCAAGCATCTGAGATACAACTGCTGCGCTGGCGACTTTGACAAGAACGACGTGGTCCAGTCCGACCTTGTTGTACGAGTTAAGTAACGCTAGACAGCCCTGGATTTCGTGCGCCTTGATCATACCCTCGAGAACATCCTTAATAGTAAAAATCTTGCCTCCCGCAAGCTTGCCACCTGCCTTGTTGGTACGATTAACCCAGTCGGCAACGGCCAAAATAGCACCCAGGTTATCGGAGGGATGGCCCCATTCAGCGGCCAACCAGCAGTCGTTATAGTCGAGCCATCGTATCGTAGCGCCAATGTTGAAAGCGCCATTGACGGGGTCAAGGACGAAATCGGTACCCGGAACCCTTGTGCCATTGGGGACAACCGTACCCGGGACGATGGGGCCAAGAAGCTTGGTGCACTCCTTGAATCGCAGACCTTCAAGACCGCAACCTAGAGTATCAAGAAATACCCATCGAGCGGTATCGAACTGTTACGAAGAAAGAAGAAAGAAGGAACCAGTCAGCATTATACCCTCTCCGATTCGTCAACATAAGACGGTGTTTCATACAGCTAATTCGGAATGAATTGGTTTGGTAACATAGCTGGCGATGTCCCTGATCTCGGGGTCGTATTCTCTTGATTCTTGAGGCATTGGAGGGGCGGATTGTTGGGCGGCGGTGGTGGAGAAGGAAGAGGATGAAGTGCGAACGGCGTAAGTGGGGTGTGTTGTTAGTCGAGCCGTAGAGGCTCCGAACTTCGCCGTCACAGCTCGTGAAGAAAGGCTTAGAGGAACGGACCTCCGCAGGGTATTTGGTTGCAAGCGTAGCGATCGGGAAGCTATTCGAAGGCCAATATTGGCAGAAGACATCTTGTCTTAGTCGCAGCTCCTCTTAGGTAACGGGTGTTTACCTACTACAAGCAAGTAGTATTAGCAGGTCGGTACATGTAGGTATGAATAGTGCACATTAATGGGTAGAAGGTAAATATATACATACCTGTAGGTAGGTAGGTATGTTTGGGTACTTAGTAAAGAACCCTCGGTTCGGAAGACTGGAGTAAAGCTCCGGTTACATGCGGCCAATGGAGGGGTACATGTGCCAAGTCTAAGGTTCCCATTACCGAACTCTGTTTACCTGCTTGTAACCAAGGTAAGCGTACCTCCTACTAGTCTAAGTCTAGGTACTGTAGGTAGGTAGGATTTATAGGTAATGGTAATGGATAGGTATGTTAAGGTAGGTAGGTAGTACTTATTATCATCACTTTCGTCAAAAGGAAATCCAAATCTAAATTTTAACCTAACAAAAAACATTATACGTAAGTTGGCACCGTGCGTATTAATTAATCCGTCCGAAGGACATTATTACGCTCAAACTTTGCCTATTACTCATAAAACCCCCCCTGTAATTACGCAATATTACGTAAGTAACTGATAAGTAATTGATAAGAGATTTCGGCGCACTTGATTGGCTCAAATCTTTTCTAGCGCGTTGCCAAGCCTTGGCAAAACCTTAAATTCATCCACGTCTCTGATTGGGTGCATCCCCTTCAATTGATTCCATCAGCTTCGATTCGACTGATCTTTCAATTGAACTGAGTTACCTACCTACCTACCTACCTACTTTTGAACCGACTTTTGAACTGACTATTCAACTGACTTTTCAACTGACTTTTCAATTGACTATTCAATCGATTGATTGATTGTTCGATTATTTAATCAATTTGGCGACTGATTTATTGGATGAGTATTGATTGCATCCGGGGACTGGACCAGGGACCAATTTACTGACGTCGCATTCATCTAGGGACTGATCTAACGATTGAACTGATATAAAAACTGATCCAGGGACTGATTTACTGACTGCTGAACCGATCTAGGGACTGATCTACTGACTGTTGAACTGACCGTTGAACTGACTTTTGAACTGATCCAGGGACTGGATTCAGGACTGGATCTAGGACTGATTTACTGACGAATCTATAGATCTATTTACTTACTTCGAACTGATCTAGGGACTGATCTGACTATTCAACTGACCTATGAACTGATTTAGGGACTGATTTCGGGACTGACCTGACTAATCGTTGATCCAGATTTGCTGACTAATTTACTGACTGTTGAACTGACCGTTGAACTGACTTTTGAACTGATCCAGGGACTGGATTCAGGACTGGATTTAGGACTGATTTACTGACTAATCTACTGACCGTTGAACTAACCTTTGAACCGATCTAGGGACTAAGCTAGGGACCGATTTACTGATTTTGAACTGATCTAGCGACTGATTTACTAATCGATCTATTGACTGTTACACTGTCGTTTGAACTGATCGAATAACTGATCTAGGGACTGGATCGGGGACTGATTTACTGACTATTTGACTAGCTGTTGATCTGAACTGAGTAATCAACTGAATTAGCTGTTGAACTGATTTGCTGACTAATTTACTGACTATTAGACTGATCGAACAACTGATCCAGGGACTGATCTACTGACTTTTGAACCGACTTTTGAACTGGCCGTTGAACTGATCGAACGACTGATCTAGGAACTGGGATAGGGACTGATTGACTGACTATTGATCTGATCGAAGATCTGATCGATCAACTGATTCAGTCCCTGGTCCAGGGACTGAATTACTGACTATTGAACTGATCTAGCTCCTGGATTAGGGACTGATTTACTGATTATTCAACTGACTTTTAAACTGATCCAGGGACTGGATCAGGGACCGATATACAAACTGATCTAAGAACTGATTTAACTAATCGTTGAACTGATCTACGAACTGATTTGACTAATCGTTGTACTGGCTTTTTGAACTGATCTAGGGACTACATCAGGGACTGATTTACGAACTGATCAACTGACTTTTGAACCTACTTTTGAACTGATCTAAGAACTGGATCAAGTTCGAAGAAGCTGTTTATGGCAAGGAAACTTTCCCAGTCCTTCGGGCGGATATTACCTTTTGTTTTTACCTGACTTTTCTTTTCCTTAAACCTCTTTTTCCTTTAGAACCCCCATATATGGCTTTCCGCGAGGAAAAATTTTTTTGACCTTTTTTTTTGTTTTTCGAAGTCCCCGTAGCTCGCGTAGGGCCGTACTTTGAAAAATAAAAAAAAAGGTCAAAAAAATTTTATAATATGAATACCTAGTATAGGTATATAGTGTCTACTACCTAATACTTACTAGGTACCTAGTAGGTAAGCAATCACCAAACAATAGCGCCTCTAACATATCCACGATCGATGAGCTCTCGGAAGTTTCTCTCCAGGCACTTTAGTTTATATCCATCCACATATCCGCCGCGCCCGAGAACACTGACGATCTGGTCGAAGTTAAACTCCTCAGATGTACGTGAGCATTTCTCTAGGATTCTCCGTAAGATAGCAGTCCTATACCTTGGGTCTCTAGCTGCCGTGTTCAAGCTAAGGGCCATCAACGACTGCTTAGTCAAATTCATCTCTCCGCCAATGTCACCGCCAATGTCGCCGTCAATGTCCGAACCCCTCCTTTTCAACTGCTGAATGATAGCCGCATACTCATCTCTCATCTCCCTTAACAGCCAAGGGGCATCTTCGTAGCGATTACAATTGGCTTCATCTTCGTAACACCCCTTCTTCCTCCAGAATTCTGGTGCCGGCCGCCATCGCCACACGAATGGGTTGAAGTCCCTGACAAGCCAGCTCGGCAAAGCCTCATTGCCGATCGATTTCGGCACAACCCGCACGCTGTCCCAGCCTAAGATCCCCTTGATTTTGCCCTCCTTGGACAAAATGATGTCACGCATCTTAAGGTCTGAATGTGTGAGCACGAACCTCATCGCCTTTCTTTCATTCTCCTTTTCTTTGCCTTTGTGAGATCTCGACCTCGGCGGCTCGCGGATGAAGTTTACGAGGAGACGGAGAAGCCTGTCAACTCCGGTGTTTACCTCGGCATCGCACGGGTATCTGACGAGAGGCGCCGTGTACATCCCCGCTGCGTCACTAAAGGGGCCTACTTCGGCATAGATTGCTTCCTTCTCACATTCATCATTCCCTAGCCAACGGTTGACCATAGCCTGTATATCCAACTCTCTCAGAGGTCCAATGCCAACTAGTGACTCGCCATCGTCGAACACCGGTGCACCGCCGCGCTCGAATTCGTACTTGTTAAGCTGAAGCATCAGCTGCGCCAAGCCGTGCAGAACTGCAGTTCTCCGCCCTCTAACCGTGCTCTCATCCTCGCCGTCTTCTCCAAACCAGACTTGATCTAGTGTCCGGCCTTCCACGTAAGTCATGATGCAGTAAGGCACATGTAACTTATTATGCGGGGAGGGTTCAAAGTCGATGATCTCAGGCACTGGGATTGTCGTTTCTTGAGAGAGTTTAGAGATTATAAGGGCCTCTGTGCGCAACGCCTCAGCGCAGAGCCTATCCCAGACGTCTGGTGTACCGTTGGTCGGGATCTTGATGATCCACTTGGTACTCTCCCGGCATTGCCCATCGTATATCTCGATCGAGTAGAAGACGTGAGCTGAACCGAAGAGGGGACCGCGGACAAATGGTAGTTGCAGCGGGGACGGGCGGTATCCAACCTGGCGTTTGCGGTAGACCTGCATAAGCTTGAGCGCATAGGAGGCGATGGCCTTCGTGTCGATCTGTGACAGTATCCCGGCGAAGTCTCGAAGTTCTTTCTGACTCTTCTTGCACCCCACGATGGCTTCCCCTATGGGCGCGGCATCAGCAAGCGCGTCTCTGAAGGAGGGTAAGATATTGGTTTCCGCAACTCGCTCTGTGCTGCCTATCTTGACTTGCCATTGCTCAGGCTTTACTAGTTTGGTCAGTCCCGTCCATATCTTGTTCGTGTTTAACCCGCCAACATAATCAACATGTGCCACATTTCCGCAGCCATGCGATGAGAATCCAAAAACTAAGCCTAGATCATCATGATAATCTTCAGCAAGTCGAGCCAGCTCACTCTGACGCCCAAACCGAGACCTCTCTACGTAATCTTTTGGTCGTGAAATTGACATGATTCTAGAAACAAATGGAGAATTGAATATTGTTATCCGTAAACAATGCCATTAAGGAGCTTTGTAAACAGCAAGTGGACGTGAGGGCTTTTACAATACATAGGTAGGTTGCTGTGACAAAGGAAAGTGACTTCAACACAGCGCCTGTGGCGTCTTGTTTTACCTATTTCCACATCCGGAAATAGCTTTCGAATACCAATGCTCTGGGTTTGTGTCTATCCTATTTTTACAGGTCGGTATGTATATCAGACAAATTTATTCTAAACCTATTGTTCTCCCCTCTCCATGTATACCCAGTTTGGATCACTGTGCCAATTCTGGGAAGAGGCTAAAGGTCTAAGCAGGAAGAAAAATATCTCAAAAATTACAGTACCTTCGCGAAGTGGTTTTCGTCTTTGTTCGGAATTATGAAGCAATGGTGAACGTTAATATAGGAGCAAGTCAGTCACGTCTGTGACGGTCTCAATTTGATCATATTCGGTCCATAAGCTAGCCAGCCCGCCTGTCGATTATTGCAAGTTTGCGGCCAAGAGTACTATCGCGACTGATACCACCAAGTACCAAGGCCGACAAGGAGTAGAACAACAAAAGCCACGATTCCTTGTTTTGACTGCGAGACTAACATCAACCAGCCAATAGTAGATTCCCACTTCTTCACCTGGGCTCGATGTCCCCGCGACCGGAAATCTATAGGAAAAGGCAGCTTGATGCGCGGGTCTATGGGCTGATGTCCGTCGGTACCCAACTCCGTCTTGAAAGCATACTCGGTTGGTAGAAGCTCAGCAGGCTCAAGCATCGGGATCTCTAAGCGCAAGAATACGGCTCTATGATCGCTCGATCTAACGGCAGGAAATGCGTCATAGGCCGTGACATTCATCCTTATATCGCCCGCGGTCTCTCGAGCCCACCAGGGAATTTCAAGGAACAGGATTCGGTCACACCAGCTAGGCCATCGATGAACAGCCCAGGACCATTCAAATTTATCCGAACCATCATCCTCGCTCTCAGTCTGACTAGACCCCCTCTGAATTAGACTTTTAGGCGACGGCACGAGCTTGTACGTTGGTGGAAATTTAATGGGCGCCTCACTCAATCCATGTAGTGTGCGCCCAGCGGCCTTCTCTGCGTTCAGTTGATCGCGGGATAAGAACCGGGAGAAGTGATTTGGGCTCTCGGGATCAAGGTTAGGAAAGGTCGAGTTCGGGGCTGGCGATGATTTGGATACCCGATAATTGAGGTCACCGCTAATAAAAAGATGGGAACCCGGCTTGTATATGGAGACGTCATGTATGGCCTTTTGTGTTATCTCTTGTCCAAGAAGAGGTTCTTGAGTTTCAGAATCGTCGGCATTGTGAAGTTTGTGCTGCGTCGATGACCTCTCTGAAGTCTTCTTAGGGTCCTCGAATATGAGGCCGGAAACAATACTCTCCCAATTCTTATTCCTTTTACTGAGATTCCATTCCATGGCGGCTAGGTGTGCGCTGACAAAGGTAAGTTCGGTTGATATCGGTAATGAGCCGTCCTCATTGTCCTTTCTGTAAAGTATTCGAAGTCCCACGGCGCCCTTGTTTGCCATATCACCAGCACCGAATCCAACTTCTGCTGTTCGAAGGCCCTGTACGGCTTCCAATTCGCGAGCGAAGAGCAAAATACCTGTCATTCCAACATTACGCGTGGTTATCAACGTATACGGATTATCTACCGGGCGGCTCTGCCGTTCTTCTCTTGCAATAAACATGGCAGCTGCGGTATTGACGGCAGATTCATAGCGTTGGAAGTAAGGATTGAGCACGTACGAGCCGATGAACGCTTGAGCTAACGGCGCCATTTCCTGGAGGGAACTGAGCAGCATTAGATGCAGGTGCTGGCACTACATCGTGCGCAGTACTTACATAGCAAGCAGCTCAGGTAGGCTTGAAGCATTTTGACCAAAAGCATTATAGAGGTGTCGAGCAAAAACGGGAATGTCAATCTCACGTTTTGCAGCATTGAAAGTGAGGATGAAGACATCCAAGTTGGAAATTGGTCTCATCGCCCAAAAAGAAAAAAAAAAAAAAGATATTTATACGACTGTAAGGCTGATTGGTTTTAATTGGTGTCAATTGGTGTTAAAATCGTATACTGACTTACGTATGTGCATGTGTAAAGTTGCAGTGGAAGGAAGTTTTGGGAATGGTGTTGTATCACCCTTCCCCAAGATCTCGGGTGGGAAAGTGGGGAAAAAAGCAAGGAAAGGGAAAGCAAGGATAGCAGGCCTTGATGTGCGAATACATATTATTATTATGTCATCGATGTAAATTCTCGAATGCGGATGTTCAGGGTCCTTCCAAATCCGGTATCACCAAGTTATAAGAGATGGGTATTCATTCCAGTTTCCAATCCTTTTCGCTCTCTACAAGGGGTGGGCAACCTATGTAATATAATATACCATTTTCAGATCATAAATATACGCTCATGTCTACCGCCGCAAGGAAACTTCAGATGTTGGTGATCTATGGATGTAACCCATCGGAGCTTGCACAGCCCCTCAACAGCGCACAACTGTAGATAACAAAACCGTAGTTTCTTTTCATGCGACTAGGGGTAAAGGGACTCATATATGACTCCGATTTTGGGACATGTAAGAGCAGACTTTAGATGGTCACGCTATAACTATCGTGGCATTTCACGTACGTTATTAAAAACAGAAAGTGTGCTAACGTAAATCAAATTCATTCTGTGTAACTACCTAACATGTATTGGTTGCCTGTTGCCATCGTCGCGGGTAACACCCCTCCACACTCCATAAAGGTTTTCGTGAGTCAGCTCGAGTGAAACCACCAGTTTGTCAGTACCTCAAAAATGCCTTCCGAATCGTAGATATCGGGTCACCGTTTCAAAGGTCCTACTGCGAGGATGTGGTGAATCCAATGCTCCGCACGGCATTGAAGATGCTGCTTCTACGAAACTTGTGGAATCACCAGCCACCCGTATCAATTCGTCTTAGGGTAACCTTGGGGGAATATCTTTGACCGCCGATTAATCACAAAACCGCGATGTCCAGTGGAAGCGAAGGCAACCGCGGCAAAATGCATCCACAATCCGCCTGCAATCAACTGTACCCGTACGAATAACGTAGCCCCCTAGACTAGGCAGGCTGTGAACGGTAAAGTCCTTCGACGAAATTGTGCCATTGAGCGTATCATCAAGGTGGCGTCGATCATTGTCGGTCCCCCGGGACGAAGCTCCCGCCTCATTATGACATCCCCAGGAGGAGGTCGGCGTAACAAGTCCAATATCTGAATGGGAAAATGAAAGGAAAGAAATCATCGGAGAAACGCAAAGAAAAACAAGGTCTTGGTCATATCAGGAGGGCGATGTATCGCATCGAAGGGGCGTCAACGAATTAGGACGGCGAAATGGCAAATCCTAAAATCGTTGAGGTTGAATCTCTGGCCCGTTATACTCCTGCTCGAAGGGTAGGGTTAAAGTGCGAACGGAGGGTAACGTGCCTCGATAGACTAGATCCCGTTAACGACACCGTAGATGAAAGTGTCGGAAGTGCCGTTCAAACAACCTAAGCAGCCCAATAAAAACGTCGAATGTGACCTAAAGACACATATCCACGCCTTCTAGAGCTGCCTAGATTGCCCGAGCCAAGGGAATCGAGTCGTAAACCGAGAGTCGTCGAAGAACGGAAACAATAGCAATCCATGAGATATGAGAAGGATCGTGTCTGGTCCTCTATCCGGTGATACTTGGCGTATATCCACTAGCGGATATTCTAGAGCCAACGTGAGAGGAGTAAGCGAGGACACTACCGCGAATCCGAAGTTACTATCCATTGTGCGGAGCGCACATTCGTTACGCCCGCTACAATGCAACGGGTGGTACCAACGTAGAAGTGTCAACTAATCATTTCGGTCGGTAAGAACCAGATGCATATCCGGAGCCAGCACCCTGACCTTTGGAAGCTGATCGCAGCCTGTTACCGCAAACTGAAGTGTCAGCAATCATGTCAGCAGTTCCTCCGGCTAGCGCTGTAAATCACACCAAACTCGAAGGAAATATGATTCCTTACTAGGAATTCTTGGGCTGGGCTGGGCTGGCGAGACACTCACATCCTGTCGCTTCCCCCGACGGCACGGTTGGTTTCTGGAGTGTCAACGCCGGGAGCACCGCGCTCGATTACCTTGCGGCGGGAGCTGGGAATTGCGTTGGGCTTGACGGCACCCGCCTGGGGTGCTTGGCCTGCTGCCGCACCAGTAGTTCGACGGGCCTTGTCGTCTTCATTATCCTGACCGGCGGCCTGGGCGATCGCCTGAGCATTCTTCTGATACTTGTACACAGTCCAGTCGAATACATAGTCGTATTGGAATCCCTCGCGGACAAAGAGATCGCGGAAGATCTTCCGCAGATAGCTATAATCGGGCTTGTCATCAAATCGGAGAGAACGCGTGTAGTTCAAGTAGATAGCGAACTCGTTGGGAAAGCCACGGCAGAGAACCTCGGTCGGTGTAGTCATCTTCTTCTCCATGATGCGGTCATACTTCTGCTTCTTAGTGGCAGCTTTAAGGCCCTGCCAAGGAAGGGAACCCCGGCAGAAGTACAGCATTACGTAGCCCAGAGATTCCATGTCATCACGACGAGATTGTTCTATATCCCCATCAGTATCTTGTATCACAGTTAATGAAGCCACGCCAACTTACCAACGCCAAGATGAGTGTTGATCGAAGCGTATCGAGCAGTGCCAGTCAAGTTCTTGTTCTCGCGGTAAGGGATGTGGAAGTGGGTCTTGGGGTCACGGTACTTCTTGGCCAGACCAAAGTCGATAACGTTGACTTGGTTGCCTCGCTTGCCGATCCCCATCAAGAAGTTGTCGGGTTTGATATCGCGGTGAATGAAAGACTTAGCGTGAATGTACTCGATGCGAGAGATCAGCTGATCGGCTAGTAGAAGTACAGTCTTCAACGAAAACTTGCGATTGCAGAAGTTGAAGAGATCCTCTAAACTAGGACCGAGAAGATCCAACACCATGGCATTATAATCACACTCAGTTCCAAACCAGCGGACAAATGGGATGCCGACACCGCCGGCTAGGGACTTGTAGACTCGGGCCTCATATTCGAGTTGAGGGTGCTTGGCCTTGACGGACTCAAGCTTAATCGCGATCTCTTCGCCGGATATGATGTTCGTGCCTAGGTAGATATCACCGAACGAGCCGGAGCCGATCTTGCGACCGATACGATACTTGTTGCCGACACGCAGATCCTACTACAAGTTAGTATGATTCTGTTTGGTTATTTGCTTTCGATGTATGCTAGCGCCAGAACGACAGTCTCGTGATATGACCATTTGAGGAACTTATTATGGAGATGCCCCGTCAACGCACACCGACATTCGACCCCAATCATCCCAACAATAAAGGAATGACATCTTCCACAAGCTCATTATATGGTTGATTACAATATAGAGCTATGGAAATCAAAATAGCAACGTACCATTGTAGTCATGATAGCGGTGGTGTTGAGCTATCGTGCTCGACGAACGCCAGGAAGCCGGATAGTCTTTGTTTATGTTCTCGGACCAGGACCGAGAATTTGTTGAACTGAGGACACTCTGCTATAAAACCTATTAGAATTGCAGGTAGGGGAATGATGAAACCATCGAGAATTCATGTATATGAGAGAGTGAAGACGGCCGGTGTAGTAATTAAATAGTGCGAAATAGTGGAATAGTTACACGCGAGTTGCTACAATGCAATGTAATGATTCAAAGACGGAGAGTGAAGGAATAGGTCGAGAAGGATTGGATAGGAATGACTCTTTCGAAAAGGCAAACAAGAATAAGGAATAGTTCGAAGCTGACGCTGGAAGCCGACAGCTGCATGGAATGAAATGAAATGACTCCGACCGGGAGAGATAAAAGGCAGTGAAGATGCTAGGATGGGAGGGGAGAAGGGAAACTTACTCAATGTCAAGACTAGACGTCTCTGGCAATGCGTCAAAGAGGAAACTAATTGAATAAAACGGGAAGGGGAAAAATATGTAAAAGACGTGACGGTCGAATATTAAATTATTCGCCGGTTCAAGGTGACACGTCTTTCAGAAGCTGTCGAAAGATGTGAATGGGAAGATTACTATCGGGCGAAGAATGGAAAGTTAGTAGTAATAGTAGTAGGTTGTGGTAAGGGGAGGAAGAAAAGGAAAAGAGACAGCGGTGGATGAATGTGGGTGAAAAGTGGATATGAAAGAGTGGGCTAGATGGGCTGGAATGGGATTTGGGGTTGGGCGCGCCTCATCAAAGCTGGGCAGGACTGACCCTGAAATCGATTGGGTTTTTCGGTACGTTCTGTGGGTTCATGCGCCTGCCTTCTGCTAGGGCGTACTGCGTACCTACTAGGTATTGACTGAGGCAACTGTGGCTGACTACCACCTGGCAGACTGCATTATGTACCTAGGTACTTCTAGGTACATACCTAGTACTAGGTACTCACTAGCAGTTATCTAGTGCTACTAGGTACCTACTTTATAAGCGGTGCCTCATCAATGTACCTACATAATATTTAACTATTTCCTCATAAAGCCATCATTTGCTCATTAATTCTTACCCTGTAGGTAGCTTGTTGGGGTAGGTACCTACCTACATACATACCTACCTACCGACCGGAGACGTACGAGATGGATATCTACTAGGTAATAGTAGTTACGCCTGAGTGGCGGGAGTGGCAGGCCATCTCCCCCTCTGCAGCTGCCTCTTTACGGCGAAGTCCAGTTAATTAGTGGTTCTCAGTGGCCTTCAGCGACAGCCGACCGGTCGCCAGTTTCAGAACATCAGAACGGGCAGTTACCATACCACCACCATTAATTTCCTTTGCAACGGCGACAATTACGAGTAACCCGTAATGATGCAAGAATCACCAGATACCTCCCTAGGTAACATGATGAAATATGTAGCATACCTAGTAAACACACTCCATCAAAAAGACAGCATCATATCTACTAGATAGAAACCTACATGCTTAATATTGTATCTAAACACAACTGTGGAGGGAATACGAACCAGGCACAGGCACCTCCATCATAGCTTGTAGCGGAACCTATGTCGAAGAGGGACACGAAGCGCGGACCAATGAGCGAAACAGGTAATACATGGTACGTATGTACAATACTTACCACTTATCTACGTACCTATGTTTGTACGTGGTAAGTATGTATGTACCTGCAGTTCTAGGTACAGAAAATATAAAAAGTCGCAAGCGGCATTTAATGGTTTTTACTACTATACAGGTATCTAAGTAGCTTACCTAGATACATACCTCAATGGATACATAATACACAGTACTTGCATAAATATCTTGATTAATTAATGCTCGCGGGTGTCATCAGCTAAAGGCATTTGTTTTTATTAATTTATATTATTATCAGGCAGGTATTTACTCTCTACTTAACAGAGGTGCGTGGTACATAATTTGACTCCATTACTTCAGTAGAGTAATGGTGGTCATCAGGACTTGTATTCAGGCTGAGGGCCCCCTTCCTATCGCGAACTGATACCTTATTACGGAAAAGAAATTATCAAATGCCTATTAGTATGACACGCCATAAAAGATCTGCGGAGATCTCCTCCTATGCTGGCAGGCAGTGATTCGTGAACCATAATGCGATACTAAAACTGTGTGTCACTAATCCGTACCTACTTGGTACAGTACCTACCTAGGTAGGTATGTATTCAAAGATACCTAATATTCAAAAATTCTAAGATTTAAAGTTCCCTTTTCTTTGTTCTTGACATTCTATACCTACATGGTTACACAGAAGGTAGCTACATGTAGGTATGTACCTACCTAGTAGTAGTAGATTTGCGAAGTAAGAGAATTCTCAATTCTGTCTTCAGCGTCGATGGTAGCTTACCGACGCAGCTTGACATCACAATCATCATTATACTAACCTTCTCCAAATGAAACCTGTGTTCATTTACGCAGTACGCGAGAGATGTCGGCTAGAGGACGAATCATTCATTACCTGCTTGCTATGCCAACAATTACCGTAGCTTCCACCCATCTTTGCTGTTACCTCTTCCATTATAGTACAGGATGACTTGCAGCAGCGCGTCAGCCTATGGTCGTTTATATAAAGTAGGTAGGTACCTATACTGGAAGAACCAGTAAACTGAGAAAGCATCTCACATCGGCTTTTGCTCTTGTGATTAATAAATACAAGCAGCAAAAATATTCACATATATACCATCACAAAGCGACACTTAATAGTACTTACCTATGTGTAGTACCTAAATCAACGCCTACATATGTAATACATATATTATTTGCTTACTTATATAAGTACCTAGGTAATAATTATTGCATTAATTAAGTAAGGAAGATTCAAGGTTATGAATGTACATACATATATACATACATCCATACATACATGTATTGACAAGACTAACACCTATGATAGGATAATAATAGTTATGTAAGAATAAGCGATTCCGTACATGTGTAAAAATAGAAGAGTGGGCTCCATGTTTAATGGTTTTAAGCTAGGTAAGTAGGTACCTAGTATTACCAGGTATTATTAAATACGTACTATGTATAAAATACTTAGGTACATAATAGGTAAGTTTAAATTGACTATTAATTACTTTTTTTTTTTTAACATATACCTTTTAAACTCTTCATCGTAATACACAACACTGGATGTGAACTGGAACAAGTGTATGTATACAAGCGGGTAAAAAATGACTACACATCAACCATAATCTCCTCCGGCATATTATAAAGGACACTAATAGAAAACATGCTACGTTTAAAAGCAACCCCATCGTACCTGAGTAGTGGGGGATTATCAACTAATCCATTATAAAGACGGTAAAATTGGTCCTTAACAAGAATATAACTCTTAATAGTTTCTGGCCTGATTATTAAGAGATGGATGAAAGCTTTGGAATAACTCTTATAGTCCATGATTATTAGAAGAGGAATTAAGGAGCTTTGTACATTGGGGGGGCCGAAAGCTTCGGACGGAGCTCCAGATTCTGTTCAAATAGTTGAGCTTCATAGGTAGAGACGGCCTTACGTTACATTTTCCTGGCTATGAGGCTTCGATGATATCGTAGGTTAATATAACTAGAATAACTTCTTAAACTTAGGGCTAGGATTCATGCATCTGTTTCTCCGGATTTGAAAACGTCTTTGGCAATAAATTAGGTGTTAAATACCTATAAGAGATATCCACATAAGAACCCCAGTGCCTATGACTACCTAGTACCTATTGTTCGGATAACAATTAGGCTGTGACAACATGAGATTTCCATATTCGAATTGTTACGCTCATTTACGCTACTAGTTAGAGATATAACCTCTTTGTATAAATTGGTAGAATCGAATCCGGGAGCAATGTCAGGGGATCAAAGAACAAAGCGAATGTCCAGAACTAAATACCGAAACTTCGCGAGCAACTCAAACAGCCATCGCCAACCCGGCGCTTTTAATCCTGTTGGAAGTCCCAGCGCTGGCCTCTGTATGCAACAGCAAGACTACATATACATCCAAAGACTCTGCACCAGGAATTCTCTATCGAATTGCGAAGTCTTATATAATCTTCGCATACCTAGTTATATCCTATGTTTCAACTTGTCATTCCTATAAACTCAGTTTCGTCTACTCATCTTCTTAAATCAAAACAACATCCAGTGACGGCGCGATTGGCCTTTTAGATACCATTGTACCCCGAACGTCATATTGCGAGTTAATCGAATCACGATGTCAAGTTATTGGGCAGACGAATGCGAACTAACCGCACGCAAGATTTTGCGACGGGGTTTCCTGATCGACGAGATGCGCGAGATGTCGAGTATCGCTCTCGGCGAAGAGCAGAAAACGCAGGTGGTCTTGATTATATCGACAGGAACCTACCCGATATATAGTATTTCGTATTTGGAGCCTGGAATTAGGGAAGGTTTGGTGGATATGGCAAAGGATGGATTAGAAGGGAGGATGATTATATACGGCCTAGGTTTTCAGTTCAAGAGGCGTGAAGATGTCGCTCATATAATCAATTCCAGACGGACTTCAGGTTCCTCTCGGTAGAAAGAGTACCCCGTATTGTCGGATGTCATATTATTATGACTAGCGACTCTGGTTCTGTTGTAAGGTATCCATACCTAGCGTGTTACTTCGGACGGGGAACTAATCGAAGTGTGAACAATACGGGGGTATATTGGAGTCCAACAGTGGCAATTGGAACCTCATCCGTGATACACATACATATACAGCGTGTTTCTAGTATGTGGATGGCAATTTAAGATTAACTGGAAGGGATGAATAAACCATATGAGACCTCATAGTTCCTTCGCTGGTCATACTACGTTTTCGATATAAGCATCTATTCACGCAGTGCTGAGACATTCTTTCAATAGGTACCTAGTTCATTAATCATAAACTATTAGCCATTTGATATATAGGTAACATCAGTGAATGATAAAAAGGTCTTTGAAGAGTCCCAGGTCACCGGAAGGGTCTAGCAAGTCAAACATTGCGCAAGGCCCATTGGTCTGAAAACCAACACGAAGATGGGACTATCACTTCAAACATAATACCAAGTTTATGGTGAGTAGATAGGTGTGTGTATAAGCCGAAACGTAAATATCGATGTTGCCGACAAATCCCTTCAACGGGCAGCGACGAGGCTCATGTAGACACCCCAGCCAACACCAGCAAGGCTGCCAACGAGATTGCGACCTTCGATGCTCTTGATGAATGCGAAGTTGACCAGGCTCACTTTGAAGACGAGGGTCAGTAGCTTCTTCTTACCACCCTAGCTGAATTGACTAGGGGACTCCCTTTCGAGGTAGATTGAAGAAGGGAAGGATATTCCATGATATTACATACCTACTGGCCATAGCTTCCATCCAGCAACGAGGATCGGATAGAACTCAGAACGGCTGCTCGCTATCACTCCAGACCAATTAACCTTGCCGTAGACAATAGCACCTCGAGATAATAGGTATGGCATATTTTCATCCGATTGGCCGGGTGGGGTATCGAGGGAGCGGTCCATAGCTTCCTGAATAGAATGTATGAATAGGCTGAAGAGAAAGGTGTTGACAACGGCGCCAACAGTCTGGTCCAGTATTATCTTAATAGCTGTATTAGCTATACTTAGCTTATGAGCTACTGTTTTGCCTTCCTCGATCTCCCCTTCAAGTGCCTTTTTGTCGTTTGCAGCCGGGGAGGCCACAGTAGCCGATGTAGGAGATATGTGGTAAGCCGGAAAAGCGGACTCTAGAGATTCTTGCCTGCGAAGGTACTTCAACATGGGTGTAGACTGGATTATATATTATATCACACATACCATAAGAAATTAGGCGGTACGTTGATGAATGCGTAAAGGACGAACTGGAAGACTGGGATCCAATCTATGACGAAAGAAGTCTATGGAATGAATCCATTAATATAGAGCCCAAGAGGAAGAAAGCAATGGGATGTCAACTGCCTAGAAAGTAGAGAAGCTCGTCTGCAAGGCAAGTTAGCGTTATGGGATGTGTACGGCCAACTCATACCTCATTTTGATAAGCCGTCAAGCTTTGTGCTAACAGGTTAGATGTAGCTGCCAGAACAGCAGACTGCACCGTCGCAGTTACGATCGGAGGAAAAGCCATTGTGGAGGTTTTTATACGTCGATGTATCAGGTGCCCAGTTCCTGGTACTGATCTACTGGTAGGTGGTTGTGAAGTTATCCATAGGAATAGGTGCGGCCTGAGATGAGAGAAAAGTAGGTGAGACTGGCGAGTACTACTAGTGGTTGGATGCCTTCAAACTACCTATGTACCTACTAGGTACCTACATATGTAGTCTTGGGTCTTATCACAATTACCTACTACAACTACCACTACTAAGTAGTGTACTATGTACTAGGTAAGTAGGTACTTACATGTAGGTATGATTGGGGAATCAACCAATTAAATACCCTGCCATGGATGTATCCCCTATGTAGTTCATCTTCATTCCGCCAGCACGAAGGAACTGTCACACAACGTCGCCTCTTCGAGATATCCAGACAATTAATTTATTTTCCATGTAAATTATACTAAACCATCTCATTTCGTCATATGGAAGCTTCTTGTGGGAATGCTGTGCTTCTTGGCTAAAATAAGCCTGATAATTCAGACTTTTCGAACACTTCCGCATAACGGCAAGCCCGAGCATGATTAAATCTTCAGTTTCCCCTCCCACAAACGAAGTGAGATGACCTTCGAGAGTCCGCGAAAGCTGGCGATGGAATCTGACAGGTCTATCTAGCCTCTGCTGAGAATCCACATGAACAAAAGCTGTATGAGATACGAGTAAGCGAATAAAAATTGGGTTCGCTGGTTTCGTTTCGTACGCGTGTCCGTCTGCATTGGACCTCGCGCATCCCCTCCAGAACTTTCCGGGAGGAGGACGTATCTTAATGATCGCATCTAGTGGTTAAACATTAGCGCCCCGGAGGTATGTTTCTGCAAGGACTGCACCTACCAGAAACAGGGAATTTGCTAGGAACGTGTATAGGAAGACAGTCCATCCGATCCAACCGCCAGTCCCCCTGCCTCCGTTCATGAGCTCGGCGATAGCGACAGTCACGATGATACCGACAAACTTGTATCCTGAGTAGGCTACCAGGTCGAGCAGCTGAGACTCATTCGATATACTTAGAAAGTAGCATCCTAGCTTCAAAAGCAGAATCTCAAGTATGACGACAACTCCCGCCGTAGAAGCAGTGTATCCTAACAGCTCAGGCTGGAACTGCCCCCGTAGACCGGCTATTAGAGTCGATAATAATATATACGTCACGAGTGCCATGACCGGAATGTACATGTCGGGGCTGTTTATATCGTCTCGCGGTGGTAGGTACCATCCCTCCTGTCCATTAGGTCCAACGGTCTGCCTTCGCGACCAAGGCTTGTGTCGCCAGGGGAAGAGCACTAAGAAGAGCTTGTTGACAACGTATTTGTTCGACACGTTGAAGTAGTGCTTGAGGGCGGAAAAGTTCACCCATCGGTTCATCTATCGCCAGGAGTTAGTTTTGTCCCTCTTGTCCTCAGGCTAAGTATCTAAATGGCTAAATAGCCGAATAGCTAGACCAATATAACTCAATCTGACCTACATTTTGTTCGACGTGCTTGAAGGCATTCTGACCAACTTGGCCAACAAATTGCGCGGCCATAGGATCATTCATAAAATTTCCATAGGTGCCGAAGACATTGGTGCCGCTGGCGGGCGTGCTTTGCTGATAGGGGTTTCCATATGCACCTTGCTGCTGCGGTTGCGACGACGTCGGCGGTGGGGGCGATCTTAGTTGTGGAACTGTAGAGACATGTTGAGGAACTGGATGGTGAAGTGGCGGAGAGTGGCCATAATTTGGATGCTGCTGCATATTTATTGTATCGTTTATAGATATTGCGAACTTGGTGGTCTTAGCGGCGATAGCTGTGGCGAGGGCGTTTGCTAGAGGGTTGGGAATCGTGGGCTAGACGTTGGACGTTAGGAGTCGCGCGGCTCTGGGTTTGTTCGTTGAGGAGAATCTTTATGCTTCAAAGCTTCGCTGATGGCGGTTTCCAACGGTCGTCCTTCTGGAAATGTGTTTTTATTCAACGCCAAATGTTACCAGCTGTCAAATACATGTAAATATGGATGACTTTAGTGCTCATCTGCGCACTGTCCACTACCCACATGCAGCCATGATGTGTGCAACATTGAAGTGTACACTTATGTACAAAGCACATCCATGTACCTATGTAGTACTGAGGTATCCACTACTAGGTATGCTGAGTACCTACCTAGTATGTACATACGTTCAATACTAGGTACCAGGTACATACCTATACTATGTAGGTAGGTACATAGGTAGGTACATATAAATGTATTGATACCTAGTATGATACAACCTGGCAATAGGTAGATGACGTGCCGGAGCCGCAATAAAGTTAAATCCCGAATGCTGTCTCCGGGATCGGGCATTGATTGGATCGATATATCAAATGCATCTATCTGTACATCTGTTAGTTTAAACCCTTGTCGCCTCATTGTGCATCTTTCGATTCTAGAGTTGGAGACAGGTAGAGTGAAAGCTTTCGCAAACACTTTATCTCTGGCTTCCTAGACTGTTAGAAATCTATCAAGATGCTAGATACTTTTGAAATACTCACTACTTCCGGTGTGGTTCTCTGGTCCCGGACGTACGCACCAATTAACCCATCCGTCATCAACAACTTCATCGCCGATGTATTCATCGAGGAAAAGGCCACCGCAGCTGGCGCAAAGGACACACAAACCACCGCGAGCAACCCACCGTACAAAGCTGATCAACATACGCTAAAGTGGACATTTGTTAAAGAATTAGGCGTTATATTCGTTGTATGAACCCATCCTTATCCCATTCTCCCAGTTCTCTTACATATTGTACAAGCCACTAGTGTCTAATCAACTAAAATTAGGCCGTGTACCGGTCTCTGCTACATCTTTCATGGATCGACAAGCTCGTCGACAATCTGAAAACCATATTTATTGACTTATATGGTGATCAATTACGGAAGCCCCATACCACCATCGTAGAATGCCGTAAGTTCGACGAGTACTTCGATCAACAATACCACGAACTCGAAGCAAGTGGGACAGTAAATGCCTCGCGGGCCGTTGGCGCCTCCTCTCTCGGGGAGGAGGACGGAATATCTGGTGGGCTTAGAGGAGAACCTCCACTTCCGCCAGGCCTTAAACACAGAGGTAAAACGCCGAATGGCCCACAGGAACATCCATCCACCGCCGAATCCACGCCGATCGCAACCCCGAACACGTCCCGACCTTCTACCCCTGCTGGAAACCACCTGATTGTAGGAAAGGGAGGCCCAATGGCGAGGATGTCGAGGAGAGCTAGAAAGATCCGAAATAACGGCTCTGCCCCGGTGTCCTCCGGTGATGAGGCGCCGTCCAGGAAAGCCAAGAAAGCGCCCAAAAAGGGTAGGAAGTGGGATGCTGATGGCTTTGCGGACGAAGAGGACGATAGCATACAATTAGATTACTCGGCGGCCCAAAATGCTCTGACGAGTGATAGCGAGGTAGAGGCAACTTCTAAGTCGACAGCGGTAGAGGACATAGACTCGTCCACGTGGGGAACGACTACTTCTAAGGGGCAATTCGTGTTGAAGGATTTGGATGACGAGGTGCACTCTATCCTCAAATTAGCCGAGGAAAAGAATACGATATCGAAGGTGGAAAATAAAGGTGGACTTGTTGGCTCCGGTTTAAATACGATCAGTAGTCTCTTCCGCAATGTCGTGGGTGGCAAGACATTGACGCAGGAGGATCTCGACAAAGCTATGAAGGGCATGGAAGACCATCTACTACGGAAGAATGTCGCCCGTGAAGCAGCTGTGAGGCTTTGCGAGGGTGTCGAGAAGGAACTTCTCGGCGTGAAGACCGGTAGCTTCGAGAGCATCGATACACGAATCGCTAAGGCCATGGAAGCATCCCTTACTAAGATGTTGACGCCTACGTCTTCGCTAGATCTCCTACGCGAGATTGATTCTGTTATCAAACCATCGGCGACGTCGATGCGCAAACAGAGGCCGTACGTCATCTCTATAGTCGGGGTCAATGGCGTTGGCAAGTCGACCAACTTGTCTAAGATTTGTTACTTCCTATTACAGAACAAATATAAAGTCCTCATAGCGGCGGGGGATACCTTTCGGTCAGGAGCCGTGGAGCAGCTGAAGGTTCACGTACGGAACTTGAAGGAGTTGACTGAACGCGAAGGCGGCAAAGTTGAGATTTACGAGAAGGGGTATGGAGGCGATGCGGCTACAGTTGCTAAAGAGGCCGTGAAGGAAGCTGCCCATGAAGGTTTTGACGTCGTTCTTATTGATACAGCTGGGCGACGGCACAACGACCAGCGGTTGATGTCATCCTTGGAGAAGTTCGCCAAGTTCGCTCGACCGGACAAGATTCTAATGGTTGGCGAGGTAAGATTTGCGGGAAACCCGCCACCAACCACATAATCAAACACTTGGCTAACCTCATGGAAATAGGCACTCGTAGGAACAGACTCCGTCGCCCAAGCCAGAAACTTCAACTCGTCTTTCGGCCCCGGCCGAACATTAGATGGGTTTATCATTTCTAAGTGCGACACCGTCGGAGATATGGTGGGAACATTGGTCAGCATCGTACACGCTACTAACGTACCCGTCCTCTTCGTCGGCGTTGGGCAGCACTATTCGGACATCAGAAACTTCTCCGTCAAATGGGCGGTAGAGAAGTTGCTGAGCAATAGTTGATTCCCCTGTAGGCCAATTAAGTTCTCAGACTACAGGGCATTTTCTCCTGTTTATATACATATATAACCCTCATGAGAGCTATAATTGGGCTCAAGTTATTGGTGAATAGGGGTGGTGAACTGTATATCATCTATTCAGTCCAATATACGATTAACTTAGGAAGTCCTGCCAGGGAACAACTCGATTTCCGGTAGTGTTTACTTTCTGTGATCACGGTTCCCCGCAAACCCACCAATGAGAAGATTGGGGAGAACGCATTGGTAATGAAGAGGTTAGACACACGACCGAGAGAGGATGAGTAGGCAGCTAGATAGTAGTTTTGCATACGGGATCATCATAGATATGGTGGTACGGACTTGATCTTTTAAGGAGTTATGAATCGACTGCCACTACCTACTAGGTAGTATCGTACTAGGTATTGGACTTGGTGTACAATCCTATCCATAGATGTGCCTATGTAGGTGTGTAACTTGATAATGAGGTACTAGATAGACTAGCGTGGGTCCTGAGATGAAAAAATTTACTATAGGAATAAGGCTACTAGGTAACACATGCTGTGTAGATAAAGTTCCGAAACTGTAAACATTGAAGGGGCTACTAAGTAGGTATCTACTAGTTTGAAGTCATTTATTTTTACTAGCTTCACATACATATGCCATATCATGGATGCCTTTAAGAGATAGTCACTCTAGTCACTCGCATGTGAGCTATCTCCCAATACAAGCTCTCCATAGACCTAGTCATACTATTATAATCAAGGTTAATATTGAAAACATTGGCATCTATCATTTATACTAAGAATTGCATTATTTTGATGAACTTGCACAATAACTTGATACTTAGGTAGGCATTGAGTACCTAGTACTTATATAGACATTCGAGCCTCATCTAGAGAATGATTTGCCATTGGCTTATGCTTATTTGGTTTGTACTTTTTAGAATATGCTCAGGTATGTGGCGGAAGGGGAAAAGGAAAAGTGATTCGCAGATAAAACTAAATATTATGATGTGATGAAATTGATCGACGTTGAACTGAGGCAAGCGTGTGGTGATGCCAGTCGTGGAAAATAAAAACTCATATCCGTCATTGTAATGATTAATGGTTAATGAATACTGAGTTCTTGAAAGGCTACATTAAAAGCCTCAAAGCAACATCAACACAAATGAAAAGCATTGAATATTAGGTGTTTACTTCGTAATTACTGATGAATTAATAAAGGTAAAGATGAAAGTGATTTTCAACACCTAGTGAGTATTGTACATAGGTACGCATAATTACTTGCAGGCCTTACAAGTGGGTTAGTGTAAAGCTAAAAACAGCTTTTTAAAGTTTATTTATTTTTACTCTAGCGCCGACTAATGTAACGTACTACCTGCACCTAGTCTTAATCGATCATAAATCGTGCGAGAATTGCTTCTCCAGTTTCAATACAACATAAACTTCCACAGGTCGATGATCCTTTTATATCTTAACAACTAAGACAACCCATCAACTTGTCACATTTCTCATTTGCACTCAAGCTGTTAGATCTTACTCGGTATAGTCCTTCGATTTTATGGGATCGGAACTACGCCCTAACTACTAGGTGCCTATGTAAGCAGGTACTTAGTAAAGTGACAAAATATTTCCAAATCATTTTCGACAACCTTAAGAATCGAGGAAAATCTTACACTTAAATCGGCATAATCAATAGCCAGCGTTGGACGTGAACTCCGATCATCCGATCACCACCTGGGCAGTCACTGTACATAACTCGGTACCCGAAACCAGCCCTGACTATCCGGTTCTCTCTGGTTCTCTCCGGCTCTCTCGTTGGTTGACATTCTTCGGCCAATCCCCATCTTCTCTACTACCCTCCGAGACCCTATTATCAGCCCAATCGCAGCATCACATCACTTCTCGCTAGCTGGCAAAAGCTGAATATCGGCTGCGGGAGACAAGTCAATCGAGCCTTGCCCCTCCGCTTGACTGTTCCTTCGACGTCTGATCATTTCCCTCTAGCTTGACCGCATGTCTATCTGTCTGGTTGCCTCCCTGCCTTCTTGCCCGCATTCCAACGCACTACTACATCATTCAAACGACTTTGAACAATTTTCCGGCTTGGGCCGCTTTTAGTCTTCTCTCGTTTACGTTTATTGCCATTGCTGTGATAGCGAAGGTGGGTGTTATGGGCACCATTCATAGTGGTAATAATAATTCTTGCACTATTATTCTTGTTATTCTTTTCCTTTCCCTCTCGTTAGCCTAATCTCGGCGTTTGCCATCGAATAAACCGGGCGACGGATATACTTAAACTTGTACTTACATTTAAACTTACACTTACACTTACACTTACACTTACATATCATATTTGGGGATCTTCGTCAATCTGTGACCTCGATCACGTATCGCCCTACCTGCTTACCTTACCCCGGGCTATCTGGGTCGAATAATTCGACATCCTAGCCATCCTAGCATATAACTTGTTGTGGTTTTCTCCACAATCTGCCCACTCAGGCGTCGCCGCTTGGCCGCATTCCAAGGGTCGACAGTCAGCGCTATCCGGGGTCGTGCCTAGGATACCGACGCAGGCTACGGCAGTCCGATCCCCTCCCCACCGTCTACCTCTTGATATCCTAATATTCTATCCAGTCCATCCTCTACTTCTGCACTAATCTGCCGATAGTCAAACGATGAATTCGGTCAATTGATCGATTCCTTTGTGCATTCGTTGCCCGTCATGGCCGCGTCTGTGCAAAAGCTGTCGTCCCTTGATCTGGTTCGAGACCCAGATGGCTCTCCCCCCGAACTTAGAGAGGCCGACTACTCAAGTCAGGTTCTTCAGCTCTCGTCCGAAAAAACCGAGGCTTACCTTAATGAGCTGATCATGAAGGCTACTAATCTGGGAATTGCTATCTCTCGGCCTTCGAGTACTACCTCTGTAGACAACAAACGAAATCCCTCGGGCACTGAATCGAGCATCACCGTAGACACAAACCATGCACTCAATACGTCTACGGGATCCCAGGGCTCCATAAGAATAAATTTAACGCCGGACTCTTTGCAAAACGGCCACTCTGAGATCGCTGGGCGGATCGTCGCGAGGAAGCGATCGAGGGCACTCACCTTTGGTCAATACGAAACTTACCTCGCCGAGGTAGATCCGACCCTGAAGCAAAACAAGTTTTTGTCACAATCGTCGACGGAGACCGAATCTGCGCCGAGTATTTTTAGTGCCAGCACGAACATAAGTTATGTCAGTTTGAAGAGAGGGTTCTCCAAGTTACGGCGCAGACGGAAGCACTTATCTTATCCTGGGGAGATGGTCATGTTTGTCTAACGGCTCAGACGGTTGTGGTGACAGGTGCTAACGACTTTACGTCCTTCTTTTGTAGGTCTTGCAGTGCCTGCCGAGAAGATCTTCAACCAGGCCAAACTCTTCAGAAACTACCATGCGGACACAGTTATTGCCCGAGATGCTTGAAGATTATGATCAACCAAGCAACAACCGAGGAATCCAAAATGCCGCCGCGCTGCTGTACCCAGCCCATACCGAGTTCCATCATCAGGTCTATCCTGCCCCGCGAAGAGCAAACGAAATTCCTCAAGGCCGTTGTTCAGTATAGCACTCCCTGGGAGGCACGAGTATTCTGTTCTAACCTAGCCTGTGGTGAATTCATACCACCACGGGCCAAAATCGACCCTAAATATCCGTTCCAGACTATCTGTCGCAAATGCAAAACGCGAGTTTGCGCCATGTGTAAGAGAGATGCCCACCCTCCAGATCAAGATTGCCCAGACGACTGGGAGCTCAAGGCTGTATTGAAGATGGGCGAAAAGTCGGGCTGGAGAAGGTGTTACAAGTGCCGGACTCTTGTTGAGCTCTCTCAAGGATGTACACATATGACATGTCGTTGCCGGGCACAGTTTTGTTACATCTGTGGTGCCGTCTGGGATCCAATGGTTGGGTGTCCAAATGTCTGCAATGGTGAGGACGAGATGGACCGTCGACGTCAACAGGAAGAGGAAAGGTTGGCAGAACTAGCGAAGGAAGAAGCAGCCAGAGAGGAAGCTGCCGAGAGGGAAAAGGTAGAAAGACTCGAGGCCGAAGGCCGCACTCGGAGTTGCGATGAGTTCAAAGCGTTGCGAGCGGAGCAGGTAAAAGAGATGGTCCGGTTCCAAACATTTGAAAGGAAGTCAAAGTGGCTTATGTGGACAAGGCACGCGCACCAGAAGCTCGCCCTCGTAGAGAAGCAGTCAACAGCGATAGAACGAATGAAGGAGCGGCACGCAAAGACGTCGGTTAATCTCGAAGACCGCCAAGTCGCTGCAGAGATGGAATTGCGTTCAACATTGGAACAGAGCGAAAGGAATGTACGAATTCGACTTAAGCACATGGAAGCATACTGCGATGGCCTTGGAAAGAAGCCGGATACGGATGTACCCTCTAGAGTCGTGACGGAGCGAGATCTACGAGAACTCGGGCAGCAATATAATGTCGAGAAAAATATGAGACAGCTCCATCAAGCTAAAATTAACGTCATGCGAGATCGGCAGGCCAAAGCCCTCGAAGAGTTGCTCGAAAGACAGGAATCTGAGATGGGAAAACTAATCGAGAAGAATAGGAAGGAAATCGAGAGTCTTGAATCGGATTTCGCGGATGAAGAAGACTCTCTAACAACAACCTTCCTTCGGCGTAAATCAACGCTAGGAAATAGATGGGAACTAGAGATGGAAGTGATGTGCAGAGAGTTGGAGAGAGAGAGAGGCTTGATATATGCATTAATGAAGCCCCTTGAATGGCCAGATGAAGACGAGTCCCTAGACGACGGTCTACCAGTCGTGGAAGAATAATTTGCCTCGACGCCATCTCCGCCGAGTTTCGTACTACGCGTGCGCTGCTTTGTTTAAGAGTAACTCGTTCCGGAATCCCAATCTGATTATTGCTTTTTTCCCTTCTCGCACCTTTAATGAACCTTCTCCTTTGTCATGATGGGGATTCAGGGGTTCGGATTGTCATAGATAGGAAGGTGTTTGTAGGCTCGCGATGCCGGCATCAACAAAGGGATTCCATGAAAGTGCCAGCGTTGCAGTTAACATTTTTCTTTTTCAAGATATACCCCTTGGTGTTAATTATCAACGAGACAGGTATGTTTGGTGGAGTCTAAGCTAGGTAGCAGGTACTTAGCAATAAGGTTGATGATATAGAGGCGCCTAGTGCCCTATTGCGAGTTTTCGGATGGCGTTACATACCTTACTCAATGCTACAACTCATTTATCGCGCTATCCGACTCTCACAAACCCGTCGAATATTGAATTAGGTAGTACAATACCTACCTATGTTTGAAGGATACGGACTATCAGAGCCTGATCTAAGGCTGACGCGGTGTCATCATTGAATCACAACAGCACTGTAAACCAGCTACACACCTTAGGTGGTTAAATAATGCCCGGTACTTAGTATCGTTTTATATTTCTGTAAGGGTATCGGCTTGAAACCGGCTAGTAGCACAATAACAACTTGCAAGGACAAAACTCCACATATGTTATTATTACCTGACGGTGCCAGGGCCAAATTTACTATATATTAGGTAGTATACAAGACAAAACCGTTAAAGCCATTCATAAAGATGACAGAGTTTGAAACCAATGAATAGGTTAAATTGAAACTAGATGTGAGAGGTTTCTGGAGTTATGATCAGAATAATTTAGGATCGGTGATGGCGATGGCGACGAGATTGGGCGAAGCGATTCTATAGTAGTGTTAGTTAACATGACCCAAATAATAATCCAACCATGCTTAAGAGGATGATAATAATAAAGTGTTCAGAATATGTAAGAATTAAATATCACGTATCTACCCGATATAGCAGCTCTGGCAGGAGCGCCATCGAGTAGAATCAATCGCAAATTACCTCATCATTACGAGCGGGAAAGTGAGATGTCATGAGAAAAGTAAAATGGAAGGCCTTACCTAAGAGTATTTGGTGGTTGATAAACGATATCAACGGGTTTGACCACATCGACCGCGTCAGGACCTTCGTCTTTGCAACTGTAGAAGGAACATTGAAAGCGGGCGGTTGATGAAGTTTGAGAGTTGAAATCTTTTACAGAAATTCTGCAGGTGGTCCACTTTTTAGGCGCGCTAGTAGGTTCGGGTACGGCTTGCTAAAAATTCCGGTTTAACCCTAACCGCCCACACAAGATTCAACTTCCCACTTTCACTTCCCACTGCATGTGTGCGCGACTCTCAAAGAAAAGTTCAAGGTAGGAGGATTGACCCAACACCACGATATCACCAAACTCGGTAAGTTATTTCTAAATTTCCTTCTTCCTCCCTTACCACTCATATCTCCTCTCCCTCTATACCAACCAAATCACTTTCTATCATTCCTTTTTTTTCGAGAAAAAAAAATCAATTTGTACAATTCCGCATACATTTCTAACACAAGAACCCTTGCCAGTATACCGTCACAATGGGCGACGCATCAATCGAATCCCCCGAATGGCGCAAGGTCGAGGTCGGCCGCATCGTCCTCGTCCAGGGCAACAGCCCCTACGCCGGCAGACTCGCTGCCATCGTCGAGATCATTGACCACAAGCGCGTACGTGACACCAAAACCGAGGAGGATATGCAAATCATGTAGTGTTGACTGGGATTTTTTTCTAGGCTCTGGTTGATGGACCTTCCGCAGACCCCAAGCTGGTCGTCCCCAGACAAGCCATCTCCTTCGTCGATGTGCTATTGTCCGACTTGAAGATCCAGAAGCTGCCGCGCGCCGTACGAACGGGAACTTTGAAGACGGCGTGGGAGAAGTCCGAGATCGACGCTAAGTGGAAGGAGAGCAAGTGGGCTAAGCGAAAGGATCAGACAGAACGAAGAAAGGCTCTTACCGACTTCGACCGATTCAAGGTCCTGCGACTCAAGAAGCAACGACGATTCGAGGAACGAAAGGCCCTGGCTAAGGTTAAGGCATCCGCATGAAATGAAAGGGAGGGAATAAAGAGTGACTCTGGTAAAACGGTCTCTTTCAGATAGGGCGGAAGGTTGTCTACGGATCTAGTCCGCATGAAACAACAAACACATCACATATATTGGCATGGGGTTGCTGGGTTTCTTCTGCTTCGTCTGGCAAGACCTGTATGTCACTCATAACTTCTCCATGAGGTGACCGGCGTCAATGATAAGGGAAATTCACACATCAACTGAAGATGCTGACATGTGCCCACGTAATTCTTCTTTTGCCTCTCCTCTCTCCCACGGCCTGAAACTGCTACTATTATTAGGTAGCTAGTAGGCACATGTAGTTATGCGCAAAATAGCTACGTATAGAACGGAACAACGTGACAGTATCACCAGGGTAGTACATACGAAGTAGCGTAGATACCTACAATCGAGACCCTACATACGGTACCTCACTAGTATACTAGGTATAGTATCTAAAGTATCAACTACCAGTATTCCTTGGTGTACGAAATATTCAAATACGGGGTACAGGGGTAGGTATGAAGGGCAATCTTGAAGTCCGTCGTAATGCCGTTTAGAAAGCTCTCTTGGGTGCTTCCATGAGGTTCTCGTTCCATTAATAGGTTCACATTGTATCATAGCAAGAGCCCTGAACTTGGAAGTATATCATATTACATAATGGTGTAAGTATGTACCTAGGTATATGATGTCGGTCCGTATTAGTACTAGTGTGAGATTGTGGTGGATCACTCTTGAAAAGACAAAAAAAAAAGGCAAACCCTAGGCCAAACCAATTGGCATGAAAAGCTGACCAGCTGTAAGCAACTTTTCTTCACAACCGAACCACCCACCCACATCCTAGGCCACAACCAATCACCCCGCTATCTAATTTCGGTGTCGTTCCTAGCTGTGTAACTTTTGGTGAGTCCGAATTTTGTAGAATTTTATACGATTTTACTTCAACTCCTATCTATCTAGTCCTCCTTGTCCTTCATCCCTCCCTCTCATCTAAAAGAAATAAAAAAATAAACCATCATAGGTAGGAATTGGAAGAAGTTAGCAAAGTCAACCTGAATGTTGCTCGTCACTTCAGACCCCCACCATCTAGGCACATCGCACATCGCAAGAATAAATAGCTAATTTTAAACCCCACCAGTTTTACATTCAATATGGCCAACCCGAGGGTCGAGGAACTGCCCGATGACGAGCCTAAGAAGGTCTCGGTTGAGGAGCATGATGACGATGACAGCTCTGATTCCGAGATCGAGGTAGGCGACGGTGGTGCTGCGGGCTCTACAGCCGTCGTTCATTCCCGTAACGAGAAGAAGGCACGAAAGGCTATTGAGAAGCTCCACCTCACCCGCGTTACCGGCATCACTCGAGTGACCCTCCGAAGACCCAAGAACGTAAGTCATACTGCACAAGAAATAATTTTGTTAGTGGGCGGACTGGGATAGTTGAAGCTGTGCGCGGAAGCGGCTATACAATTGGCGCATATCGTCAACGTCACCGCAGCCCTCTATTGTTTTCTCTCCCGAGAAACGATGTGTATATTTCTGGTTATATACCTACTATACATATGCGAGAGTCTCCAATTGGGGTATTGGTGGCTAATGACTTGCGTATAGATCCTATTTGTCATCAACAACCCGGAAGTTTACAAGTCGCCCAACAGCAACACCTACATGTAAGAATATACGAGCTTTGTGTGGGCGATCGATTATAGCTAACGATCATATTAGCGTCTTCGGCGAGGCTAAGATCGAGGACTTGAACTCAGCCGCCCAGCAAGCCGCTGCCCAGTCCCTTGCGGCTCCTGGCGGTGACCACGATCACGCTGGCCACGACCATAGCCACGGCGAACCTAGTAAGGCGGTCGAGGGTGCCGAGGACAAGAAGGATGACGATGACGATGATGAGGAAGTCGATGCCGAAGGACTCGAGGACAAGGACATCGAACTGGTTATGACTCAAGCCAACGTCAAACGCAACAAGGCCATCAAAGCCTTAAAAGAGAATGACAATGACATAGTCAATTCGATTATGGCGCTGAGCGTTTGATGACCGAACCCGGGCATGACTGAGATTCATTTAGGTATGGAGAAGGGCGGTCTGCAACTTGGGTTCTTTTTCTTCGGCTAGATGCATTGCAACAACGGAAAAAAGTATGCATTGAGGAAAAAGGAAGTTGGCTTGCTGTGTATTACAGTCTACGATACCTGACAATGGATTCCCAAGCCGTCGTGAATGTTTACCGCTTCTAGTTCAATGACAACTAAATATCTTCCTGTGACTCGAGTTCCTTACGCGATAAATTTTATGCGTTGACGCCTTCCGAACTCGTAATATCTTGTAAGTAAACCACGGTAGATTCGATCAAGGATTCCTCGTAGGGGAAGAGTCAGTAGTTCTAAAGATGAATATGAAGCTCAAAATCCGGGAGTTTCCAATAAATATACTAACAGGTAGGTACTAGATGCCTATGTACCTAGGACCTATAAAAACATCTACTAGTACCTATTTGAGTTTAATGCGCGTGGATATACCACGTGATTTACGTGTCACGAGACCTAGCTTTCAACGGACAAAGGTACTAGCACTGTAAAAACGTCGGAGTTCTTCGGCTACCTACCTAGGAATAGTTGCAGTAATAATCCAGCAACTCAACCCGCCATCCACTCCTTATCTTTTTCTTCAACATATCGCAAAAATGGCCACGGTGAGTACGAGTAATTCTCATTGTTAAGTTCTATATGATACGTTGATGTATCCAGTTAGTCGAACAATAATCTTGTCGATTGAGCTACCAATTGCCCCCACGAAATACCGCCGCAAAATACTGTGATGAGTTAATTTCTAATTTGTCTCTTTACCCTTACAGCGTAGCGCAGCCCTCAAGCTTGACTGGACGAAGGTCACTTCCTCTCTGGGCCTGCGCGGCCAAACTGTTGCTAGCCTTCAAGCTTTCAAACAGCGCAACGAGAATGCCCGCCGCAAGGTCCAGGCCTTGTCCGAATTGCCGACCACGGTCGACTTCGCGCACTACCGATCGATCTTAAAAAACCAGGCCGTCATCAACGAGATCGAGAAGCGCTTCGCTGCCTTCCAGCCTGCTAAGTACGATGTCACGCGCCAGCTTAAGGCTATCGAGGCTTTCGAAGTTGAGGCTGTCAAGAACGCTGAGAGCACCAAGGAGAAGGTCGACCTCGAGCTGAAGGACCTCGAAGCCACCCTCAAGAACATTGAGACGGCAAGGCCGTTCGAGGAGCTTACTGTGGTATGTCGAGTAACGAATATGACCCTTCCCATGAAGGGCATGATTATTGGAAATGGAGAAAAAAGACTATATGCTAATTCATATCTCTTCTTGTTCAGGACGAGGTCGCTGCAGCAGAACCTTCCATCGACGAGAAGACAGCGAAATTGGTATCCAAGGGTCGCTGGTCTGTCCCAGGATACAAGGTACGTCCATATCTTACATATCGGCTCTTGGTATACGATACTAACCCCGCGTCTAGGAGAAATTCGGCGACCTTTCGGTCCTGTAGACAGCGTGCGAACTAGAACCAAAATCACGACCCTTTTCCCCTCGTGTACTCTAGCATTGTAGATAGGAAGGTCGGGAAGAGGCGGAAGCATTGGAAATCAAGCACAATTAATTAAGACTTGTCCAGTTGAGTTGGGCTAATGTGTGTGATTTACGTATCTCGTATAGGAGATATACCCCACACCATCCCCAAGGACCCAAGACGATGGGCTACTCACCTTCTATGGAGAATGATCTATAGTTCAAGTCATATTGAACTGGTTCCGTGCAGGTTCGTGCAAGGTTATAAGTTACTTCATAGTAAACCTACCTCCCTATTTTCTCCTACACGCCAACCCCGTCCAATATAGGTTTACTAACCTTGCTAAACCCAGAAATTACGCAGAAGCCATGGAATATCTAGCAAAATCCTTCTTTTCTTGGCGAGGGTAGCTAAAAATAACAGGTTAACTTGGCATAACTCGGCATTTTTCCTAAATTACTTCTTAACATTTACACAATATAGATAACGTAGATGATTTCCAATACATTACTTCCAAGATAATTACCAGTAATGGCTACTTCCTAGCATTATGGAATCACAAGGTTGGAGAAAATAAGAGAATATATTTCGTTGGGATGTCAAGCACTCGCTGTCATGCCTAGAAGGGAAAGAAATCATTCCATGTTCATAGCAATTGTCGGGATTTTGACAAGGTAATTAATATAAAAGATTGCTACATGGTTACCCCTATTTGTGCTAGGCAAGATGAAGTCCAAGTCTCATTAATATCTTAGCATTCCACGCACATATGCCGAGATATAGAAAATATGTAACAAATTAATTCTTACGTCGCTTGACGTGTGGAGTGACCACAATATGTCTTGTGAAATTATCTTTTGAAGCAAAAGACGAGAAACTTGGATTTATCATCCCCTCATAATCGTACAAATGATTCCTATAAGTCGCATATCAAAGTCCGGAGGCACGAGAGAAAATACAATGTTTCAAGACTTATAAAACTCAGCTTTACGTCGGCGCCTACATGTTCCTACTATTGATATAGGGATCTAGATGTAAAGAAAAGATAGGGGTCATTTCTTCGCTTATTACATATATACCTAGTACTTACATATGTAGGTAAGTAGGTACCTACCTAGGTAGGTAGGTATGTAGATACAGGCACATGCTACTACTAGATAGGTAGTAGGTAACCCCTGAGCTATCAAATAGTTAGTACCTAAGTACCAGTACGTTGGTCCGTGTGAATCCATCAACTTTGAGAGCTTATCGCGACTTGATAACAGCTGTCTACGTAGGTAATTTCCAATTAGCGCGCGTTGTTCCCTGTAATATCGATGCATCTTTACTTCAACTTCAAGAGTTGAAGCTTTTCTTGAAGTTATCTAGAAATCAATTCGCGAACTTACAGTGCGTATTTTCAACGCCGGCTTACTGCAGGCCAAAATAGTGGCTTTCCGACCACAAGAAAATGCCGGCCTCAGAAAAACTTGAAGGCATTGGTCTTTTATGAGTGAGACCGCAAAACACATCCGAAAAAAAAGAAACGCTGTATAAGCAAATCGATTATCGCCACTTTTTCATTTTACCTACCTAGTATTCTTGGGGATCAGTTCTCGTCAGCCTGGAATCCGACCTGTCACATTTTTTCCCGCGATGGCGGATCCTTGCATAGCGGCGGATGAGATGCCCAGTGAGGATATCGAGATGGAGGGTACTGATTTGCCTCCCAGCAACGGGCTTGGTAACAAACCTTCCAACGGAGACGGCAACTTGCATAGCCGGCCGACCCAGCCACCGGAGAATATAGATCAGACAAATCATACTCAGGTCAAATTAGATACCGATGAGAAACAACCGATTTCCTCGTCACCGCCGCCAAACGGTGACTCCAACAAGATGAAGTCAGCGTCTAGAAAGAAGGGCACTGCATCTAAGAAAGGCCCCAAAAAGTCTAGATCGTCTAAATCTAAGACACATTCGAAGAAGGGTACTTCAACCACTGACCCCACTGGTGGCGCGCATGATGCAAGCTCCGACGATGAGACCGACAATGGCCCTTACTGTATCTGCCGTGGTCCAGATGACCACAGATGGATGATAAGCTGTGATGTCTGCGAAGACTGGTTCCACGGGGAATGCGTTAGCCTGAATAAGGATGTCGGCGAAAATTTGGTTGAGCGCTTCGTCTGCCCCAATTGCACCGACGGTAAGCGTAACTACACCAAGTACAAGAAGACTTGCTCGCTGGCCGACTGCAAGAACCCGGCCCGTTTATACACCAAGACTCTTAAAGATAGGAGTGTCTTTTGCTGTAACGACCACTGCGATGCCTGGTGGATCAATATGATCAACACATTACCGACGAAGGCTGCATCAGAGAAAGCTATCGAGGTTCTCACCCAGGAGGATTTTGTTGGCCTTCTTGTCAATACCGCCGAGCAGAGTAGCTGGAAGCTTGGTGACCAACCGTTTGGTGAGTCGACTATCTTTATACTTACTTCATCCCCGCTCCTACCCTTTGTCCAATCTATTTAATATGCTGCTATTTTTTCTATACTAACGCTCCTCGTTCAGGCAACATGGAAGGTCTCTGGTCCAATGGCCTTCCAACACGCTCTGGCGTCCTTAGCGGCGAAGAGCAAGCCTTCTTGAAGAGCTCCTCTGCGGAGCGTCTCGCTTTAGGCAACGAGATTGTGCAATATAAGAAGATGATGCAGCTCATAGATTGGGCCAATCATCGCCGACAGCTAGCGATCGAGGCGGGTAAATTCACAAAGGAGAGTTGCGGTTACGATTGGCGACTCGACACAGTCTCCGTACGCCATCAGTTCTCAGAGTGGCTCGAGACCCCGGAGGGCCAGGCAATATTTAAGACCGGCCGGCTCGATGCTCCACTCGATCCTGACTTGCAAGGAGAACCAGCTACCCGCGGCATGTGCGAGAAGAAACGGTGCAAGCCGCACAACTTATGGTATAAGTTACTGATGAGCGCGGTTAGGACTCTGATCAAGGAAACGGCGACAGCAGCGGCGGATAAGCTGAACTCGGAGGATGTCATGCGCCAAGCAGCGGAGGCTAGATTTGAAAGACGTCAGCTGGAGAAGAATTCAGTAGAGATTTTAGATGGTTGACGTCAATCTGGCTGTTTGATACCTTAGGTAACAGTCATGGAGAAAATCATCGTAGAAGAAATTTCTCACCCCATAGTTAGCTGGAAACAGGAATTATCCTGTCTAAGTTGAATGCTTACCTATATAAACGCTTAGGTTCACTATTACATGGTTACCAGTAGAAATTAATATTGACGTCCTCTGGTTTCCCCCAAACCATATTCCATATCCCATGCCCTATGTCTTACAAGGTGTTCTATATCTAATAGACTCGTAGGTCCGATAGCGCGAAGCCGCTGACGAGTTGTCGTCTCTTCTTGACTTGTGGCCCTTATAGCCGTGGGTTTAACGTGTGTAGACGCTTATAGACGCTTGTAGAGGCGTGGGAAAGTCGGTAAATGTTCGTGTAGAGGATCAGAGGGTCGAGTTATTTCAAGATAGATAGATGGCGAGATGAGTAAACCTGTTTGTTGTTTTCTAATTACGTTTATCTTCTAAATAGACACCTAAAGGGAATAAAAGAAAGGGCGATGGGTTCTATATCGTGAGACGAAGCCATGTCGTTGAAGTTCAGGAAGTTGTCACCGTAAAGCTAGGAGGTAGTCACTCCCAAAAAAGGCAGCGCCATCAAGATGTAGTTGCCATATTATTCTAGTGTCTTTTCTATACCAGTTAGAAATCATTCATGTGATGATAAATTTCCGCTGGTGCCCTATCCCAGCTTGACAAGCCGAAAAGCCCATCCATAGCTGTCGAGTCTTGTTGAAACAGCCCCTATCGAGTTCAACACGCGCATACCAATAGGCACGAAAATTATATCAGAAATCAACTCTCCACGTTTAAACGATACGTATACGGAGGTTTCAGACTAGAATACCTACGCGCTGGTGTATAGTTGGGTTGTCTATCGAAACTAGAAGTTTTGATAAACGTCCCTCCTCGCCCTCCAGAATCACCCAAAAACGCCTTTTCATCTATTTCTCCACGACACAAGCCAATATACTTCTGAAAATTTGCATATAGCATATGTCTCGACTTTCTTTACCTTCGATGATAATTAATATTTCGAAATATCGATCACGCGGCTCACAATTGATTCCAGACGCAAATCTCCTCGTCGAACCCGCATATATGAATATGCACATATACCATTTAGTACATTCAGTAATCGGGTTATGAGCTTAAGAGACATGTATTAATGCAGTATAAGCTATTTTCGAATATTCCATTAGGCGGGTTTGCGCTAGTGACTTCTGCTTACAGTGATAAACTCTATTTCGTCGCGTCCTCCAGACCATATCTGGCTTCCGCTTCTACCAGATTCTTTCCTTCTTTCTCTTCTGTTCATCATCAGCTTCTTCATTCCGCAATCCATACTTTCCAATTTCCAAATTTCCAATGTCTCGATCCGTCAACTTTACTCAAATGTCGGCTGCTTGCAGTCGTGGGCTAACTAGGTCCCACATCTCTCCTATTTCTCATCTCCCTTCCACTCCTGTCCGCCATCCCATTCCTCCTTCTACTCCTGTTCGTCGTCCTCATCGCTTCCGTGGCCGTCCAGTGGACGAAGCTGCCGCGGTCGTTAGTTCTGATTCTCCTCTAATGGGTTATATCCCAACGCCAATTCAGGCTCCTGTCTTCTCTCCTATTCGCTCTCCTTTCTCGCCATGTGGCTCCTTCCCTGCTACCCCTTCCACCCCCCCTACCAAGCATTTCATCTCGCCTATCAAGGATAGCGAGGGTGCCCGTGAAAGAAGACGGGAATCACGCCCTAGCCCATTAACATCTCTTCTAGCTTCCAAAGGTATCGAACGCGAAATCATCCCGAGGCCTCGTGCCCTGTGCCCCGAGTGCACTAAAGTCAAGATGCTACTTCCAGCTAGATGGTGCGGTCACCAAGTAACCCGTAAGTAGCTAGTCGCTTCATTTCTCTGTCCATTCTCTGCATTTCCCCTGCCGCCCCTTTTTCTATTCTTTTCTTCTCCCCTTCCCCTCGCAAACGATGATGTCTTGCTATTCGTTTCCGACTAGGCGATGGATACTTTACATTAAATGATGATGTATACTGGAAATACGACCCTCATGCTAACATCGCATCCATAGCTTCTCGTATGAAGGATGGTTGGCGTGTTGTTCGGATCAACCCCAACCTCGGAAAAACGAAGGGTGCCAAAGCTCAGAAGCCACGAAAAAGCAGACGTGCTGGCCCAGAAAAGGCCAATCCAGTTGCCGCTGGTTCGTTAGAAAACCAAGCCGAACAACAGGCGCCTGTCATCGATGAGCCAGCAGTTGAACCCAGTACCCCTCAGCGCGTAGCCAGCTCGCTTGTCATTGATGAGCAACCAACGGTCCAACCTAGCACACCTGTGCTAGTTTCTACCTCGCCTATTGTTGGGTCGACACCAACACCGAAGCCAAGCACTGTTTGTTCGCCATCTACACAAATCCCATTCCGGAACCCGGACCTCAACGACCAACCCTTACACTGGTCGCCACGCATGTTCAAGTCCGAGATAGATCGTCACAACTGGACCTGGTCTGAATGGGATTCTCCATCCCAGACAATTGAGGAGGTCACATACGAGAGTGAAGATTGGCCTATCCACGATCCATTCGCTCGCTACCCCCCAGAAATCAGACAACGACTCAGGGATGTTCTCGCAATGAAGCCTGAATTGACCCCTTCCTCTGATTCCGCAGAAGGGTTCTCGCCCATTGAGTTTCACTATAATGGGTTTGGAATTGAGAAAGTTGGTTCATCTGCACAAAATGACGATGGCAAGTCTGAAGACCTGTCGAGTTGGGTCCTGATCAATGATCACCCATGGTCCCCCACCCTACTCCAGATGTGGATCGATAGCGAAAAGGATCGAGACAGACAAGCAGCTAGGAGAAAAGAATTCCAGCTGAACGACGATACTTCAACCGTATCAAGTCTCGATACAGTGGACTTCCTAGCCGAAATTCATTGCCCTGAACAGAATCGTCCTGAACCCAGCCATCTCGAGCCCAACAGTTCTGGATCCAACCGCTCTAGGTCGGTCAACATATCTTCTCTACTTCAACTTTACATCGATAGCGACAACGATCGCCAGAGATGGGAAGCGGAAGATAAGGACGCTCGTGTCAGCTCTCCCAAGAGCATTCCCGACTCTATGCCATCTCGCCCTGACGCACCGACTCCTTCAGCGTCTCGTCCAGACGAATCCATTCCCTCAGCGCCAGCATCTGTTCAAGATGTGCCCAGTGCTCCAGCTTCTGTTCAAGATGTGCCCACTCTTCCAGAGTATGTTTCAGAGGCACCGGTCATCTCACCAGAACCTACTCCAGAAACTACTTCTCCCGCGCCTGTTCCCGACGCGTCTACCCTCCCACAATCAGAAGAGGAGTTTTCCTCTTGGGTCGACCTTGACACTCGAAAATGGACCGACCTTACATTCAGGTTCCATACTAGACAAGAAGAGGGCCGGCGGATGGGACTCTACGACAATGACAGCGATGACTCCGATTCCGTCGATTCCGATTTCAGTGATTCGTTCGATATTACCGGCCATCTCCAAAAGAACTATGGCATAACCGTGGCTTCTCAGAAGCACTTCCGCGCCCTCCAAGAGGCTCAACAACCTTCGGTAGGAACACAGCCTGCTGCTGTGTCAACATCGTCAACCGTCTCTCCCAGCTTCACTGCTAGACGTCAGCTACCATCGGCTACTGTAATGGAGCCACGTCCGTCTTTAGAAGAGTCGTTCCGAGGATCCGGGTTTGGTTGGAAGTCACTCGCTTGTGTTGCTGTCACGGCTGCGGCCGTCGGGGCTGGTCTCGCGTATGCTTGGTTTTCGGGCTAGACAGTACGCTGTTTGGGTATGCCTGTCTATTTCCCATAGGAATTGTCTGTTGTATTCACTAATTATATTTAGTCACCCACCACGGTCCTTCGTTTTCGGTCCTTCGTTTTCGGTATACGGTTGGCGAGATGGTTTTGCAGTGCCCATTGGTAGGGTTGGGTTTTCTCTTATGTCTTTCGTTTGCTCATTCCAACCTCTCCTCCCGCTTCCTCCTCATTTTCATTAATGTTCACCTCAGTCTCTATTCCAAGCCCGTTATTCACTCGTTTCAGTTACATTCCTTTCTTTTGCCTTTTGTTTGAACCTGGGGGCGTTACTCATTTAGGGCACTGCAAAACCGGGAGGAGGGCGGTATGGGCGTGATGTGGTTGTGGGGAGAGTTGGGGTTTGGGGGGTTGATGGTTGATGGTTATTGGTTCTAGTTCTGCTTTTTTTATGGGGGGAGGGTACATGATTCTTGGCTTTGGGTTTTGGTTTGGTTTTGGTTGTGGCGTTTGGCGTTTGGCATTTGATTTTTTTGTCTGTTCTTGGGATTTGGGATTGGTTTGTCACTGGCTCAGTCTTGGTCGTCGCTCTTTTGAATTAACCTCGACTTTGAAGCTTACCAAGTCATTTGCTTCTATTTTTGCTCTCATTGTTTAATTGATTGGTGCTTCGTCATTTATTGATGATACACGTATACACAGGTAAGTCATTAGCTGTAAGTAACCAACGTACTACTAGGTAATACATAGGTACAATTGCAGATTCAGATCCATCTGTGTTACCAAGTCAAAAAGCGCCGATTTGATCCGATCTAGTCTCGGCAAGGTTTTCTTCTAGGTATGTACCTACTACCTAGTAGTAGTACTTGTAGGTACTTACTACCTACCTAGTACCTAGTAGGAGATTTCACCCCCTCTAAAATAAAATAAAAAGCTCACTACCTAAGGTTCTACATAGGTACCTACATAGTAGTAATTCTATCGTACGACCATATAATATTTTGAAGTTCATCACCGATATCTGGCCAATATATATGAAGAAAGTCGAGGGAGATAGGAGTAAAAATGGGCTCTAGTCAAGTCCTCACGGAAGTCAGTCTGACGTCACTCCGTAAACTCGCGGAGGGAAAAGTGCGCGACCTCTACAGTGTCGACGATAACACTCTGCTATTCGTCACCACCGACCGCATTTCCGCCTACGATGTAGTCATGAAGAACGGCGTTCCGCGCAAGGGCTCATTGCTGACCCTGCAATCCGTGCATTGGTTCAAGGTGCTGTCGGAAAGGGTGCCTGGTCTCAAGACACACTTCCTAACCACCGATGTCCCGTCTCAAGTTTCGCCCGAGGAGGCACAACTCATCCGGAACCGCAGCATGCAGGTTCGCAAGCTGAAAGTCTTCCCACTCGAGGCCATCGTCCGCGGTTATATCACCGGCTCCGCTTGGAAGGAGTACAAAGCTCACGGCACCGTCCACGGCACGCCGCTACCTCCGGGACTCCGCGAGTGCGATGCCATCCCCGGCGGTCCCATCTACACGCCCAGCACCAAGGCGCCGCTCGGCCAACATGACGAAAATATTTCTCGCGAGCGGGCTGCGCAGATCGTCGGCGATAGGTATGCCGCACGCATCGAGGAGCTCGCGCTGAAGGTCTTTCGTGCCGGACAGGAGTACGCGGCCGAGTGCGGGATCATCATCGCTGACACCAAATTCGAGTTCGGCCTCGACGAGGCGACGGACGAGGTCGTGCTCGTCGATGAGGTGCTGACGTCGGACTCGTCACGCATGTGGCCGAAGGATAAATACGAGCCGGGCCGTGATCAGGAGAGTTTTGATAAGCAGTTCTTAAGGAACTGGTTGACGGATAACGGGCTCAAGGGGAAGGAGGGCGTCGAAGTGCCTGAGGCGGTGCTGAAAGCGACGGGGGAGAGATATGCCGAGGTGTTCCGTCGGTTGACGGGGAACACGCTGGAAGAAGCTTTGCGGGAATAGGACATAGCTTGGCGCTGAGGGGTGGAAGATGGTTTTATGGTACAATCATTGAATGGCTTGACGAAGAGGAAAGAGGGAGGATGATTGAACATGAAATACAAGAAGGCGAAAAGTAAAAAATTAAATACGCATGTCAACAGGGCAGGTCAGATCGTGGAAAATATTATTACGCAAAGCTAAACTAAACTACAACAAATAAATCCTATAAGTATACAGCCAACATATAACTGCGTGTTGAATATCTCAGTCTGGAAACCATTGAGGTTTAAAGAGGAAAAAAGCCCACGAGGTTTCATGATTTCGTCAGTCTGATTCATCAGTCATAAAGGAAACGACTGTGGACAGTATTGAATGTTTTTAAGGGGGTTCGTTTTTTTCGGTGCCATTATGTCCCAATCTGAAGATAGCGGTAAGCAAAACGAAGATTCTTCAGGTCTAAAAGACGGTCAGTATAGACTCATTGCTATTGGAAAAAAGGCATTTTACATTTTACCTGTGGTGGCGGAATGGGTTGGTAAATCAACCTGATAGACAGCTTACGCCTTGCCATGGGCGCGGAAAGCAGCCTCACTCCTACCCTTTGCGCACTTCTCTTCGCATGATGTATCGCCACACTGCTCGGTGCCTAACCCGACACCAGTCTTCTCACAGTTGCGGGTCATGCACTTCTTAACGCAGTCTTCAAACTCTTGGCTGGCATGCCCTTCGGCGACGGGCACATCGTGGACATTGGGTACGGCCAACATGGGCGGGCCAGCGACCGGGTTCGGGACTAGCTTGGCACCTGGAATCTTGACCTTCTCCTTTCCAGAGACGGCGGCGTCCGCTTCGTGGTACGAGGCGCATTCTTCCTCGCAGGAAGTCTTGCCGCACCGTTCGGTCTCGAGACCGACGGAGGTGTGTTGGCAGTTGTGCGACTTGCATTGTTTCATGCAGGCCTCGTAGTCCTCAGAGCCTTTCTTAGCTGCGACTGGAACGTCCGGCGGGGGGTGGGAGCCGGGACCGGCTGGAGAGGCTGTGACAGGGGTCGCCGGCTTGTTGGGAGCGGGTGCAGCGTTGGGGGCGACGGCAACGTTAGGAAGTGCCGGCAGAGGTGCCACCGCTTGAACTGCTGGAAGTGGTTCTACAGCCGGGAGAGGAGCCACGGCCGGTACAGCTGGCAAAGCCTCGATCTCGGGGACGGGCTGGACTTGTCTCTTGTGGGTACTCTTGGATCCGGCCTTCGCGCTCTTCTTATACCCGGCGCAAGCATCGGCGCACGCGGTGTCGCCACACTGATCGATAGAGAGACCGACGCCAGAGTGTTGGCAGTTATGGGTCTTGCACTCCTTCAAGCATGCCTCAAATTCTTCGTTCTCGCTGGCGATGGTAGCTTTGTGTGTCGGGTGCGGGTGTGATTTCAGAGCTGGCTTAGGAGTTGGTACACGGGCGGGCTGAGGGACCGGCTTGGGAGATGTAGGATAGTTGAGCTGTTCCCGAGCATGCATTCCCCCGTGAATGACACCAGCAGCAGTATGCTTATACCCTGCGCAGGCATCCGCGCATGCCGTATCGCCGCATTGGTCGACAGAGAGTCCTACGCCTGAGTGTTGGCAGTTGTGGGTTCGGCACTCTTTCAGGCACAGTTCGAATTCCTCGTTTTCCTTGCCCGCCGCTGATATGTCATGCTTGGGCTTGGGCTCCGGTTTGGTTGGGTAACCGTCGACAGCCCTGAGATACGTTTTGTGCACCATTTTTTCAGCTGCGAACTTCTCAGCCTTCTTATACTTGGCGCATCCATCCGCGCAGAAAGTGTCACCACACTGATCGACGCTGAGCCCGACGCTGGAGTGCTGGCAGTTGTGAGTCTTGCACTCCTGCATGCAAGATTCGTACTCTTCCTCTTCTTTAGCCGCAGCGGCTTGATGCTTAGGCGGCTTCGGTGCTGGCTTCGGCGCCGGCTTTGCGGCCGGATAGCTATCCGCAGATTCAAGTCCCTTCTTACTGATTTTTTTACCGGACATTCCTTTCCTGTGCTTAGCGCAAGTCTCCTCGCACGACGTCTTGCCGCACTGGTCAATGCTGAGACCGACGCTGGAGTGCTGGCAGTTGTGGGTCTTGCAGTTCTTCATACACTCCTCGAAAGCTTCTTCGCTGGTTACCTGGGAGATCTTGATCGGCTTCGGCTTTGGTCTCTTTGCGTGCTCGATTTCGGCAGGGATAATTTCCCTGAGGCCAAGAGAACCAAGTAGATCCTTTACCGGATCTTTCTTCTTTTTAGAATCGTCGTCGCCGTCACAGGTCTTAGCACACTCTTTGATACACTTCATTTGTTTCGATTTGCCTTCGATGTCAGAGCAGGCACCGATACAATCACAATTTCCTTGAGCAGCACTCGTGGCGTTAGTAGCAGCGGTTGCCGCCGCTTGGGGTGCACTGGAGGACGATACTGGCGTTTTGGATCTCTTGGAAGGGGGAAGATTGGCGAGACCGCTGGCGATAGATTCGGCAATGCCAGTTGCGAAAGAAACGGCGTTCTTGGAAATGTCATTGAGCATGGTTGTGTTGATCTGACGGCCAACAACCTGTGTAGGTGAGACGAATACGGTTGGCTCAGGAGCACGAGCGTGATTCTTAGTTTGCGAAGCCACCCTGCCACTGTGCTTGACGTTGGGCTTTGGTTCGTTGTGGGGGACATCAGCTCCCATACCCGAGATCTTCTTGACAGCCGCATTCTTCATGGACGTCGGATCCATATCCATAGCTTTGGCCGCAGCTGTAGGTATATTGTTATGGTACATAACACCTCCCATGCCCGAAGGAACAGCCGATTGGCTCCGTTGGCTACTATTGTTAGAACATGATATAAAACTCAGAATGGGTGGGATGGGCTCGCTCACGCTATGGGGCTGGCCATGATGGCCGGCAAAAGAGCCGCGAGAACAAGCTGGTTCAACATAGTTGCTGATCCAAAGCGATGATGTGACTAATTCGACTAGTCCCTCGCTGCTCTACTGCTGCTTGCCTTATACTTGAGAAGTGTTGGTTTGCTTGGACATCAAATCGACAGGATTTTCCATCGGATTTATATGTACTATTTTGCCATATCAACCCGGGGGAATTCTAGAAGATTAGACGCGCTTCAGCCTTGGAACATGGTGCCTGTCGATCCAAACACTGGCTAGGGCAGCAAAATGCCATGGTGTAATGAACTAATATTTCAAGGGACATGTGTTTCCTCAAAATTGATAACATACTTAGCATGTGGTTCACCGAGTTATCCCTAGGTAATCCCTTTGTCTTAGAAGGACTGGCTATAGTGAAGTCGTGCGTTGCACGAACTATACTAAGCACACGATAGCTAGTGTAAATCCATTCCATCGCCGCTTGGATCAAGATTCCACGAAGTGTGCCAATAGCTTCCCGGGACGTGTTGGTGGTAGTAACCCGTGCTTGATGCCGAACGAGACCTATAGAGAGCATTCTTCTTGGTAATTACTTAAGATCAGGTTCACCGCCCTGGATTGCGAAGAGAAATTGCCTCGCACACTGGGATGATCAAACGGCACCGGAAAGAAGGATTCAAGCCTTCAGATATGAACGCTTCGTATATTTCTGGGAGTGCCTCGAGAAGACGGAAAACGACACCTTGGCTATGTTTGAATCCCGGAAGGGATTGAGAAGGCATCTACTATCTCTTAGTTGAGACATGAGCTCCCTGGTCATGAGCTTGCACTAGGGGAGAATTCAACCTGCATCTAGGGAATACAATACTATTAAATGAGTTTAACAAAATCTTGTATTCGGGCGGTGATGGCCAGGTCCTGAGAGTACTCTCCCCTTCTTTTTCGCTACCTAGGCCACTACCTAGGTAGACCGACCTTGCTTAGATTAGTCACGCATCTGAAGAGGATGACAGTAGTAATTAGCGAAAGTCCTCTATCGTTGAAAACAAGTTATCGTCCGACTTGTACGTTGAGAGTGAGAGTGAGCCTGAAGAGTAATAAATAAGGCTCCGGACCCCCCATCCACTCAGTAGATACCCACTCGCTTCGTTGTAATGCATGAGACTATAGGACTGGTTCTTCAACGCTAGTGGTTACATGGATAGAATATTATTGAAGGGTCATGTTGTCGTAGTAAGCTTGTTGAGATATCGAGTATTAGCTGTTGCTCAATTGGTGATCTATGAAGAGGCTCGTGAGAGTTGTTGAACTAGTGAAAAATGGATTCTTAAAGATCGGTGTGTTCAATAGTGCAATCTTGATTACCTAATACGACTACCTTGTAAGCCTTAGGTTTGCAGGGAACATAGATGGTCTTATTAGTGGGAAGCTACACAGTACAATACATGATGTATCCATGAATGGAGTACCTGGCTGCCTGGCTGCCTGGGTACTGAGCACCCCACACAAGCTCGGAAAATGGCCCAAGCTCCATCCATTTTCCTTGTCGCTGCCCCTCCGCCTAACTAGTCGGGTATCGAATTCTTCTCAAATGCATCATCGTTTATTAATAACTATCGTGAGTCGCATCAACGAATTGATTTGTATCTCTTCGTACATCATACATGGCTCTATTCAATATGGTATGATATACGAGAAAGGTGAGCATTGACTTTTACCATGTCTGGAATTTTTAAGGTACGGTTTCATGTTTTTTTGTGGTGGCATTGGGATTCTCTTCCGCGGTCTTTCGGCGGTGGTTGGTGGTTGGGCACCCAGCCTCACATAAACCAGCACAACCAGCATAACCAGCCCTCTCATTATGCCTATTACATCCGACAACCTGCAGCAATATTTACCTAAATCTCTTCTCGTGCACTCTTCCCGTTCATCTCTGCAAGAGAATATAGAAGTAACAAAAACACCATTTCGTACTACCAAGAAATAATTGGATAATTGGCCAAGTTAGTCCAAGTAGATCGAGGCCGGTTTTTTTTGGGGGTTTTTTTTTTTTTTTTTTTTTTAGTAGGACGAACTAGTGAGACGAAGTGAAGGATGAGCTCTCACGATTTGGACTTAGACAACGTCCAACCAAATCAACCAAATCGTATGTCAATTTCGTCAACTCTCTAATCTCTAGCTTTCGCTCACATATTATTTCCTTAGGCCAAAACCCGCGCCACCAAACTCACCCTTCTACTTCAACTATCTCTCCACAAACCACAACGGCGTCCCGTGTTACCATCCTCCACGGCTCCCCGCGGTTGATTGAGTCTGATAACAGTGCACGTCAAGAACAATCTCCCGCTTCGCAATCCACCGTGGTACCATATGCACCGACACCTCCCCCAGCCCCCACACCCCCGTCAATACCCTCTGATTCAGAGGTTTATGGTCCTCAGAGGCTTTGGGGTCACCAGCAGGTCATAGATGACGATGTCGATCGCTCAATGATGTCAACTCCTCCTGGAATGCGCTACGACCAGCCGCAATTTCCACCCATGGTAATGGTTTCGCATCAAGACCCGACCTTCGGAGATTTTAAGGACGACCTGGCGAGAGCTGCCGGCGTCGTCACTCCGGGAGTAGATGATGGTCCCTACATCCGCCATGCCTTGGATGCTCTAACAAGTCGTAACAATGGCCGAGGTAGCGATGAAATATATCAACAGGCATATCATTTCACGCCCACAACAGTTCCAAGTCCATACAAACAATCCTCGATACAATTGCCGTCAGAGAGAATTATACGTGATAATACTCCCCGAGATTGGCCTATAGGTCCGCCTCCTGGACCTGTTTCGGCTCCTACTCCCACCGCCGAAGATGAGCTCCGGGAAAAACGACAGCAACGTCAAGAAAGGGCCAAATTTGCTGATGATCCCTGGGGTGCCATCCTGACCTCTACCGCTTCCACCGAGGCTGCAAACGAAGGTTACAACAGAAATCCGTCTCCCCATAGTGAAAGACGTGAGGAGCGAACTATCTCCCCTAAGCCTAAGCTTAACCTGCCGAGGAATCTAGAGCGTTGGCAGGCACGGTCAGACCTAGTTATTGACCCCGAGACGGGCCTACATAATTGTGGAAGGGCCCTGGACTGGGAGGCGCCCCTGACTCTGAAGCCATGGGTTTTACGGCCACAATCCTTACTGATTCTGGCAGCGTTGTGCCTCTTGATGGTTGTGGCTCTCATAGTTTCCGCCGTCTATTCTATGAACCACAACGGGTTGACGCCATACGCCGGTACGATTCATGGCGGCCAATATTTTCTCTTCCGGATGCTTCCTCAGCTGATAGCTATTATCATATTAATCTACGCCCAATGTGTCATCACGGCCGCGTTTTGGGTTTTGCCATTTTCAGCTATGGCTTCGGATGACCGTAACGAACGACGAGGCGCCATGTTTTTACCCCTGTACCCAAAATCATTTCTCTGGCCTCAACTTGGCGGAGCATGGAATATCTGGATACCTATTTTCAATGTTTGGCTTTTGAATTTCACCATCCCGCTACAAAGCAGTCTTTTCACCGTCATCCTCGTCGACGGAAACTGGGTCTGGGCAACTGTTCAGGGTGTGGCTTGGACATTGGTGGCACTATATGTGTCATTTATGCTCTCTCTGGTTGTATTGTTTGTGTTCTGGAATCGACGGAGGACCGGAATGATGCAAAAATGGGGTATCCGAACCCTAGGGGATATCATCTTCCTCATTTCTCAGAGCAATTCTCTATCACGATATCGTGGGCTTGAGACGGCACCGACGCGAAGCGACATGAGACAGAGACTTCAGGGAAATGCCGACAGGCTCGGGTTTTGGTTTTCTCCAGAAGTGCCGGAAATCGGGACGTGGTACGGAATTGGTATGTCTACTAGCGAAGGGGATCTCGGGACTGAAAAGTCGGAAGGTCCAAAATGGGCTATGCGACGAGAAGGATCTCTGGAAGCTGCCGAACGATCCTCGGACCCAAATATCCGTGACCGCTATCTCCCATGGTGCTTCCGGGATAGCCAGATCACTCTCTTCGTTGTGGCATCATCCATCTTGCTACTCGCTTTAGTCATTGTCTCATTCCTGCATTCTACGGACTTGCGCAATGGTTTCCTTCCTCTCCTGAGCGCTATGCCGGTTGCTGGCGCATTCTCCGCCGCCGACTTCGTTTATTCTTTCATCCCTTCGCTGCTAGGCCTCATACTGTTCCTATTATTCCAGTCTCTAGATCTAACGCTACGTATCCTAGCCCCGTGGGGCGAACTTTCGCGTGCGGAAGGTTCACGAGCAGAAACATCGCTTCTTTTGGATTATGCAACATGCTTGCCTTTCGAGTCAACATATAAGGCCTTGAGGAATAAGCATTGGCGAGTAGCATTCGTGTCTCTCCTATCCCCGGTCTTTGCTCTTCTGCCAGTCTTGGGTGGCGGTCTCTTCCTGGCTTTAACTCCGCCTGACAAGGTCGTGCGCATGTATCCCAACGTGCCCGCATTCGCTATCATTCTCACCCTACTGTTCCTATACGTTGCCGGGCTGGTCTGCTTGATACCCAGCAGAGGGCAATTTCGACTACCTCATGCTGTCACCTGTCTGGCGGAGGTAATTAGCTTCTGCACAGACGAGAAGCTGCGTACAGATGGGGCTTTCGACTTGCATCTGATGCTAGAGCCTACAGACCTAGCTGGCCACCTTGATCTCGGCAAAGATTGGCACAGACAGGGCCGATGGATTCTAAGCACTGGTCGAAATAACGACGAGCGCCTCGGTATCAAGCGCTTCAGCAAGTACACAGTCAACCCCAAGAAACTGCGTGCGTATGACAGAAGGGCGAGAGGCCAGCTGATATCTGCTCCCCTACCTCACGACAGCGGCTCTTTATTCAACCATTAGGTCGAATGTTTATATCAATTTTCATTTCTTGTAGATCTTTACATTATCTATATTATCTTTCTTTCGTCATATTTACGAACTCATCCTACAATCATAGATTGACGAATTATATGTACAGTACGGCTTGGACGGGATTACGGCTCATGGTGTTTACGGATTTACGGCTCATGGGTTAACGGATTATGGTCATGGTTTTATTGATGTCGGCTGCCCGACAGACTTCAACGACAAGTTACGAGACCCACGTGGGTTGACGATTTTATGGACAAAAAGATTACTAGGTAATATATTACTAGTTTTGAGTGATACCATTTAGAGAGACTAGGGGGACGACTACAGATAAATGAAAACTCACGATTTTGGTCTGCTGGTTGAAATACTGCTTGGCAGGATTCTTAAATACCTACTTAGTCTTGTGATAAGAAATTCATACTTCATATGACCCTGCCGAACTCGTAAAGCTTGTCTAATAGCATAAGAGACGAGTCAATCAGCTGTGTTATATCTTTATTAAGTACGCTCTAGGACATAAACTGCTACTTCATTTTTCTTATTGATGGCGGGCTGCACGAAGCCTTATTACCTACCTACACAGATAAGCCAAGAAGGGGGCCAATGAGATAAGAATACGCAGGATATATATGTAGGTAGGTACCTAAGCTACTAAGTTAGTTACTGTACAGATTAGGCTTGTATGTAATAGGTGTTCATTGGATTCTTCAAAAAAAAAAAAAAAATCTAGCCAGCCTTAGGGATACCTAAGTATCACTCTCAACCATCTCTTCATAACTCGGTCCTACTCGGATACAGGGAGAATATCGATTTAATCTAGCACCAACAAATTCCAACAGTCCGTTTCCTTGTCTGTATGATCGATCGGTTAGCCACGATAATTTTTTTCTAAATTCCACGATCTTTTTTTCTATTGTTTACCTTATCTAGCCAACTTTACCTAGCTTGCGAATCTACGCAGGGCTCATAAAAGTGAGACCTGTGTTATGTTGATAATGCCTGGGACAACTATGCCTTTTTAAACGCGCGAACTACCTCTTTATCGAAGAGTTAGCCAAGAACGGACATTTACCGCGCCTTAGTCGAATCCAGCAGCTTACGGGTTGATAAACGTATCTATGGTTGGTGAGCATTCATGGGATCATTCATTTACATACTATGGGATTTCACCGAATCATTGACTTTAACTTGAGACAAAGGAACTAAAAATTCTGTACGTTAGATATATACGTATTACTATACTCATGACTACGCGGGAAATACGATGAATAGTTAGTTTTAATGTCTCAGATCTTTGCTATGATGTGGAAGTAAATAGTAATATTGTACAACGATACCAATAAGAATAAACAAACAAAAACGCCCCGAGCTTATTCTTGAAAACAAATAGATCGACATAATAGAACATAAGTGGATGATCGTCATAGGAACGCTGCTATTTCCCATCGGCATATCTCATCCCTCGCTGTCGCAATCATGGTCGTATAATCATCATGATGGCGTTGGTAACATGATGGGGATCTGACAACCCCGAACTTTTTCTTGCTTTTCCTTATTGCGCCCCATCTCGCCCGAGCGAGGTTGTATGTTCTATCAACGTAAAACATGTAATATATCAAATTTGTGCCAGTCAATATCGCACTCCTTTTAAGTCGGTCGTATGCACCGTTTTCTCATCGCCCATTGCTAGACTCATAAGACATCCTCGATCTCGTACATGCCGGCCAGCCAGAGAAACGTCATAAAAACATAGGGGGGAATTGGGTGTAAAGATTCGTGGCGAGTTTCTGAGATGCAGACAAACTGCTTCCGGTGGAAGAAAGGCACCGCGTAGGAAATAGAATAATTAGATGAAACGACCCGGACAGGTACCCGAGATTATCGACTCTTAAGCCCAAGAATCCGGCCTAAACTGCCACCTCGCTTGCGATTCGTATTCTCCTTTTCAGAGCCCTGGGAATCAGAGCTCCCGCGACGGCTACCGTCATTCCGTTTTTCACTAGCGCTTTTCTTGTGAAATCCACGGGCAATCCGCCTAGTAAAACTATTGCTCTCCATGTACGATTCATGATCCGAGTCGACTTCAAACACAGAGACGAGGCGCTCAATCTCCGGTCGTAGAGTTGGTTGCGATTCTTCGGTAGGAGTCGTTGGATTGAGCGGCGAAAGTGGTACTACAGCATTGTGGTGGCTCTGATTAAGAGCACCTTGTTTATCGCGCAAGTTTATAGCTGAAGTTACTGAGCGGAGAGCCCTAGGTGGAGGTGGCGGAGGATGAGCAGGGGACGCAGGAACCGAGTTGGCTGATACTGGTAGCATAGGTACCCTGGAAGTCGGGAGGCCAGCACGACACGGTCGAAGGTTATGAGACGACTTGCTAGATTTGAGGTTTAAGTTTGGTCTACTTGACTTGTGCGCATGGCGCCGGGGTGGTGATGATGGTGCTGTATTAAGTGATGAAGTCCGTGGCGGAAGGGGGACTCGTAGCATATGGGCAGGTTCTAGTCTAGGATAAACAGAATATGTAGGTTGACCATTCCTTGCCGCAGAACGCGGAGGAGATGGTTGTGGTGTCGGCGTGTCGCAGGATGAATTAAAATTTTCTTTACAGTCCTGCTTTAACTCCGGGATGGTAATTGTATCATCGGTTTCGTGAAATTCGTGTTGGGGGAAGTTCTTGGTGAAATAATTTGGCGCCTGGGAGGTCCGTAGAAGAGCGGGATATTGTTCCCCGCGGATAGACGCACTATCTGGCCAAAACGTATCCCATATCTCACCAGCCGTCGTATTATAGTTACTATCATCCTCGAATGATGTCTCTGAATCAGAGGAGTCGGTCATCCCCGGCACAGAGCCATTCGACGCTAGTGACGAACAACTATCACTTGACTCATGGCGACGTAGTTGACTATCCGGTCTAGGATAAGAAAAGTTATTATTAAGACTGGACTTCCTCGGTGGCCTTGGTGGGATGACGTTGACGTCCGTCGAGAAGTTCCCTCTATTAAGGACGAACCCGTCTCGGTACGGGTGGTTGACAAAGTCCATGATCCGGCTGAGTTTGAAGAGAAGAAAAGGAATCGATCGAGATTGGAATCCAGCTCTGAGTCCCTATGACGGATATGTGCAGTATATAGGGTATCTGGAGGAGAAGTTGGTGTCCTACCAAGACAGCACAAATCCAAACAAAAGAACACCAGTTCGCAGATCAGGACGATCGGGGGCGGGATCAGTACATAAATGATACAGTAGATAAAAGAGACATGCGGGGGAGAGACCAAAATCAGAATGTGAATCAATCAACAAGAAGTGTGGCCGATAGGGATACCTTTTGTATCAAGCTCGGAACGATCAGCATATGGAGAGGTCTGCTACGCTGTACTAGGCAGTGTAGGTGCCAAGGTAGGTGGGCAAGTAGGTGAACAAGCAGACAAGTAGGTGAGCAAGTAGGTGAGCCAGTAGGTGAGCCAGGTGGGGCTAGGAAAGGAATTGTTTGTGCAGAATGCATAACAGCAAGGGAGGGAGACCAAATACCTTATGTGTGAGATCCGTCTTGCATTTAGGATCTCGCTATGCAAGTTCCAATCGTATGGTACCTTACGTCACGGACCGGGGGAACGGAATGCCTAGATCCTTGGTATAGTATAGCAAATGGGGTTATCGAGAGAAATATTGTCAAATACCGTCCGTATGTTGGTGGCGGTATGAAGAATTAAACCGACTTCCGCATCTCACCTCTCGCTTCTTTGCCGGCCAGGTGCAATATTAAAAAACTGATATCACCTATCCAGGCCGGTTGTGATTTGGGATTTGGGATTTGAGATTTGAGATGAACGGGAACAAACAGCGACATTACCTACTGATTGGCGAGAGAAGGGATCTCTTTCCGCTATGCAGAAAGAATGTATCGGGTACAGCCATTCCAACCACCACGAGGAGGGGGACTCGGGCCTTCCACTGAGCTCCGTAGCAGAGGTGCGACTAGCCCTGAAGGTAGGTAGATACCGCCGCCTAGACACCGCCTAAAAAGTGACGGATCAGAAGGAGAAGGGAGACGCGTAAAGAGCGTAGTCGACTTGTCAACTCGTCGATTAGACCGATTAGACCGATTAGACGGAAACGCGCTTTGCGGTTCGACTCCACCTACCAGCCAGCGCGATAATGGTTCCATGTACTTCACATACGTGCGTACTAGGTAGATACCTAATTAATACCGTACTGGTGCCGAATTGAGTGATCATATGTGAACTATACCGCCTCATATTCAGCAGGGCTTAATGGCGGGTATGGGACCTCGAACTTCCATATTGTGGTCGCGTTGGCGCTGACTCTCTGTTGTTGTTTTTTTCTCACTAGCGAGAAGCCCAACATATGAAAGCTATGAAAGCACCGCTCGTGGTTGGTTAACCGCCGAGACATTACGGCGACATCGACGTCATAAACTCCGACCAAGTATTTAGTGTCTACTTTTGACAAGTAAACTTTTTTATTACCATACCAGACAGACCGTACCTACTAGGTATGCAGATTAGCATACGGTGGCATGCATTTTCTCTCTCTCTCTCTCTCTCTTTTCTTTTCTTTCCTTCTTCCACTCCGGCTGAGGCTCCGGGAGATCGACACTCTGGGTGGTATTTGATCTTGTAGATCGTGCCAATAGTGCGGATCTCTCGCCTGCAGACGCCTACATATGTATATGTTAGCCTCTTTACAAGATTGAGCAATTAATTCACTGATCTTGCTTATGTATGTCCTTTATCCTTGTCTCGGGCTTGCGAAAGAAGAAGAAAGTTGTAAGCCTCGAACTGTTTTAAGCGACATGTAGCGGGTAGATGGTCTATTCCTTAAAACATGCAGGAAACTAGACGCGTATAAACCGAAAAGGACGAATATCGTTTTTTTAAATTTTTTTTTTTTAATATTCTCTTTCGCCTTCATAGAATTTCTCGTAGATATTGAAGAAGGTAGATATTATGTGATGTTTAGTCCAGGAGACTAGGAAGTGTTTTAGAGAGAGTTTGGGACAATTTAGGTACCTAGTAGGTAAGTAGGTAGTAAAAGTTGAACTTATACTTCCCTTTGATTAGGTAACTAAAAGAAAATGTATATTTCAAGCAGGGAGAAGGAAGGAGGGGAAACTTGGACGGCCTCCGGTGCCTCCTGTTTTCACCCGTGCCGTTCATGTTCGGTCTTTTAGGGGGTTCTCCAAGGATTCCAGCCGTAAAAAGCCCCTGCGGCAAGAATCATCCACAGTGGCTGAAACTTTTTTTTTTTTGGAGCCGGAGCGTCTTTCCGATTCTTCTTGCATATGCTTCTGTTTTTGTTTGCAAACCCTATTTGAACAATGGCATTCTTTAAAAGCTGACATCAATTGCATCGTAGAGACCTAGCAAATAATATTGTCGAGGTTACATGCAGGTACGAAACCTAAGTTCTAAGACCAACCTACCTCAAAGGAAGAAATTTGCGAGGAACCCAAAAAGAAAATAAAAAAAAGTATTCACTGTTGTCCTCTTATTCCACACTATGCCATCGCACTACACAGGACCACAGGTAGTCTTTTCTATCTCTAAATATTATGGTTATAATGGATATAATACCTCTTAGTTCCCATGTATATACCTACTTTCGAGACTCAACCCTTCGCATGACTTCCAAGTTGTACGTTTAACATGCTGAAATCTACCTACCTAGGTACATCATAGGCACGGCAGGTATCTACTTACTCAATAATTCCACAATTCCACAATCCCATAATTCTACAGAATAGATCGACACTGCGTCCTGCAGGTCCAAACACACCAACAAAATCGGACCTGATTGAGTGCCTGCGCCGAGAGCTGCAGCAGTACAGCTAATGCGACTTCTTAACATAGTACATACCTAGTAACATGCACTCGATAGATCGAAAGTCTCGGGCTCATGCTGATATTTCCCGATCGAGGAGATGCACCAGCATTTATTCGAGCAGTTCAGTACCTAAGCAATTGTATATTTTATATAAGTTGGCTACTAATTTGGCTATCTGCAAATAGTCAATAATTGAATAAATAGTCCTTTCTGAGGACCCAAACCGATGCTACCTCTTTATTATTCTAAGACAAGCGTCGGAAAATTCATATGCGAACAGGTGGGTAGACGATGGTCCCAGTCGTCTGTTTTCTTCCCGAGCTTTGATGCGAACTAAAGTCAGTAGAAAGACAAAACGCGGGAAGTTCAAGGCATACATAAAGGAATGATGCCCACCAGCTTATGTTCGCCCAAAAAGAACAAGAAAAACACAATAGTAATATCAACAGAACCGGATATATTAAAACGAGAATATTTCCGTTACAATTTCGTCGAAGTAATAAAATAAACATATGATTGAGATAGGCTATTTAGGAGATTATATACACGTCAACTACATATATTCCGTATTTGCATGACACATGCATCAATTGATCTAATCCTAAGCATCTTCACCTACCGTTTGTAGGTAGAATATCCCCTTATTCCTTTCAAAAGGACCCTATACCACCAACGGCATCTCGAAATCGATAAATAAAGCCACTTACGTAGGCACATATACGAACACCCTTTAATATTCCCTTTACCAGCGGTACATAGCTTTCACGATATGCAAGTCTAATTAGGAAGCCTACCTACTAAAATAATTTTAAAAATAAAAATTAGAAAAGTCCCCCTAGGCTGCACAGCCACACAGCTCTCCTTTTAGTATAGAGTAGTATAAATAAGGGGTAACTTGGAAATTGTGATAGGATTTTACATTGGACCTTACGTAGTATGCGGATTTAACAATGGGAACATTTTAGTCCCACGGAATTCATATGAACCTCCACCTCCCCCTTATGCTGCTGTTCTGGCTGCCTGGGTACTATGTAATATGTATCATACTTATTTCCATAGCCTTTCTATCACCGCTTTCTGTGCCCCATGAAATCCATTCAACAACTGTCGTCCAACGGCCAACAGCCAGCTACTCATCACGCTTGATTCCTATTAACAATGTAATAATAAAATCTCGTTCGATACGATGTTGGCATTTTTCTCATCAGGCCATCCCATGTTAAAAAAAAGATATTTTCAGCACGCTTTCTTGGCACCCCATGGCTCTAAAATATGGGCACGGCATATTAACCCAGTTTTCATCTTTTTCATAAGGAAATGGGAAAATAATTATTACAGCGTAAGAGAAAATAGACCCTTGTCTTACCCCGGTCCCTGGTTGGTCGCCTGGTTTCCAGATCCGTAAATTCGGAGACCTCGGTCGTACATCTAATGGTAATTTAACGAAGGTACCGAAGTGCCTCTCGACCCCTCAGCCCCTGAGTTGACTATACATTTTCAGCTACTCTCTACCTCGGCCTCACAGTAATTATCTCAGTGACGGGGGTGATGGCCGTACTCTATTACTTCCAAGGTTCGCAGTGGCCTTCAATTCCTTACATAGCTCGTGCAGTTGAGTAGGTATTATGTGTGGTACTTGATCTTGATCAACTCACGAAATATCTACCCAGGTATATAACGTCATAGTAAATATCGAATGAACTTCATAAATGACTTAATAAGCGAGCCCATTGCTAGTCGCTTGTTCCTTCGTATCGCGATTTGCGGAAGCCAAGTTTCAACGTGTTTAGCGGAGCCGCTAACTGGACTGGCCCTGTCAATCTTTTTTGTCAATCCCCTCTCTAATTGGCTAAGGACAGGGCTGACGCAGTAGTCAGCTACCCGATTCGTCCTGGTAAGCTTATGGGTATCATGCTCGATCCGAGTTAGGATCAGCTTCCCCTTGTCTTCAAAGATGAAGGGACCGCTAGTCGACCCCATTAGCAGCGCCACAGCAATGTTAATCTCGTATGCTGCATACAACGCAGTAATAACGGTCAGCTTCTAGCCTTTTACACACCGCGTACTGGTCGAGATGCCGCATTACCAGAGGGAACCAATAATTACACGCCAACCTGGTAACTAAACACACCACCTCTTCCACTAGATGGGGTAGGACCCAAGGGTCGACGTATAATAATGTGCACGGATGACAAGCCGCCTTCGACAGAACCGGGGGGAGGGGAGGGGGTTGAATGCTCGTTATCCTACGTAGTAGTAGTCGGGGGAATCATCTCCACAATGGGTTTTTAGAAGATAGAGAAGGACCCGCAACGGTAAGAGTAGTAGAGGGACTATAAGACCGGGAGAGGCGCCGCCGCGGCATCTTCAGTTAGGCTCTTTCTTTCCTCAGCGATCTCGATCGTCTGCCACTCGTTTATTTTCATTTACTGTATATATATATATACATATTCACATATATACAGTAACAGAATATCATCATGAAGGTTGCCGTCGCTTTGTTTGTTTCGGCGGCGTCCGCCGCGTCGATTCCCGTTAAGCGGCTGCCATTGCTCGAGGGTCTCCCGCTCGAGCAGTTCGGAGGAGTTCATTCGATTTCTATTGAGGATGCTATTAATAGGTTGGATTTGGTTGGGACGAACTTCACTGCACTGCCGATTTCCAGCATCTTCGAGGCTGTTACCGATGTAGTGAGTGATGTTCTCGACGAGACCCTCGGAAAGCTTGCCCACGCTGGCAGTCACAAGAAGCCCCAGGAACAGGAGACTCAGGGGCTACAGGAGGAGAAGGTTAGCACTAGCACCGAGAGCGACAGCGACAGTGCCGAGGACACGGAGAAGACCGAGAGCACTCAGAGTACTACTCAGAGTGCCACTCCGAGCACCGAGACTGCCGAGACCACCCAAAGCCCGAGCGTCTCGAGCAACCAGACCTCTCAAAGCCTTCAAGGCACCAACAGCGCCGCTGCTACTGGCGAATGCTCTAACCCGAACATCCGCTTCGAGTGGGATAACTACTCCGCGTCGGACAAGGCGGCTTTCGTCGATGCCTTCCAGTGCCTGATGAAGGCTCCCCCTTCCGGAAAGTTCGCCCCGTCCAAGAGCCGTTTCGAGGACATTGTTCGCCTCCACCAGGCGTACTCGCCCAACATCCACAGCAAGAGCACCACGCAGCAGACACACAAGTTCCTTCTATGGCACCGTTACTACGTTTGGGCCCTCGAGCAGATTATGCGTGATGAGTGTGGCTTCGACCGTGCTTTCCCCTGGTGGGATGAGAAGAAGTGGGCTGGCAGGTTCGCACAGGCTACCATCTTTACCCCTGAGTACTTCGGCACTCTTCCCGCCCCCGTTAACGGCGCCGCTACTTGCGTGAACGACGGTGTAAGTTTCGCAGATCCTTCAGGCAGTAGCCTTTTTCATCGTAAATTTCAAATGTGAACTAACAAAAATCGTAGAAATTTGCCGGTCTGCAGTTGAGCCTTGGACCCGGTATGGTCACCGATAACATGCACTGCCTTCAGCGTGCGGTCAACGAACAGGTCACCGCCCAGACTGGACAGAACGCTTGGGACACCTGCCGATCTCGTACCTCTTACCCCGACTTCCACAGCTGCGTTGAGTTCACGTAAGTTAACAATCTACGTCACTAACCGATGATCTGATTCTGACTTGATACTATAGTTACCACGCCCAAGGCCACAACGGTGTTGGTGGTGTTATGGCTGATGCCATCGCCTCCCCCGGTGACCCATCTTTCTTCATGCACCATCTCTTCGTTGACTATGCTTTCCGCAAGTGGCAGCTTGACGATGTCGCTACCCGCACTACCTCGATCAGCGGCTGTGCTGACAACACGAACTGCTCGCCTCTAACGCTTGACACCATGGTCTACGTTGGCGAGATCTGCGGCGCTAAGTGCCCCGACCTCAAGGTCCGGGATGTGCTTAACACCGTGAACGGCCACTTCTGCTACCGCTACGACTACTAGAGATGGTCTCGCGCCGACGGCGGGATATCGACCCAGAAACATACATATAGACCACCAATACTCTCTTTGTAATTAGGATAGAACTGAGAGTTCTAATCATAGCGTTCATTAGCAGATACCCTTGACCAGAACTTGTTTTTGTTTTTGTTTTTAACCAAAACCCTCGATTTGCTTGTTTCCGTGATCCGTAGATGTTTTGTATTGCTGTACGTTGCCGTGCTTGGACATAGTGGTATATGACTTGATATAGGCGAGTTAAGGCTGGTTAAGGTGAGACACTTGGTTTATAGGAATCAGTAACGGTTGGCTCTGCAAGATCTATGTAGTAAGCTGTGAATTGGATACTACGCGGTAAGTAGCTGGGAGCATTGCAGTACAGTAGATTACAACTAGATATAGCACTCGCCCAGTATGCGTACTCCCTCGTGGGAGGGCATGTAGGATCAATGCCTTGATCACGTCCGTCGAATAGAGGGTGGTAACACTAAATTCTGGGTTCGTTGCAAATCACAATACTATTCATTTTTGAGGATAATGGCAGAATGGATCAAACTCTAGAACTCATTTCGTATTCCTCCCACTTCTATTCATATTGACTGCTGATCAGGTCAAGTCTTCGTAGGTACGTATTTTTTTTTTTTTTTTTTTTTTTTTTTAGATTCTCAGCACTGTGACTAGTACGTATTGTACAAATCATACTTCCATCTACATACACAGGTCTGAGAAACTAGAGACTTTCCAGCAAATTTACTAACCAACGTCCTAGACAACACATATTAAACATGAGATAATATATACTTAAATATGATATCATATCTACCTGGTAGTAATAGTGTCAGCCTGACGAACGAACGATCGAGTTATCTGGAAGTTATAATAAAGTTGGAGAGCAGTTCAAGATGTCAGATTACGGCGCAAATTTAATTCCTTAGAAGCTTAAGTGCTACCCCGCTACGTTTGTCATAAGTCGATAGAGCTGTGAATAGGTGGCTTGGTGGTTTCGAATTCTAACTTGAGCTTCTGATTGGTCAATCGTTGGAAGCTATAAATTACCTACCTACAATGTTTAATGTTAAACAAGTTCAATACCTTACAATATACATATCCATTCCAAGTTTTATAGGGTTATAACTATATGTACGCCAACACTATTGCAAAATTTCCATCCCTCCTAGCTTTAAGTGTCTTCCTATTACAAGTTATAACTGCACCCTGCAGGCTGTGCATATTGGGTGTGTTAGGTATAGGTATTCCGTGGTACAGGGACGGGTTCGTCTAAATTGAGGTCGTTTACTTCGTAGGTACCTACCTACCTTACCTACCTAGGTACTTGTTAGTGTCTACCTGTCTATCAGATTTGAATCCTTAATAATGACTCTATTCCAAAGTTGAGTCCATTATATATTATAATCTGTTTATTTATATCGATAAGTCGTTTACCTTTCCGAGACTCTCATCTCATACCAATGTTTAATGAATATCCGATCTTCAGGAACGAGCCGAGACAACGTCCCAAAAGATCCCTGAGAGGAAAAGTTCCCGGGGTCGTGTGCTTCCAGCTTTTTGGGACGGTTCTGAACCTGTCAGGTTTCGGATGGTGGAGACTTTTGCAGTGCCTGCATGACGCTAATCAAGAATGTCTCGTCATCGAGCTGCCAGCGCACACTTTGGGATTTTTTTCTTCGCATTTTCCCTAATAACCCTGCTCTGATATTAATCTCATAAAATTTCCAGGTCTCCCAGCCCCCACCATTTCTTTTTGGCTCCCTCTTGTACCTGCGATCTTGGTGGAAACCTACACTGTGTGACAAAAGTTGAGTAGATCTGGTTCGTTACCGCATCTGTCAGGTCTTCCCCAGCTTAGCTCCCATTACGGCGGGAAAGTTTCGAGGCTTGGACTTGACTCCGTACCCAGTTCAACGTTGCCCATTAGAGATTCCCCATCAAACTTGGATAGGACCTTGAGTTGTAATTGAGTTCCGATCTGTCTTTTTTTCTTCTCTTTCTCTTTCTCGTTCTTCTTCTCGAGTATTACTTCTTTACTACCTAGTAGTTACGTGAATGTTTATTCGATGTCTACCTGGTACAAAATGGTCGCTGTTAGGTGAGCCGTGATAATGAAAAGCAAGTAAAAGCAAGCAATTCATTGCCACCTTCACAACGTTTTGAGTTGGCTCAACTTATAATACGTACATAGATACATATATTAGTCTTGTTATGTACTTCGACACTGAAGGGTGATACCTAGGTAGATAAGGCAACAGGAAATAAGTCTTATCACTTACCATAAAAAGAAACAACTGGACTATTCTCTGTTTCGCTCTTCACGCGTCTTATTTCCTCTCTTAATATTATAGAGTACATGGGAATGGAATGACGAAAAGTAAGTGATACAAGGTCAAGTCAGGTTGCAAAAAGTGGACCGTGCGAGAAAGTGCCCATCCTTCTAGTGTAGCATTGTAGCAGTGTAGCTTCCATCCAGTATCCATGGATCTCTTTTTTTTTTCTGTTGTGCTTAGCAGACCGTAGTTTCCTACCATTTAAGCTCTTAAGAAAAAAGAAACCTAGAACGTGGAAAGAGCCATTGGAATGTGAATATGGTAGCGACAACTTATTGCTCTTTAGAAAATCTAAATTTCTAAAATCCACATCAAACTTCATTTGTCCATTTGTCTATTACCAGCGACAACGCGGCGCTGGCGCTGCTGTCACCGCTGGCTTTCTCTTAGTTGTCGCGTGGTAATGTGAATGGTGCATCGGGCACCATGTTAAAGAGACAGACAAGACAAGACAACTACAACTGCAACTACAACTGCAATCAGAAGAGAAATATAAACGATAGAGACCGAAAATCTTCGCCAATGAATATTTCTACTTTCGAACCCGAACCCGAACTCGACTTCAAATATCGTCAGTTTCTCTCACCAGGCCTAGTATCCTAGCAATGGTCTTTGCGATTATTTCATCCCATCAACCAGCCATCCAGCCATCCGGATTTTCTACATTAGCCCAGCCTCCCACTTTACTTTACAACACCATACCTTTCCATCATCCTCACAACAACCACAAACAGCTTCCTTTCCTTGAGCAGCCAAGTGTACCAATTCCTACTCATGCTCTCCTAAAGTTAACTACCCATACCCACCCTGTAATCTTGTGTACTTTTTGGTTCCCTCACTTTTCTAAAGGGGCCCGGGAGCATTCCGCTTCCCTCTCTCGAAAAACTGCAAATCCTTGACACCATACCCATCTGTAATCGCGTACATACCACCTACATCTTACATACACCCAACCAAGTAGCAGCTTTTCTGTCACACCTACACCACTCAAATCTAGGCCAAGCTCCTAGGTAGACGTGTTCTCTGGCAAGCTTCGCTGTCCTACTGGTACATACATACATACATATACATACACATACACATACACACATTGTCTTTCCATCTTGTCCTCTGAGCTGTCTCACCACTATAGTGGTGACCTCACATTGTCTACTTCAGCTTCGGTTCGTCCTGCTGGGGAAGCTACAGCAAAGTTGACAGGACAAAAGCCTTTAATACCTTCTCACGACCGTTACGAATTTCCTTCTTCTTCAATATACCAGCGCCAGCAGCGCGCAATTCATCAGCAAATCTCCCAACCTCCTACGCCGGATAGACGATCAACAGCCACCCCTTCATCTATACACCGGCTTCGTAGGACCCCGCGCTTCTCAGTTTCTCCCGTCTCTCAGCCAGACGCGCAACAGACGCGCCAACCAATTGGCAAAGTCACCGTCACTCTTAGTCCTAAGGGACAATACGTTCTCACTAGCACTGAGCAGCAACCCCGAAGAGAACGCCCGAAACATCCTAGGAGGCAACTTTCGCAAGGAAACTTAAGCGACGAGTCTCAAGCGACTTCGATTAGCCCTCCCTCACCACTTCGCGAGACCGCCCAATCTACTGCCGACGCGAGTAGATCCCAGCCACACCCGGCACTTCGTATCTCGAAGCAAACTCATAGTGCCATCTTGTATGCTCTTGAGCAAACACTACGTGGACCTAAACAGATTTCCGACGACCCTGCGGAGCTATACGCCCCGATGTCTGATCTAATGGGAGGACGAGGCCCTGCCACCTCAAATGGCAATGGCGCCTCATCTGCGCGACCTACCACGGCACGAGCGGCAGTCGGTTCCCCTTCTGGTATCAGAGGCCCCCGTGTAATCATGCAAGAGAGAGCTGCGCGAGAGGCCGCGCGCGAGCGACAGCGCGAAGAGCAGGAACGTGAAAGACAACGAATGGAGAGAGAACATGCAGACGCCGAGGCGCGTTTACAAGAACAGGCGTTGCGACGAGAAGCAGAGCGAAAAGACGCTGAGACTCAAGCTGCTGCTGCTGGCGCTGGTACTTTTGGACCTGGTGCTATTCCGACCGGTCCTGATCCCACTACAAGACGACCGGCGCAACCTGCTACTGGTCGCGCGACCGTAGACAATAGTTCCCGACCCGCTGGCCAAACACGAATTCCCACTACGGCTCAAACCCAGGCTTCGCAGTCGGCACGACACGCACGAGGTGCCTCCGGCGCTCAAGGACCTGGAGGTCCATCTTCTGGTCCCGGATTAGCTGGCCCTTCGGTGACTCAACCTCAGCAGTTACCTCCCCCGCTAAGCGAAGAATCCGCTGCTCTTGGACGAGGTAGGAACTCGTTCCCTCATGCATTTGAGCGCTGGGAAACCTTGTCCGCTCATTGGGAAGGTCTCACTAGCTTTTGGATCCGTAGATTGGAGCAAAATGCACAAGAGATTAACCAGGACCCTGTTTCCGCACAGCTATCCCGACAGGTTACGGACCTTTCGTCTGCAGGTGCCAACCTGTTCCACGCCGTAGTCGAGCTACAGCGCCTTCGCGCTTCATCAGAACGCAAGTTCCAACGCTGGTTCTTTGATACCCGCGCCGACATTGAACGTTCTCAGGAGGTTACGGGAATGCTCGAGGCAGCTCTCGAGGAAGAGCGACGAAGCCGAGCAGACGCGATTCGTGAGGCCCTCGAGCATAACCAAGACACCACTAAGATGCAGAAGCAGATATCCGAGCTGCGCAAGGAATTGACCATTTCCAAGGAGGAGGCACGACGTGCGTGGGAAGAGCTTGGTCGACGAGAGCAAGAGGAGCGAGACCGCACCATGTCCTTGCAGCTTGGTCAGCCCACCATTGTCGGCGGTGTCCAAGTTGTCCCGATGACTCAAGGTGTAGGCCGTGGCAGTAGCCAGAGAGATCCTCGCTCATATGGCCAGCCTGACTCCCAGGAGTATGCGCAGTCACCTACCTCACCATCGGCCGCTCGCGCCCAGTACACTCAGGCTCCCGCCGTTAAGCCCGGCGTGGCTTCGGGTAGCGGCAACCCCGCTTTTCAGACTCCTACGTCTGTACGCCACCAGCAGAGCTACGGCTCAGAGGGAACCTACAGCGAAGGTCAGTACATTAATGGCATGAATGGCGCACACAATGGTGTACCCAACGGGGTACCTAGTGGCGCATCGAGAAGCCCCGTTCGAAATTTCCAAGAGCACAATGTTCCAGAGCACGCCCCCGTTTCGAAGCGTTCTGACGTTGCAGCAGAAGAGTTCGAGACCCCCGCAACACAGCCGAACGTCTATCAGCCGACCGGCGCCTCGGGCCCCCATCAGCCACAGTACTCAACAGCGCCGGATTACAGCGGTGCGGGCTACACAACACCATGGGACGATGCGGGTGCTCGAGATATGGGTCCTCGCCACCATCATCCAACTCGACTCAGCGACGTGCTCGAGGAGGAGGAGGAACGCAGTCGAACGAGCGCTAGCCAGAGTCAAGTCAGCAGACCCTAAACCATCGAGTCACACATCTTTTCATGCAGATTCAAACTACAACGTGCTTTGACACTGTCGAAATCGACATACGGCATAAAAGTCGAACCCTTATTATCATGTTTGCGAAAAGATCCCGGCCCGGCGTTCGGAAGTTTCTGGAGAATGGTATTGAGTCCGCTTTTGTTGCATACGACTGTCATATGAAGACAAGATTATCTAATAATTCGACAATGATACCCTTAATTCATTTGGCGTTTTCCCCGGAGGTTCTTCTTTTTCACGAGAAGGCATGGGTACACCGAATGCATTGTCGAAAGAAGAAAAAAAATATACGATGGATGAAGCTATACGAGCTTCCTTGTAAGACTCACTAATAGGTATGAAGGTAGTTTATGGGATGGTGATGGTTTGGCGGGCAGGCATTCTGACGGCATTTTCGAGAAAACGGCATTGGGCATTTGTTCTTTCCCCCTTATTCATTTCTTCACTCCGACCTTCGCAGAAGGTATTCAATGGACTTTTTCTTGTGGGCTGCCCCCTTCCCGACTGTGCATAACGACCCGAGCTAGGAACTATGTTGTTTGTGACCTGATAAGGTCGCAGAGGGGAGAGGGGAAGGAGAAAAGTCGACGGTGAGAGATGCTACCACTGTCATCTCTGTGCCTTGAAGCTGTGTATGTAGTAGTTGTAAACAATAGGTGCTGGGAATGCAATTCCTGTGTCGAATCATACCAGTTCAATGCGTGGCGAGGCTTGTTTGAAGTTGAGAGGATTAAACCATGTTAAGTGAGGTCTGTTATAATCCATCACGTAGATTTGGTAATGTTCGAAAGCTCTGTAGGTATCATGACACTAATTCCCTAGGTAGCTCTTAATATATGACGTATGGCTGAAGCTGCCACAAGGTGGCGTATGCGATGGTAGGTAGTAGGTACCTACCTAATAGGTACCAGACCTAAACTGAACTGGATAGATACATCCGTGATGTATTATCGGGATTCCCCGCATCGGGTCCCACTCTCAAACCTGACCATTCAATGTCGGAGCTCCATACAATTAATTTTGATTCAGGAACAAGCTATTCGAAGGTATCACCGTCTTAAACACCCTAGGCTTCTGCAATTACAATCTATCAGGTATAATTGAGATGTCGCGCTCCTTAGCGGCCCCGAAGCCGCTCCTTCGATCCCTATTACAGAGCAAACCTCGAATTCAAGCTCAGCGATGCCGCTGTTTCCTCTCTACAAAAGCTTCACCATCCCTGCGGCGGCCAACGTTGGTCTCCCCCCAACGATTCGCCTCGAACCCCAAGCCGATATCCGCTTCCGGATCTACGGAGCAGCGCCGATGTAAAACCTTCAAGACGGTAGAGGAGGCACGCAGCAGATACAGGACAGGGCCGTTCTCATGGAAGGCGGGAGTGCTGTTCGTGCTCACAAGCGCGGGCCTCGTCTGGTACTTCGAACGCGAGAAGAAGCGCATGCAGCGCGTGCGCATTGCCGAGGCGAATAAGAGTGTCGGGAAGCCCAAGGTCGGGGGCGAGTTCGAGCTATTGGATCAGGAGGGGCAACGTTTCTTGAGCGGTGATTTGAAGGGGCGTTATAGTCTGGTTGGCTTTCCCTGTTTCCCATTTCCTCAAGTGTCCTCTATGAATTAGGGATTGGTGCGGGACGGAAGGCAGGCTAATGATATCCTCGCTAAATAGATCTACTTCGGTTTCACGCACTGTCCGGATATTTGCCCCGAAGAGCTCGACAAAATGGCGCGCATGTACGATCTGGTGGAGGAAAAGGCACCGGGCAAGATTATGCCCGTCTTCGTCACTTGCGACCCCGAGCGTGACGACCCCAAAACGCTAAAGTCATACTTGGCGGAGTTCCACCCGGGTTTTATAGGGCTAACAGGAACGTACGACCAAATCAAGGATGTGTGCAAGGCATACCGGGTCTACTTCAGCACGCCGAAGAACGTGAAGCCTGGGCAGGATTATTTGGTAGACCACAGCATCTACTTCTACTTGATGGACCCCGAAGGCGACTTCGTGGAGGCGCTGGGAAGACAGCATAGCCCGGAGCAGGCGGCTAAGGTTATATTAGATCATATGAATGATTGGAAAGGAAGTTGGAGGAAATAGGGGGTGAGTAATAGGTGATCGAATGAGAAAGTGTATATCCCTCCACTCGACCTGTGATAATATGTAAGGATATATAACTAATGTACATAACAAAAGTTGTATGACGATGCGATTATTGTGTATTCTGATGTGGAGGATATGAATACTAGGTACCTAACTAGTACCTACATTACTTACACCTACCCCTATACCTCGAAAATATTCAGTTGGACCAGAGTATGTACAAGGTAAGTAACATTTATTTCTACGGTTAGTCCAAAAAGTGGAGTGGAAATTATTGTCTTAAAAACAAGTAAGATAGGTACCTGACCAAAGGTCGTGGACCTGTAATAAAGAGCAGCATATTAAGGGTAAACACTATCTAGATTCTAGATATTCATTTTAGCGATTGCTAACGAATATCTATCACGAATAATATTCATCAATGGGGTTTATTGGATTAGAGATGTTTCAAAATATCCGATAAGACCCATTTCTATCACCGATAACGTACCTAGGTAGTAACTGTAGTGATTCGAGTCTCGGTTTAAACTTGGACTACGGATGAAGCAGCTCTGACGACATTGGTCGTTCCGAGAAAAGCATGAAAGAAGACAAGATAAGATAACCCACAAATACCTCTTCCTTAACTTCACCATGAAGGCTTTTCGTAATGGCACGCATCTGAGCAGCGCGACGTCGGGCTGCATCCTACGGCCCCACCGTTCTCCAACACCTCCGATTCGACTTAGTAGCAACCACTTTACACCACGACGAGGCATTGCCTTTAGTAGACGCGTGCTACCCTCTATATCTTCTTGGACCCTAGATTCCCGCTCGTACAGCGTTAATCATAAGACCCCCCAGCCACCACCCTTTGCTTTTGCCTTTGAGTAAGTCCGATGAGAGGAGATCCCTATATTGAAGATGAGAAAGAGGGATATCTAGAAAACGAGGACTTACTAGCGCTACAGTATAGATGGTGTACTTCTCCATGTCGCGAAGCCGATTCCCGGCGCGACGTATGCTCTAAAGCACTTACAAGAGCATAACATCCCGTTTATATTGCTCACCAATGGCGGAGGCAAGCATGAGACGGATCGCGTGAAAGATCTGAGCAACCGCCTTGGCGTTCATCTTACTACGGACAATTTCGTTCAATCCCATACACCGTTCCAGGAGCTCGTCCACCATGGCCACAATTCCCAGGGTCTACGAGATAAGAATATCCTCGTCACGGGCTCCGACCCCACCAAGTGCAGGGACATCGCCGAAAAGTACGGCTTCAAGCACGTCATAATCCCCGCAGACATCCTCATGGCCCAGCCGACCATCTGGCCGTTCGAGCCGCTGATGAAAGAGGTATACGCAGCAACAGCACGACCCCTAGCATCTTCGAACCCAAAGATCGACGCGATCTTCGTGTTCAACGACCCCCGCGACTGGGCTCTAGATATCCAGATAATATCGGACCTACTCCTGTCGCAGCAAGGCGTGCTCGGCACGTACTCCACCAATAACGGGAACCCAGACCTACCAAACCGTGGGTGGCAGCGCGACGGCCAGCCGTCCCTGTTCTTCAGTAACCCGGACCTATTCTGGAGCGCGGCGTACCCGCTCCCACGGTTCGGACAGGGCGCCTTCCAGGCTGCGCTCGCGGGCGTGTGGGACGAGGTCACGGGGGGCAAGGCGGAGCTCGAGAGGACGGTGATCGGGAAGCCGTATGCCAGGACGTACGGGTTCGCGGAACGCGTGCTCAACGCGCACAGGGCGAAGACATTGGGCGTGGACGCGGAGAAGTTGGAGCCGCTGAAGAGGGTTTACATGGTGGGCGATAACCCGGCAAGCGACATCCGTGGCGCAAACGAATATGTTTCGCCCCTTGGCACGAAGTGGTCGTCAATACTGGTGAGAACTGGGGTTTGGAATCCCGATAGGGGTGGGAGTCCGGCGTATTGGCCGGATGTGATTGCTAAGGACGTGAAAGAAGCTGTGGAGACGGTGTTGACACATGAGAAATGGTGAGTGAGTGAGTGAAGGGAGATGAGGTGTTGTGTGGTGTGTTGGCGAGATTTGAATAGGGGGAAGATGACATAGTCCTATGGATGATCTCATATGACCGAGAACGGGCAATGGGATGGATACATAGGTAGATTATCTGATATTCCCATATATTACCTACATAGAATATGCATTTTTAATTATCTACAGATCTCTTCAATAGAGAATATTCATATAATCTGGCATATTTCCGAGTAAGTTTAATATTATATTCCCATTGTCGTATATTATGCTTAAAGTCATATATACCATATGCAGTATATGAGTTAGCCACATTCTTCAAGATCCATACTTTACGTCATCTGGTAGGGCACGTGTCACCGTAAAGGGACCTGAGAGGTCAAACAAGGTTGAATTCTAGAATCTATTAGTGCCATTCACACATCAGACGAAATCTCAGTCTTTAACAAACTCATTCAAGGTCATACACGTAGTTACATGATATCATAACAAGAACTTCAACCTTGATTTGAAATACACTCCTAAAGACATAAATCTAAAACTTACATAGACCGATAAGTTACACATTGATGGTGTTGTTTCAAAATCTAGTCAAGCAACGGCCATCCCAAGCATTTTTAAGGTTATCTTCAGGGTATCCTTCCCTGCAAGCTGGGAACGTAGGTACTCTGCAAGGGACCCCTGTCGCTCTAGATAGTGGGCTGGTGGGGTTACTCTATTTGACAATATTTTTCGACTTCTTTCATGATCTTTGTCTCTTAGTGTGCAACTTCTTATCAGTTCCCAGCCAATTCGTTAAAAACAACTACAAACTACACTCATATTCATGTCTATAATCTTATGAGCTTACCTCAGAGCCCATTATCTCAGCTCGTACATTTATTAAGGACTATATTTTAATTCAACTTATCGAAACCTCTCTATTACGGTCTAGGTCTACTACGATATCCATTTCCAATGACTTGATCGTATCTTTTCTTACCTCTTATTTTCCTGAAGATTTTTATTGGTAAAATGTCTTCATCTGCTCCGAATTTCACCGGCGACGGTCTTCCTCTTCGTTCCGTTTTAAAGCAGGATGACGAATCCGAGAGACCATCCTCTCAGAATACTGCTACGAGCATTAAAGGTTGGTTTGTTCTCTTTTCATTCCATCTTCTACCACCAAGAACAACATCATCCACTGTTCTACAGAGTTACACCTACTCGCGTGACATCCGAATGGTGACGTATGTATTCCTTCTGTTGCATACGTGGCTCGAGTATTTACTGCTTCCTCATCTATAGCCTCAAAATGATGGCTATATATGCAGTTAATACATATAGAGGATACCTCTGTGGCCAATCTCAAGGGTATACGACCAAAGGAAGCAAACGAGGTGATGTTGTTCTAGTATTCCTATTGAGCAACCCTTCAAATTTAGATATAGACGCAGCTTAATCATATCCCCCCTCAAAAGCTCACAAGCGAGTTATCACGTCCCCTTTCCCATACTCGTTCATTCATTCATAACCAACTATTCCCATTTAAGAATAAGAAAATCACATCATACTTATCCCATCTTAGCTGTACAAATAGCCGAACCTGAACCAGAGTTAGAAGACACCTTTCCTAAGAGGCAGTTTTCGGCCGGGATCGCCAGGCGCCTGAGTGGTCGTTCTCCCGTGCCCGAGTTCAACTCTTCTAGGTCTTCGCTGCTCAGTCAGAATGGCATAGAGCCATCCAGCAGCCAGATTGGCAACCCGTCTGTACACCATCAGCAAGAAGGTGGTCGTTCGCATTCCCATCGTAGCCATCACCAAGTAGATAGATTTGTTGCTCAAGTCGTCGATTGGTTGGACCGTGAACGAGTTAAGAAGGACAACAGAGGATCGAGGAGAATCCATTCGCGACGGAACAGGTCCACTAAGGATGAACCTGACAGGAGCGATACGCAGCAACAGCCAGAAAGGCACAGGGCATATTCAATTGATTCTCAATCCAGTGATGTATCGTTAGACAGGCTACAGAAAATCATCGACGACGGCATGACTAATTTGGGCTTACATGGGATACCGCACTATAGCCCGAAACTTGGGAAGAAGTCCCAACGAAGGAGATCCGTTACCATGCATCGAACCGTTTCGTCGGATACGGAATATCATGACGGTTCTGTTGTTGTCCCAACTTGTGACGCAGTTCTGGACAACTCAAAGACTTTGGGCTATTCTGGAGGGAAGCCTTCTTCCACAGACGACCTCGCTACGCTGCTAAGCAAGAAAGCGGAAAAGGAGCGAAAGGCCTGGATTAGCTTCAAGAACGAAATCATCAAGCTTGCGCATACTCTAAAGTTTAGAGGCTGGAGACGTGTTTCTTTGGACAGCGGCGAGAGTATCGATGTTACACGACTTAGTGGAGCTTTGACAAATGCAGTCTATGTTGTCTCTCCGCCAGATGATTTAGTGATAAAGGGGGAAGGAAGTAAAAGAACACCGCCGAAACTGCTGCTGAGGATATACGGTCCCCAAGCATCCCACATCATCGATAGACAAAATGAGTTGCTTGTGCTTAGAAGACTCGCCAAGAAGAAAATCGGACCTCGCCTGCTGGGGACATTCACCAACGGCCGCTTTGAGCAATATCTAAACGCAGAACCCCTTACCGCAGTCGAGTTGAAAGATCCAGATACTTCCAGACAAATCGCCAAGAGGATGAGAGAACTACATGATGGTATAGAACTCCTAGATAAGGAAATAGACGGCGGACCCATGGTCTTGAAAAACTGGGATACTTGGATCAATCGAGTCTCACGTGTCGCTACATACTTGGATCGAAAGGTACTCACCACCAGCGCTAGTCCCGCTAGAGGTCCGGCCGACGCGTGGAGGCTAAGAGGCTTCGTTTGCGGAGTGGAATGGGTTACATTCAAAAGAATAGTAGACAGGTATCGGGAATTCTTGAATGATCATTATGGTGGTCCCCACGTTATAAGGGAGCACCTCGTATTTGCGCATAGTGATGTAAGTGCATTACATCTGCCCGAACCCCCTTAATGAAATTCATACTGACTTGTGACAGACGCAATACGGCAACATCCTTCGTGTCAAGCCAGATGACAAGAAGTCGCCGTTGCTTCAACCAAACTACGAGCACAAGCAGTTGGTGGTGATAGACTTCGAGTATTCGGGCGCCAACACAAGAGGTCTCGAGTTCGCCAACCACTTCACTGAATGGTGCTACAACTACCACGACGAGGCTGCACCCCACGCGTGCGACACAGCCAACTACCCAACTCCAGAAGAACAACGTCGCTTTATCAAGGTTTACGTCAACCACCGCCCCGAGTTTCCTCACCCGGGCGCTTCGACGCCGAACCTAACGCCCCTCGCGACCCCAACCCTCCAGCCTCAACCTAGCACACCCGGGCTCAGCGCCTCGAGCCTGGGCTCGACCAGCTCGATCAAAGAGTTCATGCTCGACTCACGTGCGCCGCCTGGAGGCTGGAAGGAAGAAGAGAGGAGGAGGGAGAGCGAGGCTGAAGCTCAGATTGAGGCCCTTATGGAAGAGACGCGCATCTGGCGCGTGGCGAACAGCGCGCAATGGGTCGCATGGGGCCTTATGCAGACCAACATACCGGGGATTGAAAAGGATACCAGCGTCGCCGGCGGGGAGAGTCAGCAAGGTGCCGACGGAGCAGCCCAGCCGGCGGGGCAGGAGGAGGAAGAGAGCGAGGCAGATGAAGAGTTCGATTACTTGGGTTACGCCCAGGAACGCGCGTTTTTCTTCCTAGGGGACTGTATCAAGATGGGCTTGCTTTCCGAGGATGAGTTGCCCGAACAGGTCAGAGGGAAGATCAAGTATGTGGATTACTAAGATATTCTTCGTTATTGACACTCACTCAACCTGGGGGGGAGGAGGTAGAGGCATATCGTCTGTGAAACATTCAACACTTCAAGACAGCGAGTATTTTCTGGGGTCTGTATGGGTAATATCCAGGGACGCTTCGGTTGCCGAGTACCAAATATCGGGCACCAGCAATGTTGTGCAGTCAGCTAAAGGGATGATATAGTGATAAATAAAAAGGAATGAAGTTAAACAGCAGTATTTCGAAGGCGTCAGGGGTCTGAGTCTCTGGGAGGATCAGCTTGTAGGGGATTAGATCGGATTGGGGATCGACCCGTTATGTATGACCTTAATCTCGTTGCTCTTGGAAATATCGATACCTACCTACATATTGCTCGATACCTAACGTAGATCACAAAGCTATGGCGAATCCATATCCTCGTTCATAGACATGACGATTTCTAACATTATTCTGGCATTTAAAATTATAGTGTACCAGGCTGCTGTTGGCTCATCCGAGCACGTACGACGCTCTTGAGTGATGTTCAGCTAACTGACAGTTCCATCGGATCTAGAAACGACTTGTGCGAGGTAATAAAAATCGAGTAATGTCAGTTCGTATCGTATCCCACATTCACATTCCTGCTCATAAACGCTTCTCGGCATGATAATAGGTATCTGGTACATAGTCGTTCGCATCATATTCATAATAAATTCCCGCACCTGAGGCTTTTCGGCCACCCCCATGGTAAGATCCGAATCCTAGTCATCGCACGTAGGCTGACGACATCAACCAACACCCGAATTTCAAAAAGTCTGCCACACCAAGTCATGAAATGGAGGATTAGTAGTAAAGCACATGAGGGTTCGGATGTTGGAAGGATCATTCTGCTAACAGGTGAGTCCACCTCCGCTCCTGAAGTTTTCAAAAGCTCGTCATCGAATTCGGGTTCATAATAGCCCACAAATGTGGTGCTTTGTTTAATAACCAAAAATAACATAAATATGACCAACTTGAGAGGTATCTTTCCGTTACAAAATGAAGAAAATAGTATAACAATGATAGACAGAATAATGTAGGCCTGCTCGCTCGCTAGAAGTAGACTAGGTACTATAGGTAGGTAGGTATCCAATTTCGTGAAGAGGGTATTACAAGAACGAAAGGGAAAACACCAACGCCGTAAAATGAAATAAAAAATGTCCTAACAAGTAAAGCCGTGAGGCTATCCCCTTCTTGTCCAGCCGCGAGGCTCCTTTCATCTTTGATTAAAAATGGTATGGAAATTTTAGACTTTTCATTTTGATCCCAATTGCACCTGCTAGCCACGAAGGGACAGCGATATTCGCTCTTCCAAAGCAATAAGTCCCGGTGTCTCCTCCGATGGGCGGTGCTGTGCTATCCCGCGGATGTGTCCAAGGCAGATTTCGCTTGGATGTCTCTGACTGTTTCCCTGCGGTCGTGTGACCTTTTGTTTCTATCTTGCTGCAAAAGAGCATTCCCCATCTCTTCGGTCCCGATCCAGAGGTACCTGGCAAGTTTCCATTATAAGGATTAGGAAATGTTAGGCACGTAAAGTATTATTTCATCGAGACGAAATTATGGACTGCGCTTTGATCCGGAATAATAGGTAGTTGTTTTCCCCCTCCGCCTTTTTTTTTTCTCGGTTATGCTTTGTTACGCCTTCAGCGTCTATGTCGACGGGTAGAAGAACCGGCCTCGTGTCGATGTGAATGACTATGGCGATGGGAGTGGTGTTGTTCGTGTCGCGATGAGCTCGAATTCTCAAGTTCTCGTTCAAGGTTCTCGACTCGCTGACGATAGTCCCTCACAATATCCCTAATGTGTGCGATGCGATCAAAGTCGAGCTCAAGCTCGTCGATCTGAGCCATTATACCCTGGAAGCGCGCAATTTCAGCATCGGCATTGTCCACGAGGTTTCCTGCGTGGTCATACTGCTGCATAGTCACGACGGAGCTCTGTTCGCTGAGATACTCGATACGTTGCTGGATCTGGTGCATCAGGCGGTCTAAATGTCGTGACAGGGCAGCAAGACTGGAACTGTCGAGAAGGAGACGACCTTGGGAGGAAGCGCGACTGGCGGCGCGCGAGGAGGAAGAACCGGCCTGAGCTTGGTGATAACGAAGAAGATTTATTTCCTCATCGGTCAGGCCCAATTGCGTGTCCTCGACGGTACTAGGCTCTGCGGGCGGCATGGCTCTGCCGTATGAGGGCGCGCGAAATCTTGCTCCTGCGTCCTGCGTCCTAAGTCTGCGTCCACGTCTGCAACTTTTTGGCTAGGAATCGAGCGTTGTGTAGCGTCGGTAGAGCAGGGGGGAATAGAGCGGCGGTGGTAAGCGGGGCGGATTCGGATTCGGATGCAACGTCGTGTACTTCTGGCACAGGCACAAAAGAGGTTGCGACACACTCTGGACAAGCGTCGAGTCGGCCGCGGCGCGCGGCTTCATTGTCTCGAGATGGCAAAAGGCAGTGTCGAAGCCCAATGCGATGGTAACATGGCAAGAAAGAAGGAGGGAAGGGAGAAGAGGAGTGGAAGATTAGGAGAGTTTCGAGAAGTCTTAGAAATTCGGCCGGACGGACTCTTTGATGATTCTCGAAGCTGGATAAGGGTTGGCCCGGGGCAGGGTTCGCACAGAAGATGGAGGGGAGATGGATGGCTGAATTACCCTGTATCCAGGTTCTTTCGAAATTTCTGTGATACAACCGGCAAACGACCTACTCTTTCTTCACCCTTATTACCTGGGACCTATTATCTACCACACCTATTTTGTTTCCTCGGCGCAATCGCAATCTCGAATCCTTCAAAGCTGCAGTAACGGCGGTCAGCTGCAGTAGTCTCTTTCCCCCCCGCAAAGGTAAAACGTCATGAATAGTTTTTTGAAGTTTTTTAGGTTTTTTTTTCTTTCTTCAGTTCTTTTTTTTGCTTCTTCTTAATAGAAATAATCGTATTAATATATGATTTCGTCCGATGATGATTTATGTTACCCGTATTTTTAGGACCTTGTTAGTTTAACTAATTTAGAGTTGATGAGGTAATTAAACAGCTTTGTTAGCTTGTAGCTTATTAGTCTCGTAGGCGAGCTAACAAGTTGCCAGATGGGAACCTTGAATGCTAGGGAATGCCACACCACACGCGGACGTACTTCGTACACACATGCAATCCTGGGGAACAGGCGGGGCTTGCAGAAAGCAGTACGGAAAACCAGGGTGTCGGATATCTGGTAGACGGATATTATAGGTCTATGATAGGTTATAGTGAATATATCGACCTTTTCCAGAAACGCGCGGGTGCCGAATATTTCAGGAATTCCAGGACCGATGGCCCACTAAAGCCGAATTGCTGGTTCCTTTTATTGTTATAGCGCGCCTACTGACTGAGACCGGTGGTACGTTCCCCTGCGTCAAAAGGGGCATAGACCGTATGGTGGTTTAGCGCTTATATATAGGTATATATATGTGTGTATGTGTGAGTGTGTGTGAGTGAGTGTGTGTGTGTGTGTATGTAAATCGTAAGTCCGTGTTCCTAACGTACGTGAATTTGAATATGAATGTGAATGTGAGTATGAATTTAAGAATGAGAATGATAAGCCTTGGAAGCTTTCAATAAACCTGTAATTCTCTAGCAATATGATATTAATGTGTTATCTCGGATCTTGCCCTTCGTCAAAGTAGAGCACCCAATAACTCGGAATTAGTTGAAGATTTAAAATGAGTTGATGAAAAAGTAAAAGGTAACCTTGAAGGTTTAAAGATGTTGAAGTTGGAGGGGAATGGCTACTAGGTACCGTGAGCACACCGCTGGGAGGGCGTTAAAGGCGCTAAAACATCGGCAAGTATAATTGATATATGTACAATACCTACATCTAGATATTCTCGGTAGCATAATCTACTTAGCTACGTCATAGTATCACACGTACATACCTACGTAACGATATGTATGTATAACTTCCCTACCGTAGGTACCTACCAGGTACGTGTAGATATTCTGTACCTAGTACTAACTTCTAAAGTTGAGCCTCATTGACTTTACATCAATTAAAAATACTTTATAACTATACCCTAACACAGCTAAGATATCGTCATCCTCTCTTCTCAAGAGCCGGTCTCTTTTTGCGCCAATAGCATATAAGGCTTAAGCTAGGTAATTACCTAGTAGGTATCTTAGCTTCGCAGTTACGGTTAGAACCTGCATCACATCTGCATAGGTTACCTTAGTGATCTACCTTGCATTGCAGCAGCACAGCTCTGCCTAGCATTCCTGATCAAGAACCGGACATCCATCCTCCGCCATAGTCAACATCATGTGCCTGAAAGACCTATTCAGATCCGGAGATCTCCTATTAGCATCATTACCTATATGCGAAGTCTCGATAGATAGGAATAGCATTCCGTCAGAAGTTATATCATCCGATTACCCCCACATCCAGATGAAGCATTTCAGCAGGCTCGCTAGATCTCCTTCCGAGATCAAAGGCTTCTACGTTTACAGTGTCGTCTATCAGTCATATATATAGGCCATGTCGTATCTTCATACCATCGGATATTTCATTCGAGGAGTGAAGGAAATCTCGAGTGAAGCAGGGAAAGATGTTATCAAAGAAGTTTTCTTACCTTCTTAGTCTAACTGCCTTGGCCTCGGGGACGATTCTCCAGAATGGCCAAGTTAGGATCACAAATTACCCCGACACCAGGGTAGATATATCCTCATATGAATTCCAGACATACGACGCCAATGCCACAGAGCTGTCCTATAAAGGGAGATGGGACTCGAAGAAGGTGTCCTGGTGGTCGTAAGTTGTTTCTGTCAGCTAGAATCAACTCCGATATATATGAAGAACTTAAATACGAAATGGCTCATTTAGAGCTCCCGGCCTCGTCTTCGGCTTCACGGGGGACACGGTAGCCATCACTTTCAGAGAGTTAACTACCGACGCGACACTCATTGGCTACCGAATCGGCGGGCTAGACTGGTCTTTCACGAACGTGACCGCTGGCGCCACCCATCTACTCGTCTCTCCTAAAACTCCCGGTGTGAATGAGACATTTCCGGTGAATCCGCTTCGCTTCGAACTGCGTGTTACGAACTGGGCCTATGGCGTGCAGATCGACAAGGTCCATGTCGCTTCGGGGGAGCTTCTCATTAAGATTCCCCCTTACAAACGGTCAATCGAATTCATTGGGGACAGTCTCACTTCAGGCATGTATACGAGTTACGAGGGTCTCTCGAGCTTTGCGTACGGCGTCGGCGCTGGTCTAGGTGACACGGAATGGTATGTCACCGCGTATCCGGGCATTTGCGTCTCGGACCAGGACTGCTGGGGTAATCCGCGAGGGCAAAGCCACCAGTGGTTTTACGCGTCTGACACGAGTTGGAGGGCAAGCCAACTTTGGGGAGGTGCGTTACTGCAATATCTGCCTACTATCCAACTTACCTCTCATTTTCCTTGGTAGATGAGCCTGAGTCATGGGATTTCGATAAGCAGGAGACAACTCCCGACATTGTCATCATCAACTTAGGAACGAACGACAACAACACGGAAAACCACGTCAGTACAGAAACGTACGTTGACGCATACAAGAAGTTGATCCAAGGTGTCCACGGGAAGTATCCCGAAGCTCAAGTCCTTGTAATGGTACCACCCATTTTTTTCCATTGCCCCGTCGCCCAAAATCTTTCTTTTTTTAAAAAAATTAAGGATTTCACTAAGAAGCCTTTTTAGCAACTATGGATGGGGTTTCATCCTTACGGTAACAGCTACCAACAAGATCTGGGTTATGAGCTAGAATTAAAGGATATTGTGGCCTACTTCAACTCGGACCAGTACCTGTCGAAACCGGCTATCTGGGATGGGACGACGAACACGACGACAACGCTCGACACACCTAGTAAATCTTTCGTACACTACTTCAGCACCAAAGGCATATGTATGCATTTCCTAGCCATTCTTTTGAAGACCCAACACTAATTTCATCTGTTTATAGTGCAGCATAACGATATTGGGCCTCTGTGGCATCCGACAGATGTCGGTGCCATCAAGGTTGCGAGTCACCTTAGCCAATTTATCAAGCTGACTTTCGGTTGGGATTTAATTGCTACGGGTCCTGAGTACGTTTCTTCTCTCCTAGGCATCTTATTTGCTGTATTGACACAGTGTTTGGAATCGACACTCGTTCATCCACTCGTGCTGAGGCCCTCATGATACTGCTGAAACTGAAGATTGGGCTGGAGACTGACAGTGTATAATATAGAATTTTCCACGATACATTGTATTGGAACGATGAACAGAGTTACTAGGTATAGCTGTATAATGTCTACTAAATTCGGTCTGTTGTGGTGAAAGGAGATAATTGGGTTGAGCATATTGACTATCTACATAACACCTACCTACCTACCTACTTAGATATGATAACACAGAGCTAGCTTCTATTATATATAGGTGCTTAGATCTATGCTATCTTCTTACATCCGATGAAGCTTCAGCTATCGCGTACTTTGGAGCATCCGGCAAAGTCATTTAGGTCACATAATCGATACTCCTATGTCGTTATTTATCACTTGAAGAGGACATAAGTACATATCAACCTAAGAGGCAAGACAGTGGCATGCTATGAAGGAGACGCCTGAGATAGGCTCCAACGACATTGTATGTGGACTCCGGCTTCTTACCTTGTTCACACTTGAGATTCATGGCCAAACAAGCCTACCTACCTGGCACGTATCACTCATACTTGCCATAATGCAATATATCTGATAGGAACAGAGGTACCTAAGATATTGTATGACATCTATCATTTTCCAGAGGAAGAGCTTCTTCATGAGCAGTCCTTGACAAAATCATGCATAAGCAATAGCCGAACGGGTCTCGTTCCACCAGACGTAGTCATCTGCTATCGTACCACCGCAACGACATCAGATCTTCTCATCTATATCTTGACACGACATCACTAACTCCGACGAGCCTCATGGATATCAAATAGCGCACGGACGAAACGAATGTCGTACATACTCCTTGATGAGCTGACGTAGTCTAGTAGCGGCCACGAAATTTATGCGGCTCGGCTACTAAATTTGGGCGTCGCGGCTCATGAGGCTCTTCGTGGCGTGAAACGATTCTAGACCTGGAGCATGCGTCTCCGGACGACTGGTGATCCGCGATATCTGTAACAGCTGGAGTGTGAGGCACCCCTGAAGAAGATCGAGGCAGGGGACCCTCCTCACTACCGCACACAAAGTTTAACGATCGCTAAACGATACATAGCCTCATAAGTATCGAGGGAGCGGTAAGTTCCTTTTCCTTTGCCCTCGCTGGGGGCATGATGTAAGAACCATGGTCCGGTCTTTCATGCGCCGAAGAAAAATAACAATAAACGGTGTGGCCGGATCCAGCCCGAGTTAAGCGAATCCCGCATTGATCTGAGGCAGGGGATGGAAGGTTAAGTTAGCAGGGCTGAAACTATCGTGGAGAACATGGGTTTGTATGCTGTTGTTTTTAACCAAAAAAAGGACAAAGTCTTTTTATTATTGTTCATCGTTCGAGTATGAAGCTGTCCGATACGTAGCGATTGAAATGCACATATGCATCGCATAAGACATTGTCCTGCAGACAAGCCTACGTTAGGGCTACCGTGTGCGTATTCTAGCAACAATTCATGATCCAATGCATGGCTCGTGTACCATTTCTTGGACTTTGATTTTGATTTTGATTTTCCAATGCCGGACTTCTTTGAAGTTTTGTCGACAGGATTCCTCAGGACTCTCACCGTCAATGCAAATGATGGTACGGGTATTACTAAAGCGGTGGATATTCCCGCAAGCAATCTTGTGCCAGACCGCTTCCCTACGCAGATGACCAGGTTCAGACAGATAAATAACCCTGGCACGGGTAGATCTCCAGCCGTGGATGACGAAACGTTTGGCCACGATACCCCCTTGTCCTTCCTTTCCTGTGCTAGGTGAGATTGAAGTTTTTGTGGCCAATGATCGGTCTTAGTAGTATGTGCTAGGGAAGGAGACACTCCCAGTTACTCGTGAAGTTATGGTTACCACCAGCATCACCGCCGATTCACTAGCTCGGCATCAAATCAAGGTGCTTAGGGGACAGCTAGGGGACAGCTAGGGGACTAAATGTCGGGTTAAAAAGAAACCCACAGCGGAGAAGATCCCCTATTTGCGAGTTCCTGGGGATTCGGATTTCTCCGTGCAAGAAACAGGTATATTACTCTGTTAGGAGTCTACGTTTTCGGACAGTGATAGTTGAGTCGGTCCTTCTAAGGTGTTCGGGTTGCAGAACGGAGCAGCACGAACTAAGTCTTGTGACCTGAGAGATCACGGACTGTTGCTGCTTGTTCCCGCTCGCCACGTTGGCAGGTCCGGGACGAGGCAACACAAACCACTCAGTACCATCGGCTACAACGCTGACTGGGCTGCTGGATTGCATCGTCTGCATCGTCTGCATCGTCGGAACCTGGGCGACCGACCCGTGGGGAGCGGAGAAACTAAGGCGTTGGTCTTCCCCCCCCCTTCCTTCCCCCCCTGTGGGATGGTACCAAGACTTTGAAACCAAGATGGTTGCAGATCTTGAAGTTTATAGTGACCGCTCTTTAGCTCTCCGCGCTATAATATACCCTAGGCTGCCTAGATAGGTAGGCTGGTAATAATGGTAATAGTGGTAATGGTCATGATGACAATCATTATGCTGCTGCTGACCACCTCGACGGCTCAAGGCTAGGCCTGCAGAAAACGTACGATTTGCACGGATTAGATTGAGACTATCTGAATAAGGGCTTGCCGGCCGATATGATGTGTTATTTCGCAGTTCACGCTAATGTAGTCGATAGATGCCCCGGAATGGAGATCCGTGAGAGCGGCCGCGTCTAGTAGTGGAGCATTCGCCGAGCAACGGCGTCGATGGCTAAAGATTATGATACTGTGCCGAAGTTCACCGGCTTTCGTGTTAGCATCGGGGATGCCAAGCTCGCGATACCTTCGTAATTTTATGAAGATGGTCTGATTTCCTTTCGTGACATGAGTCAGTTAGTCAGCCAAACCAGCCAGGCAGTTGGTCGAGATATGAGTTATGAATTATCGAACCAACTAACTACCTGACTTGACTGAGACATATTATATGAATTGGTTAACTACCTACATGAGCGATAACTAAAGAGAGAATAAGAGAATAACCTAAGTTGCCTATGCTGACCTGTATCGTGAAATCGGCCGAGTTGAGCGGAGGTCGCGTGGAAAATCAACTTGGTTCGCCGTTGATGTTGGTGACGTGTGACGCGAAAAGATTGAAAAGATGCAAAACTCTTATTAAGGTACTTAGGTACCTAAAGATTTAAACCTTGAAGGATCAATTGATTCAAAAGACTTCAGGGTTCCAATGTTCCGAATGGCTAGAGAACGAATAAGGAACGAGTGGATTCGATGGGAGCTAGGACCATATGAAGTTCCAAGCGCCTATGTCGGTGGTGTGGGTCTATCTGTAATTGATCCGCGTTTTTGCGTTTGGGGGATGTGTTGCAGGGATATCTATAATGTGGATGTACGAAGTACATCGCTACATACCTAGTATGTACCTATGTACTCGTAACCAATTAAATTTTATTAGCATTATTATCGTTATTGTAGTTGACCTTGCATCTTACTTATTTCACCTACCACACAAACTGTATGTGCACATAATGATAAAACTCATTTGAGGCTTAAATTCTCCTAATAAGCACTTACATACCTACCCATACATACATAGTAGCAGTCGCGGGAAGTCCCTTCGAAGCAACATCAAAAACTTGATACTACCCATTACTCTTTCACAAGCGGCCGAAACTACCGAGGTCTAGACCATTTAAGACCATTCTGCCCATTGTAGACTATCTACACATTCGACAAACAAGCGTCGTTCTTGTTTCGACTGATCTTCGGGTGACGTAGCCCATGGTCGGCTCCTCGCAGTTTTAGGAAGACATCCATTGTTTCGGGTTTAGCCACGCCAATGAGATGCTACACCAAACAAGGTCCAAATCGATTTAATCATACTCGACTAGGACATCTTGGGTAAAGTGCTTGCAACTAACAACACTATACAGCGCCTTGGGTCAACGTGGTCTGCGTGGTCTGCGCGGTTTGACACTAGCATTTAATAGCTATCAGCAAACTTATGCGCTGGTTGGGACCACCAGCCTACAGACTCGTTAATGCTACGACCATGCGAGACATAATACAATTATGAACTGTCTATAATAAAGCGGTAGCTATAGATCCACTTGTGAAATCGATAACCACTTGGGCAGACAACAGACATCAGTTCTCCTCGCTTGCGTTAGCCTATGCTAATTAATACCTCTAGCCGGTTCTGGCTTGGCAGCTGTTTGGCTATCTGTCTATCTGTTAGGTTGGGCTGCTGCACATACATAGCCCCCGGGTCATCAGATCTCTACGTGGACTAAGCGACGTTTAAAAAAAAAACCCCCCCAAAAACAACCCTAGATACATAGGTCGGAGGATCCTGACGATCATCTCAACCGAAAGTAGTTCCCGATGCAGGGCAGCATTGGGGCGTCGACCTTACAAAACCCCTTGCAGAAAAAGCGGTGGATCACGAGTGCCGGCGAGTTTGCTTGCAAATTAATACCAGTTCCCAAAGTCATCGTCGATGAACGATGATGGGGGGGAGCATGGTTCCTAAATAAGGAACTAATCAGAGTTGACCCACCAGCATTGATGTCTTCGGAATATTAATGACATATGCGATGCTCTCTCATAGATGGAAAATGGAAAGGTAATATATACTTAATTGTTATTAATAATCTTCTTTACCATTCACGATCCCAAGAAAACGTAGGAGGATATATTTACAAGGCAGGGGGAAGAGAACTCTACAATTGTACCAAATACAATTTGACTCTTGAGGTACCTAATATTCGTACAAAACCCTTTATTAATTGTTCTGATAAGTTTTCGGTAGAATAAAGGTCAGTAAGAATAATCGAGAAAAAAGTACAGAATGCGAAAGCAATAGGAGGCGGTGTCAGCGGAATGTCAACCGACCCAATGGAAAGCTAGTCAAGGGTGATGCGTCGTAAATGAGTCCATGTTAGGATTACGACATGGCTCGTCCCAGAAGGACGGGAGATGCGGATAATCCAAATGCATGCCATGGAAGATCAGTCGGCGTTATGTTAATCAATCGAGAAAGAGGCGTACAAGCGTACAGGCGTAATACCGCGGATGTACGTCTGCTACTACCCTACAGTCCGGTCGCAGCCCTGGCAGGCTGGGAACCGGCCTAAGCTTATAGATCCTTGGGTTTTAGATAACCTACCTATAGGTAGGTACGGGACCTATCTGTCTATGCAGGAAGACGCGAATTGTTCACATCAGGTGATATGTTGTGTAAGTCGATAATGTAACTCGATGCGATGTGTTCGCCGCCTGCTGCGTCCTGCCGGACACGTTTGCCTCTTTGGAGCCATGAGTAGTTCGACGGCTTGTTCATTGGTCTGCCTGGACTTGGGGAATACCAGCCAGATCCAATGAATCCGAATCCCAATGAACAGGTGATGTGGAAAGCCGAAAATGCAGACGTCCGATAGCTAGGGGGCAGGTAACCGGCCGGGGGGACAGAAGGCTGCTTCATTGGCGACGGGTTAATGGAGAGACGTTGAGATCGAATAGGATTCGAGGGCCGAGGCTGCGGCAAACAAGGGTGTGATCTGTAGGATCTGATCAACAGAGCTTACTGTGCTCGCCTGCCGCCGCGAAGCCCGACGCTTTGGGAAGTGTGCAACGGTTTCCAGGAATCGGAGAGGGCGACCATGCTGCCATGTTTCTGTAGCCTGATTCATTATAGGAAATCAACTCGTGACTCAACCCATGATATTTGTGATATATGATATTTTTGTTACCGAATTTCTGAGAGCCTCAAAAATTCATGTCACGATGGAGGAATGAAGAAAAAAGGGGGGAAGGGGGGCGACGTATTACGTACCAAGTATCAAAGCATTACGAAGTTGTAAAATACGAATCTTGGGCGCGGTAACGCAGGAAAACGCAATAAGTAATAGGTGTCTACTAAGCTGCTAAGGAATAATTTTTTAATTTTGTAATTAAAGGTACAAATATTACGAGGGTAAATATGGACGTGCCAACAACGCCAGCAGCTAATCTCAGCGTGATCAGCATTACTGATGAAAATCATCAACTAGCCCCCCGCTCATTCGGGTCAGTCCTTGTAAGTTTCCGACGGAAGAGGGATTCGCATCTTCCTTATTACATAGCACAGCGTACATACATACAACTGGCCTGCTGGCTTTCCCCCCCCACACAAAGCCTCAAAATGCCTGGCATTGCCAAGCCCATATCGACTCCATCTACCACGCGACTGACTAGGGCTAGATTCGTGATCTACGAAACGCTATTATGAAATAGGCACTCGACTACGTATTGCCCAGCTCTGCTAGACCCGTAGCGCCACAATTACTATGCAACAGAGAATCTGAAAAGTAGGTAAGTACATACATATGCTGATATGTAAGTTAAAAAAAAGAACGACAATAGTCGGGCTGAGCTAGGTCAAGTCAAGTCAAGTTGAGTTAGGTTATGTTGTGTTGTATTTTGTAGTGTTGTGTTGTGTTCTTTCATTTCCCCTTTTCCTCTGAATCGTCTAAGTAGATAGATAGGTAGGTAGGTCGGTAGGTAGGTACCAAGTAGTAACTAAGTATGAGCAGGTTGGATACCCGCTTGTGGTAATCATGGGGTTACATTTAGCGGGTTAGAAGGTTTCTTTTTAGGTATCCCTGGGATCTGTGCTGGCCTGGGTCATAACGCGGTAACAGTATGTGTGTAGGGCAAGTAACCCGCGGAACGTGATAGTGTCGTAGCGCCAAGGGGAGAGAGACTGGTGAATTGGAAGGGATTCCTCGCTACGTTGCCTACTTATGTACCTACATGTAGTACTTGGGGTGATATCGAGATCAGCAAAATGCCAGATGAAGTGATGTGACTACTACACTCTAAAACATTAAGATTGTGCAAAAGAACAACGGATACTACTCAATATGCTAGCGATACTATGTCTCGTCGTATATACACCTGCCTCCCAAGTTGAATTCGGCCCTACAATACGCACTGACGAGCACGCTGCCTTACCTAGTATTGATAGAGATTTTAGTAAGTCTGACCTTTTTTTTTTGCCTCAATAATTAGCATACGTAAACTATATGACTGAGTGTCGAGGCCCCCAACCGATAATAAATGCTTTTTATAGACTGGGGTTTCGTTGTCTACGTAAATCGGTGGATTTCCTTAGCTGCTTAGCTGCTTAGGGGTAGGTATCCTTTCAGGGACTACCCTAATCTCGCAGTCTTGTCAGCCTGTCTCGAATACCTAGTATCCAAGATATTATCTCCGTGTTACTGTGATAATAAAGTTGTTTTCCTACATACCTACCTACCCAGCTACCTAGTACTCCGTACCTCTCTCCAGTTTTGGCGTGTTTTGACCCCTGCGTGAATCTCGAAACAAAGCTTAGATAGAACCTAAAGCAAACTCGACCTGAATTCTCCACGCAGGGGCAGATCCTCGACCTTAAAACAAGGTTACCTGCATGCCGTTGTTTCTTCTCCCTGCCCGAGCAATGGAAGAAGAAGCTTGACCTACCACATAGTACGCATCGCCTGTCAACCATCCTTGTCGGTTACTATTGGATTTTCATGCGCTGACGTTGCAACAAATCGAGATTACCATGAGAAGAATGAGGCTGTCAAAGTAGCATTTTTGAATGTTTCTTATATTTTTGTTTCCGAAGGCTTTGCTTGCTTGCTTGCTACCCACTTAGTATTGCTATTGCTATTGCTGAGCCAACGTCAATTGTCATCCGTTATCCATCTTCTTTCCTCATACAGAAGCGAGTTTGCTCGTTTCCTCAGAAAACACCATTGCTTTGATCTTTTCGATCCCTGTTGGTACAGTTTCTCATCCCTCCCCTTTGCAGTCCCATTCTATACATTAGGACTAGATAGAATATCCATGAAAAGAAAATACCGAAAAAATACCATAAACGAGAGATAAGATTGCTCTTGTTTTTCAATGTCCCAACATATGTCCCTCCCGAGATGTTTGTTAAACGCCTGTGTAAATGCCCAAAAGTTGGTAGTCCAATGCGCCTCGTCGATGAACAGTCACACCCTGCAGTTAAATGCAACCGGTCCCTATCCCGTCATCCCGTCCCAGTAAGCAAAGGGCCGACCGCTCCCCCCCCTGATTCGTCCCAAGTGTCGAGATATGCCCTAATATAGATCTTCGAATCGGTAAACAGTGGCTCGGAATTAAAAACGAAAACAAAAACAACGAGTGCTTTTGATAAAAGGCGGCCGTCAAAATCGTAGCGTAACCCGCGGGTGGGTATCAAATGCATCCTTCGTGTCCATCTTTTTCTCGGCTCCCGGTAGAAAAAATAAAATAAACCTCCTCTTGATATGTCCGCGCGAGATTAATAGCCATATTATGAATAAACAATAAGTAACGACAACATCGAATAGTTCTATTTATCGATTATGGGCCGGGATTAGCGGTGGTGAGATGCGTTGCCATTGTCGTGGCATCCTCGTTCGTGTCTCTTCATGTTGCTTCGAACACTGAAAGCTTTGCCGCAACCCGCATGAGGACACTTGAAGGGCTTCTCGCCAGTGTGAGAGTGGCTGTGAATTCGTAGCGAGCTCGGTCTAGAGAAGGCCTTGTTGCAAGTTTGGCAGATGTAACGATCCTGTGACTGAGGGAAAGAAGCCGCCGAAGAAGGTGAGATGTAATGATGGTGTTGCCAGGGGTTGGCACCTGGACCTGCTGCCAAAGACACCGTCACTGGTAGTGGAGGGAAGGCCTGGGGCTAAGTTAGCTATGTCTGATTTTGATCTTTCCTGTACCAGACTTGACAAACCTGTGGTAATGGTCTTTGGTAGTAGAGACCAGAGATCTGCGACTGCGCTGCCTGGGCTCCAGGGAGGCCGGCGGAATAGTAAGGTGGTATCGGCGCCTGACCCAGGTACGGAGCTGCAAAAGCGGGTTGCGAATATGCTGGAGCTTGAATAGACATGCGAGGTGCTGCAGCCACTGCCGCCATTTGGTGGCGGTGAACATCCTCCAGAGGTGGAGTCGTCTCATAGTAGTAGTTAGGCGCTGACACGACAGATACTGATCTCGTCGAGGGAGAGTTGTAGCCCTCGAAAGAGGCATCCGAGCTCATGGGAGGGGTGGGGGGTAAAGCTGCTCGTGAAGGACCGTTGCTCCCACAATGAGACGAGTTCGGCCGAGTCTCTACCTTCACTGACGGTGCTGCTCTAAGGCTTAGTACATTGATCGTATTAGGAAGGCCGTGGTGAGCTTCATACCTTGCTGAGACTGAGGTGATTGCTCTGTCGTGGGCGATCCAGCGTCTGCCATTACTAATAGGTTGGAGATCGAGGGTAGAGAGCATTTCGAGGTCTCGTCCATTGGAGGCGAAGGAGGTGGTTGCGGATATCCGTACTGAGCACCAGGCTGCGTTGCGTACATGGCGGTGGCCATTTTATGTATTATGTTGGTATAAAAATATGTATATATCTTAAGAGGCTATTCTCTCAAAATGGCGGTATTAAGTTTAAGTATTCGTCGACGATAGTCGGGTTGAGTATTAAGATGGTAAGGACTGCTAGTTGTTGTCGTTGTTATTGTTAATTTTGTAGATGAGATATCACTCAGTGTATCCTCAGTATCGAAGAGCCGATTAATGATCTAGGGAGGGGGAACGACAACTTAAAAGGATATACGGGGAGGGTGGATACTTAAGTATAGGTAGAAGGCGGATGGTGGGTGAACGACGAGGGTTGACGATGTATCTACCAGATCTTCCCGGGACGTATAATATAAACGACGATCAAGCGTCAATCCATACAGGAATCCCTGGAGAACAACTGTCACAAAATTGGGTGTGGGTCACGGCAGACCTGGGTTGAAATCAACAGTAGATCGCCGGTATCGAAGGGTACTCCTGCATCATCGGCAAGTACATATAGCGCCCCTTATTAATGGGCGAGCGTTGATGTATTTGGAGTCCCATGTGCGGCGATGGGACTCTGGAACTGCTTATGCTCGCCCGCCTCTTTTTAGTGGTCCCAATTCCCCATGTATGGGCTGATGCAGATGGCAGTACGTACAGTATGTATTGATGGGACAGTGGGAGAAGCTGGCCTGGGCTGGGCATGTAGGTGAGATCGAAGGATGGACGTAGGAGAACGGCTCCGCTGGGATTCTCGTGGGATCGCTCAAGGTCAAACGGCTACTGGCCACGCCTATGCACCAGCAAGGGTTTAACAAGACGTCCGTGTGCGTCGTCTGTCTAGGTCTATCTGCACTCAGGGCATCCCCGGTGGACCGTTTAAGCTCATCCCTTCTCACTCTTCGTCTTCTACCTACATAATACTACCAGCATACCAGCATACCAGCATACTATGGTACTAGCACACCAGCATATACCTACATAAACCTCCTCCTCCTCCTCCAAAAGTCTTGGCGAGCTAAGACCAGCAATCCTCGTTGAATGTATGTACATATGTGGTCGTGGGTATTGCTAGGTGCATGGCATCCCCGGCTCACCATTACCCCTTAAGGGCAAACTGCCGTCCGGATAGTTGGTCTGTGACCCCTGTCTTGGTACACTTCGGACAAGGGACCCGGTTTAGTTCTATGTGGAGTAGGGGACTTGAGACGACAATGGACTCGAGGTTAGTGCCGCAAAAGCTTCGTCGTTAAGTCTTTTAAGCCCTGCCGAGCCTGTGCTGTGACCGGATTGTCAAGCTGATCTTATGCCGTCCCTCCCCACGAGCCCTGACAACACATGCTGCAATAGCAGAATGGTTCTCTGTGCACCTGTCAATCTTTTCGGATGACTGCTGCTGGATGTCCCAAAATGTTTTGATCTGTTTAGACCATGCTGCAGATTGTCAGATCTATCCGGCCATCTTCTTTGCCTAATCCGACCTATTCGGGAGCAGCGGCAACTACGACAGCATTGATCAAGACCTGCAACAAGGAGTTATTCGGTCCAGAAGTTGCCGTGCTTGATAGATAAACTAATCCATGCCATGCTATGTATGTTTGTTGATGTTTATTTGTTTATTTCCTGATAACTATCCTCATATTTGCTCTTTCTCTTCTTCCGTCCCTACGGTACTACTAGGTACTAGGTAAGTAGGTAGTAAGCAAGCAAGCAATCGAGGAGGTGAACCTGATTACGAGCTCTGAATGACATCTATGCAGCTATCTAGGTACAGTACGGGAGTAGTGGGCAATGGACAAGCATTGGGTCTATCCAGCTTAATCAATATTAATAAAATATATTCGTTAGAAATTAAGCCAAGGGAAAAAATGATTTCAAAGTCGCAGCTTGTCCGCCGTTTGCCTAGTCGTCATTGTACATTAGAAGTAAAATATTGAGATGAGCCCTACCAGATCATGCAGCGAAGTTGCCTGTGGGAGGAATATCCGAGAAGGGGTCCATGACCTCGTCTAGCCCCAGAGAGGGTGCCACATTTCTTGAGATAGACCTATTAAACAAACCTATGCTCTCATACGTAATACGCTTAGATCCATGTCGGGTAAGCTTAACTGTAAGGATGACGAACGAGTAAAGTCAAGGGAAGAATACATACAACTAGGTATGTACCTATATATGTAACACTAACCACTTGGGTAAAATATGTCTTAATAACTCTGACTGTCATCACTTTAATAATTGGCTTTCTAATTTACCTTAACTAGTTTCCACAGAAGAAGAAGAAGAAGAAAAAAAGAATCCAACACGCTGTAGATATTATAGGTGTTGTATCTTCGGTAAAATGTTTCTAACAAGAAACATTCGGAGGCTTTTTTTTCTTTTTCTTTTTCAGAAACGAATGCTAATCTCATATGATCGTCAACTTGGCGCCAGGAATCTGCTCGCTTAGGCATGGTGGTCTGTGGCCGGCAAGGGTTTATTTTGCCCTGGGATTTACAGTGCCTTCTTAGTCTCTTTTTAGCGGTTATGTCTCTATTCTTCTCTGCGGGCTCTGCCCCTTAACGTGGTCTATGATCGACAACCTAGAACTTGAACAGGGATAGGGTTCTCTCTTTCGGGATGGCAGCTCTACGAACCCCTGTCTCCCTGACACCTTAGCTTCCAAAGCGAGACACCCCGTGAGGAAAGGCATGAAGGGACAAACAAGTTCCGAGTAATCTGGCACGAGCCAAGTCATCACAGAACTCCGCATGCATCAGTGTATCACTACGTACCCCGGACTGGGGTCGATACTGAATAGATTACATCAAGAACGTCTACAATACATACGCTTAGATTTGACGCTTCGTCTGATATGGTGATACTTTGAAGCTAGATCTTGGAACGACTAAGCGTCAACTGAACTTGTCTGCGCAGAAGTCGGATGAAAAATGCTCCTAACTTACACCCCTCGGCTCGTAGCCGTAGCCGCGTTACGCACAACGCCAACACATTTTAGTCTTCCATGTACTTGGCTAAGCTTAGGTATGCCTAGGTAGGTAACTATTTACGAGGCGGCAATCCGTAGAATTGATACTATACCTGCCTAGAGTTCAAGCGACGGAGAAACTAGGTAGATAAGCACGTGAAGTCTACCTAGCGTGACTTGATTTTCTTCTGTCTACTAGGTATTTAGGTAGGCACTTTGTAAACGGATCGCTCGAGGCCATGGAAAAGCGAATTGAGGCTTGCATGACGGCACGCTAGATGGACGCCAGAACAGCGCCAGAACACACTACCTGCCTACGTGGTGTCTTAGGCTATGTTGGAGTGAAGATATGATTGGGCTCGTTTCTTTTAAAGTACATCATCGCCTACCTATTATATGTTCAGGTTTAAGCACACATACACCCAACATGACGAGTTGGTCAGATGAATTAAATCCAATGCTTATTAGAACTTAAAAGGAGCTATTATCGTGTCGAGCTTCGCCAATCGGCATTTACCTAGTGCCCGTACACAGATAATATTCGAGTCTTATCTTACTATACGGGGAAGTCTTAAGTTACCGAGCTTTTCTCAAGTATACCTCCTATACCTACAAGGTAGATAGATACACATTCCTTATTTGACTTGACTTAGTTCAACTTACCTCGTATGATAGGTAATTATTAAATCAAGGGCGCACGAGCTGTACTTCTCAACTTCAGGTAACTATGAAGAAGCATACTCATAGTATAAGATGATGACCTCAGAACATAACATACTACCTAATTAATTACCTTCAATTATAAGATGAGATCAGGCACCTTCAACTCACTAACTAGAAATGGAGATGAAAAGACGGGGCTACTTCGGAGGCTCTAGCTTAATCCTGGTCAATAATAATAGATATTGTTGGTTGAAGATTTATTAGTGACAGAAATAATTTGCACTTCTTTCCCACGAACTGCCTACTAAATAGCGTGCAAATATTATGTATGTACTCTGTTGGACCTACATAGTACTATGTAGAATTATTATAGCTCACTCCACCCTCATCTGACATGGAATACCTGGGGATTTTCCTCTAAGCGACGAGCGCTAAAGCGCCACGCTGATCTCATGTCACCGCGGCTCCCGCAAGCTACTCCCCCGACGGTCGCCCTAAATCCACGCCGCCTATGTCGATCATGACCCCTAATCCAAGCTTTTTTATGAGTAAATATTAAATAATAGTACCTAGGACTTAGGTAGGTAGTCACGTTTTCTCGGGTCACCTTCCCTGAATCGATGTCATTACAACAATATTGCAGTATTCATCATTGTACTCAAACCGAACAATCTCTATTATCATGGCATCGAGTCTTAAACTCGTACTCTCCACCACATGTCTTCTCGGAGATATCTCACTGGCCTTTTTCTTCTTTCCAAACCTAAGAGATGCTTACAACTTCACGCTGCCAGAACTCTAGGGAGGTATGTACATACTAGGTAACCTACCTAAGGACTGCTAGTGCTGCTTCCTAAAGATAAGGCGTCTACGATTAGACGCGTCACTCATCCGTGATCTTCCCTTTCCATTGTAAAAGCTAGGCCAAATTATGGTATGATTTCCTAGCCTCGACTGTCATTCTCCCGAAGAGTAGGTAGCAAGTCTACGTAGATACGGATCACTAGTTCAACCTCTCGGTCGATAATTCCCTCCAATAAAGCGAGAAATTCCAACGATCTCGAGCTATCCAGGTCAAGGAAGACGGTGTCAAGAGTTGATACCTATGCTACCTAGGCTGCTAGGTTAGTGTGAAGTAGATGGTCGAGAGAATTTCCAGTCAACCCTATCAGTTCCAATTATCTCGTAACCCAAAATCTCCTCAGAGCGCCTCTCTAGGGAGATTTGCTCCGTATTACCAGCTGTTTAAATTTTCTTCTACGTCGTATGTCATCGTGTTGCATTGGATTAATGCTACCTGCGGCTATGATAATTCTTCCAGAATCCAAGTACAGTAAACCCCATCGGGGCTGATAACCGGATTCGATTGAGACGGGGTAGTGGGATCGACGATCTAAGCAAGGGGCTATTGGTCCCGAGCCATGGAAATCTTCCTTATTAATCATCCATTTTCGTTCTCACATCTTTACAATAGCTAATAATTAGGCTTTGTCTTAACTGGGATATATTCTTACGATATTGAGAAAAACAAGAGCGAATGTTTATTCTTTCGTGTCATTAAGAAGATGTTACGTCGTGACATCAACTCTTACAACACCTGCGTACCTAGACTGTCT